GGCAAACTTGAGAAATTTAATTTGATGATTGTGGCATACCATCTAGTAATGAGAAAGAGGTATTTTGGGATCTCGTTGTGGAATTAACAGGGAGCATTGATGATAGAGCCATGCGTAATTAGAGTCATATGATGTTGATCTTTTGTGGCACATTTTGTTAATTTCAGCCCCCTGAGGACAGGTGACGGAACTGACGGAACTGTGTCATCATTTCCCTTTTTCTAAAAACTGAAACCCTATTCTCAACAAACGAGGTGATTTTGACCCACCCTTCCTCTTTCCATCAGAAAAATCGATCTGGGGACGTATCAGTCAGCAAGGTGTTTGCAGGGATCCTCATCACGGTCTTCGTCATCCTACTCATTGTAGTGGTTGGCATTGTTGTCTGCATCAAAGTGAAGAGGAAACAGCACTCCGATACCCTTCCCGTTATCTCAAGATACAGTGTGGTGAGTTGGGTCAGGATTTCCCACTGATCTGCGAGAGCCCATCTTGTTTTGTAAAAGCATATTTAGTCTCATAGACAAGCATATTTGTGATGTGATCTGAGAAATCCTTCACATGGTGAAATCCGTCATTTGGGTCATTCCACGAGGTTGGGGCACAATTTGTCACAATGTCAATACGTTGGTTTGGTAAAAACGAACGGCTTTTTCCCTGCATGTGGATTCCAATTATACATCTCGCAAGGCTGAATACAGAGGTGTGTGTTATTTTTACAGAGTAAATGACCTATTCTACAGGTCATGAAAGGTGGTAAAAGTTACCCATGTAACAAGGACAACGTCACAAATTGTGCCCCAACCTCATGGAATGACCCATTTTTCACTTCAAATTAACAAGGACAGTTGTGCTGTATTAAACAGATATTTGATTCACGATTCTAGGTTCTCGGTAACTTGAATTATATTCTGAATGTAATGATGAGCGTGTATCCTCACAACTATGCAACAAGTATGTGTGTGTCCTTGAACATTTTTTCCGCTGTATTTACTTTTGAAGGACTTTGTCAACTCCAAACTTGGTACGTTGGTTAGTCTTTGTGCCTTGCAAAAACCAGTTGATTTGGGGCCCCATAGGCCAAACATCAAAGTCATTCTAGTTAAAACAATGGAGAAGGTTTCTTCTCCATAAACTTGAGTAAGACTTGGCATATCAGTTTCAAACTTGGAATGTGGGTTGATTTTGGTGTCTTCTGGTAGCCTGTTTATTTTGGACATTATAAGTCAAAGGTCAAAACAATAGAAAGGGTTTTCCCAATAGAGATGGCTTTTGTAATCACAAATGAAGTCAAAGGTAAGGCACTGGCTTTGCAGGTCATTTGCATGTAACAGATTTGTTTGTGCGACAGAACGGGGGCACAGAGGACGGCAGTGTGACTTTCAGTCGCAGCAACATGGTGTCCGAGGAGGATGAAGACGAGGAGTCAGAGAAGGTATTCCGCAATCCCACATTCCACAGGCGGGCTTATAACACAACGGACATGGACAGCGAAACTATAGGCTTTGCCGATGTAAGTATGGCTATGAAAGTTATAGGTGTTGCATTGTATCCACTCAAAGTTTGCGGCCTTGAGAATTTGGTTCAGTTGTTTTCAACCTGTGGAGCTCGCACAAATTTGAGAATGTTGATAAAATGGTCTTTCATTTAATCGCGAGAAATCGAAATAGTGGAAGTTGCAACCCTTTCTTGACAGCATTAAAGAGTAATTCCTCCGAATTAATATGTTATTGTATTTTTTTTTCTGTCTAGCCAAAGACCTGTGCGGTTGATTATCCTTGCTGTGTTAGATTAACCCTAACCATGCTGAACCGAACAAGGTTATGCAGGATTTCAATGGTCCCTAGGGGGTTAGGGTTAATAACCTTTGTCTGGAAACACAAATTTCATTTAGGTTGCTCTTTGTGTTTACGGCTTTTAAAATTTACACAGCGGTGACGGTTTCCGGGACTCTAATTTTTGGCTTTTTGGAGGATGGTATCTCACTTCTACTTTCGTCAAGCATTTCTCATCAAGCATTTCCCACTTCCTTTTCGGAGGACACTTGCAAAGGGTCTCTCCTGTTCAAATGTAACACTGAAGTACTGAGCTTTTCTTCAGATCATTAATTAACAGATTTTTCAGTTATGACACGGTGAAAGTAACTTTATTCTCCCAGCAAGCGTAATCACAGCCTTTCAAGACCAAAAGACCTCATTTGTAATATGAGATGCAAAACATCGGAAATAGCAGTGTGTGATATAATTGTGGTCTTGCCTGCCATCATCTCCTTTATACCAACAGAAGGCGCTGTAGTAATAAATGGGTGACACCACCATGAGGTCAGTGTAAGGCAGGGTAGTCTGGTAACACTCATCCTTCCCCATGCCCGCCTTATGCCGTTTCCCCATGTGAATACAACCACCCGACTGCTATGCTTCTGCCTTCTATTAACATATTGACAAGCTTTTTGCCTTCTAATTAGGACACATATCACAAATGTCTTCCACCTTTTTCTACTCTGTTGTGTTCTGTCGTTTCTTCTAGCTTGACTTCACCAGAGCTTATTAAAACCCCCAAACAGCCGAGGCCATTAACATAGTTAACGGGCATAAGGTAATTAACTTGTGATATGTACTTTTACCCTAAAAGCTGCAGCTAAGGTAGTTGGGGTCCCCGAAATTCCCTTGCATGTCCATTTGTTTGTTTTTGTTTTGGGTTTTTTTTTTTCCCTCTGTGGCTGTATGGATCGTTACCAGGAGAAATCTCATGAATACCTGAGATGAGTTTTACAAAATCCCCTCTTTTCTCCTGTTTTCAAATGCCACACATTCATTGACCCGTCTATTTTTTTCCCCAAGAACTGTTGGCGGACTCTTTGAAATTAACGAGTTAATGTTAACGAAGCACTGTAGAAGTATAAAGTTCACATCTGGAAGTTCTGAATTTCTTGTGTGAATGTATCAAACACGACGAAACTTTCATTCATGAAAAAGCAGGACACTGCCCTCCCTTTCTGTTGACCATGTATTAGCATGTTTGAGCACACTCGAGTTGATGATTATCAGTTTTCATATTTGATTTTTAGCTAAGCAGATGGGAGTATTTTCACTGATCTGTTTGTTGGTTGGATTTTTTTGGGGGGGTCAGTGCTTTGGTCTATGGACCACATTGAAAACGCCTTCAAATAGCTCCTCTTATGAAGATACTGCATGTTTTCTTGTATGAACATTTACAAATCATTGCACGTTGGTGGAACAACCCAAACAGTTGAGCCATCCACATCTACTGACATTTTTAATTGTTTTGTTGGAATTTTTCACGTAAAAGTTAAGATGACTCCACGTTAATTGAATGCATTAACCCAAACGGGCGTATTGTCGTAAATGTCATCTACTTGCCATTACTAACTTCCAAAAGCAGATTAAAACAGTGTGACTTGATGAATATCTGCTGCTGAATAGTAAGTTTAGTTTTTCTTTGAATCTTCAGCATCTCAAATGAATGAGGAAGGCTCCCAGCATCCATTGGACTCATTTTTAATTTCCTTGTGCAGTTTTGTTTTTCCATTTCTGTTTTTTTTTTACATGTATATACTTATCCATGGAATAGGAAAAGTGACATATCCGTTTGCCATTTGATTGACGTGTTGTTTGATCAAACGCCTGGTTTGATTTCAGACGTTGTGAATCCTCGAGTGAAGTGACGGTGCTAATCAACTTGTGAGGTGTAGAGAGGCGCAGCTGGTTATGATAGCGTGTCCCGTTCTACATGGCATCATCGGCACCTGTTGTACCATGGCCAAGTGATGCTATTACCTGTAGTTTACAAACATTGCTAGATGCAGCCCAGCTGTGGGGGCCTCTTCTACGCAACACCTTTGTACGACAACCTTGTCCACTCTCAACTCTTAAGACCTCCCCCTCCGTTCCAGCATTTCTGAATCGCACTGGATCGCCACTGTGATTGAATTGCACCTGTTATTATGTTAAGCGTCAGGATTTGTGCTTCCTGTGCAGAGGCATAAGTTACTTATATTTGCATTACTCATTACAAATGAAGTGACATAAAGTAAAGAGAAAGCCCTTCCCCTATCAAACTTAAATGCACAGAGCACCTCTGTAAAAAAAAAACCAAAACTAAATCAAGTGAACGTCTTCCTCTTGACTGTTGCGTGTTTACTTTTTTGTAAAGAAAGTCTTCATGGAACAGCTGTTGAACTTTTTCAGCAGATTTTATTGTGTCTCCTTGATGAGAATGATATTTGGGAACAAAATGTGTGCTAGATGTGAGAAATGAAAAATAGTTTCTATTACTAAGATATTAAAAGGGCTGTAAATTGTTTATGTAATAAACATTAAATTAAAGATTAAACATCAGGATTAGGAACTTATTGATTCCAAGTGAGCCAAGAAATTGAATTCTTCTAGTTTCATTGTTGACCAGCTGACATTGTCATCTGAAAAGAAGAACCTTTTTCTAAAAACCCATTTTGAGGTATTAGAAATTGATTTGTATCCACTGTGCAAGTAAAGATTCATGATGTGCACATCTGCAGCTTTAGCTCTGGCAAACTTGGATTCTTGATCCGGATTGGCCGGTCCCTAGTAACAGTAACCATGTTGCATCCCCCGTGTTCACACCAAGGCAGTGTGCTCTGAAGTAAAAAAAGAAAGAAAATGGCGATGTTTCAGCCAAAGTGCTCTGCAGCAAAGAGAGCTCACTCCATTTCAGATTAGAAAAAGTGAAAGCAAACTGAAGCAGAACATGTATTTTTGAACTGCTTCTGTTATGTTGTTTGTTCACAATTTGTCAAGTTTGCTTGAAGGTTTGAAGGTATTTTTTGTCTTGTAAGCATTGGTAGTATACAGAACACGTGTCCATTTTTACTACACTCTCACCGTGGATCCCAAAGGTTTTAATCAGTCAGAAGAATCTGTAATTATTTAAAAAAAACATTGTCCTACAATTTAAAAAAGCAAGCTTTCTCAGCAAAGTTTGTCTATAAATATTTGATTTGGAATTACTTAAATCAGCTCGTCGATCAGTGTAGATAAAACCTGAAATTATGCATAACAGTTGTACATTCTTAATTGACCAATATCATGTCTAAAAATTGATTTTTTTTAAAAATATGTCATTTGTACGCAAAGAATGCATGAAATTGATGGATTGAAAAAAAAAATGTGGTTGTAGACCAGTAAAATCACTTTTTTTATTAGCATTTAATTGATGTGATTTAGCAATTGTAACTTCCAGATTTGTTCTTGTACCCCTATTTCCCACATGTTGAAAGCACAGCCTCATTTCATAGAAAATCAACAGTTTTTTCAACCGGCAGTATTTGGGATTATGCCAAGGAAGTATTTTTATCCATTTTTAATTATGATTTATGTCACATTTATTTGACTTTTTGTAAAGTATTATGGTTGAATGAGTCGTAGTAACAGCCAATATTGAGTGGCACGTTTTCACTGCAGTTTTAAAAACATTCCCAACTCTCCCTGGCCAGAGGTCGTATGCAAATGCTTCCCTAGTCTGGATTCACGTCTGATGCCGTGCATGATTTCTGGCCCTCCATGGGCCAAACACCGCTGTATTTGCTACCAGTGGTTAAATTATAATAGCTGGAAAAACATCAGACTTGAATCAAGGCTTGCATTTCCATGACTGTTCATGTATTGGGCATCTGAATTGGTGTTCCACACTAGATGTGCACCATTTCCATAAATGCAACATGCCATACTTTTTCTTTTCGTCTGTAAGCCTCCTTCCAGCATATTTTGTAGATATTTACTTTAACACAGTTTTTTGTGTTTCTTGAGTGCAATAATGACATCACGCTTAACACAGGTTTACACAATACTTTGCTGCTTTGCTCTGCATGGTTCTGTGTTTTTTTATGGTTTGTATATTTCTGTAGTGTGCTTTCAATTTGTTATTTATTTTTATACTAAAGTAAAGCTTGTAGATTTTTGTTGGAAGGGCATTTCTCTTTTGGATTCAGTTGACAAGTATAAATGTGAAGGCTTCATTAATGCTTGGCTTTCGTGGGACTCTTATTATATCAGTTTGTAGAAAAATATGTTCCCATTATTTACATTTTAGTATGGCATAGACGTTAAGCATTAATCTTAACCCTAAAAGAGCTGGTGGGTGGGCAGAATCCCACCTTGACATTTTTTTCCAATATCATTGCAGTGCAGTTTCTTCAGGAGCTGAACTTTTGAAGAGTTTTTAGAGTAACTCTTTTTGATCATTTTGACACCAGTTGTATGAAAATTGAATATATTGTGCTTGTGCAGCACGCAGGCCAGCGAGAAATGCATATTTTTCCACTACTGTGTTCAGTGCACACGTACTGGCACGCATGTAGCCTTGAACTTCAAATGACCATACCAACAAAATCATATGTCCGATTAAGTTCAAACTTCACATTTGTAATGATAAGGAGCGTCTTTACAAGCATGGCAAATTTAAAAAAAATCGAGTGTGGCACTGCCGAATCCTGTGAGATGCTTCAAGATAACCTAGCTCTTTGAGAGTTAATCATTATTACCTGGACATGGGCATTTTTACATTAATTTCTCACTCCACTGCCATAACTATTTATCACATTAAGCATGGCTAAATGAAACTTTATACAAAAGATTTTTCATAGGCATTAATCTTAAAAGCTGCTGGTTTTATTTTGGCAGAAACTGACACTTGTGACTTTATTTTGTCCTCTTAAAGACACCTTAAATTTTATTTTAGCTATGGATGTTTATTTTGTGTAGACTGTCAACATAGGAAGGGCTCTTTTCATTAGTTTGTTTGATGTTTTTTTGGCTTTTTTGGCGGGAGATATTTTGCAGATAGAAACAGTGCAGCCACAGAAACCCGATAAACTGCAAATAAGATTGTCAACTCTTGCCTTTACAAACATGTGGGCTGTAGTTTTTTATTTTCAGGGGAAAAAAGCAAACAGAAATGTTTGTTTTTTGTTCGTATTTGGATGTGTCAGGATTTAACAATGCCATAAAATACACGATTCTTAGATAAAATTTTCTCACAAAAAATGGGAAATCAGCAGCAGTGTTGGCCTTTAAAATCTACGGCAACACTCGGTAGCAAAGTTGGAAGTGTGTACTAGTATTTTGCTGCCCCTTATAAAATTACGATTTGGAAGTTTAATTGTTTCAAGAATGGTTGAAATAAAAACAAGTTAATTGAGAATATACTGAGCTTTCTCACAGAATGTATTTTGTTTAATTCCTTCAACTCAAACTGGCTGTTTTTTATGTTCACCGTTGGGGTGGGAGGATACAGTTGCATTTTGCCATGTTTGCCTGTTTTGTTTAAGGATTTGACGGACGAAAATTTGTCTTGGCAACATGTCTGAGTCCTCCAAAACTGAATGTGTGCGCAACTGTGTTGGTATAAAAGCAAGAACAGTCTAAGGTTCAAGTGCATGCTACGTCGCATTGACAAAAGCAGACGACACTCGTTCTAAAAAGTTTTTGCAGCCTCTTGATGGCGCTAAACAGTTTGGAATTTTTAGCGCCCACGTATGCGACATAAAGCATACTTACAGGGCCAATTTGTCGTACGTTGTAATCTTTTAGTTGGGCTACACGTGCAATGTGAACGGCATTAAAAACTCGCAGTCATGGAGGTTCCAATGGCCGGAGGTTTGGCCGCTAAAAGAGGCGGTGGCCTACCCAAACTACGAGAACTTCTTCGGAGACAAAGGAGGGACTCAGATGTAAGAAACGCTGTTTATAATTAGACTGCTTGAATTTTATTTTTGCGTGGATTTCTTAACTTTTTCAGACCAGTCTCATTCTGTTTGTGCACAGCTTGTCAAGTAGGCCTAACTCGGAACTAAATTTCCAGATAGAAAATTGATTCAAGGGATTTTGCAGATTGATGGACAGACTGATCATGCCAAACATACAATCAGTAGGCCTACACGGAATAGGGCCTAGTCCATTTGTTAAATTGTTGCCTATATCAGCGTTGAGAGAGGTAATAACTGAGTGCAAGATCTAATTGTGTCTTCCCGAATGATTGATTTGTCTCTGCAGGCTCTCAGGATTTCACCTTTGCATGGCTTATTTCTTCATTTTTATGTCATTATAAAGAGACATTTCTCTCCTTAGCGGAGAAATTGATAAATAACCTGTTGGTAAATAACCCTTCATTTTTTATGGCCACCCAAAAGTCCAACTGAGTATCATCGAGTTCCATAAATGTACAGACATGGGGAGGGGCAGAGAAAGAGAAGGCTTGCAATTTTAATTCATTTCTTATTTCTGTTGTGTTAAAGACACTTAATGTTTATTTCTTAGAGCCAGAATGACAGCCCAGATCTTGACTTTGAGTATGACGATGCCAACAAGTACAAGCACGAGATTGCAGGTGGGTATGTTACTGATAGCACTGGGATAGAGCTGCTTAAGCACAAAATTTGCTTAAGCGCGAGAAAACCTTACTTGATAAATCAGGTAACCAGCCAAAACTCGCACGAGAAAACCTTGCTTGATAAGTCTGGTAACCAGCCAAAACTCCATGTGACGTGTATTGTTTTGGGATCGTATTTAGCTGTCTTTTGGTTAGCATGACAATCAAATAGAGTTTGAACTGGTAACCTTTGATTTTTTAAGCAAGTTTTTTTCACGCCTAAGCAAATTTTGTGCTTAAGCAGCTCTATGAAATTGGCCCCTGGTCCTGACTAAACTGTCAGCCTCATGTATAGCTGCAATCCTGACTGTAGGATCAGTTCTAATAACATGTACATGTACTTTCAGTGCAGTAAGGTTTAACAAACAATGCTATGGGAAATACTTTCTGGTGTCAGGAACCTAGAAGATGGTTAGAGCTCCTGATATGAATTTTTAAAAATGGTGGAATTTCATGAATGTCATATTTTTTTTAAACATCGTTCACAGAATTGTATAGTTACACAGAGGAACCTGAGTTTGCTCTTTGCCAGAAATGCTTTGAAGAAGACTTCCACTCCTACAGTAAGTTATGTATATTTCTCTGAAATCAGCAACTGTGGTTTTGAATGGCTTTGAAAGAACTCGAAGAGATTATAATAGCGCATTCTAGCGCTAGGCTACTTGTGGCCGCTACCCACTGCACCACGGATCCTACTTGGTACTCATGATAATTTGTTAAGTTGTTTGTAGCCGTATTCGTGCGTACGCATCAAAGAGGGTGTATTACAATGTGCATATCCACAGTAAAACTACAAATAGCAAAATAATAGACGTCTTTTGATGCTACTGTCAAGCTGTTTTCTAAAATTCAGTAAAACAAGGCAACAAATACATTTGGGTCTCACCTTTGTCGTGGTTAATCTATGTCAACACCTGGCTTGGATGAGAAATAAAAGCATGGCAGTAGAAGTGTAAACCACTTGTCCCCCTGACAAACTCACGTTTGTAATCTTGTCGGTTTATCCTGCAGTCAAGGAGAAATGGGCACAGCTCAGTCCCGATCACCAACAGATGCACGTCCTGCACCTTCTGAACAACGTGGAGAGTGCCAAGCGCGAGCAGAGGATGAAATCGGCAAGAGCAATTCTGTACTTGGCCCAAGGTGCGAGGACCCGGTTCAGTTGCATTCCTCTCATCAATCTTTACACGCCCAAGGACATTTTGCTGAAGACCTTCCAGAATCCTCTAACGCCTTCCACTGACTTACAAACCAATGCACAATCTTTGTACTTAATGTCAAAGAACGTCATAAAGTAAAAGGGATCAGACTCAAGTCTTGCACACTCTTTGTGATTAAGCTTTCTGATTTTGACAGATCCAGGATACTTCGATTGAATGCATTGAGGTACATGCATACAGTAAATGTCTGCAAGTAGATAGCATCAACAGACAAATTGAAAAGTGTTTCTCTTGTCAGTTTACCTTGTGGGGTACTGGTGTTGGAATTCTTTGTACACAGGTTGTTTCAGTGAGTGTTCTAGTGAAGAAGAACAGAGGAAACGAGCCCGGGAGAATTGTTTCCTCCTGTACGAGTGTTCAGTCTTCAACACCTTTGTGGAGTTGCTCAGTATGGAAGCTGAGTGAGTATCTTCATATTGGCCCTCTCATCCGTGCCAGAATTTGACCAGGCTCGGACTGCCTGCTAGTCTCTAGGCTGCGGCTAACAATAATGCATGAGTCTATGGAAAGTGGCAGCAGCCACTAGCTAAAGACTTCCTTAGGCATATGTGTGATTTCCAGCCGTAGCCATTTCTGTCAATCGCAGAGGGGCTGTTAGCACAAGACAAGACTTTTCTCGGCACAAATACGATATTAGGTCAATACATCATTTGTTGTTTTAATACTTGTGTCTATGCCCAATATGGTTTTTGCTTTAAAAAACAACATCATAAAATCCAGGCTACTAGCCAAAATATGTCTGAGATAAATCGTGAATGAGTCTTAAGTGATAATTCACATGTACCTGCCTTTCAACTTTGAGAAGCAGTATTTTTGTTCACAGTGCCATGTAACAATCACTACCCGTAGTCGTACCTACTGTACTGGAGCCAGTTTCTGTTGCGCGAAACCCATAAGTCTCCACCTTATGACAGGGTCCTGACGGTGAATCCCTTAATGTAAATATCTACAGTCATTGTAATTGTCATCCTGTTACCTTCTGGAATTGTACAGAAACTCTGTGGCAGCTTCGACGGCCCTCAGGAAGCCAGCAGTATCAATAATTGACAGCACAGACCTAAGGTATTCATTCTGACTTCCAAGCTAGCGGTTTGTAATTCTGTCGCAAATCTTTACCATTCTTTGAGCCGCCAAGTTCAATTAGATTGAAATTGAAGTGGCTCAAATGGGGACACTCAATTTTCAAGTGAGACATCAACTACACGTTTTGCTTCTTTTTTGACAATGCTCGCGTATGAGAACAGAAGGTCATTTGGTGGAAAAACGATTACAGTTTGTTGCAATGTGCTCTCTTTTTCCAAAGGGTTGCGTTGAGTGTGTTGTATATCATGATTGAGACACTAAGAATGGAGTCAGACCAGGACACGGACAAACAGAAACAACAAAGGGAAATCTTCAAGGCAGAATTAGGTATGCTGGGTAAAGATTTTGCTCACTGCTCATCAAAATCCTTTTTTTTTTTTTCATTCAGTCCCAAACTTACATATTCAACCAAAAGACAACTTTTCTGTGACTGGCAGTGAGCAAAGCTTTTCATATTTCATTGTTGTTTTTATATTTTTGAAATGTTTGCTCACTCTTCTTTGGAGAACTCAATTGAATCCTTGGAACTTTGTTGCGTGAATCTTAATGCAGCCCATAGTAATGCTGCCTCTCTCAGTAACTTTGTTAATGCATGTGTTATGTTAGATAAATGTAATTCCAGGCTTTGCATGCTGGTGGAAAAAAAGGGAAATGATTTGATTTTTGGAGATGACTCTAGGAACAAATTGCAACGCATATAGAGAAAGCAGATCAGCCAACTTGGATCAGATTGATCACATCAGACCGTGGAACTTAGTCAGAAGGCATTTCCAAGTTATCCAGAGTACATGTACATCCGTAATCCAGATTGAGTCATAGCTGAATATCTCCTCAAAAGAGTTTTTACATGATGTTAGCCTCTATCTCAAAAAACATATAAAAGAACCTTTTTTTGCTGAAGTTGAAAACACAGCTAAATTGGTAATTGATAATGGTTGTTAAAACAAACAGAAATGTATGAAGTGTTCAGCGGCAGTCTTGTTGAAGTTAAATGTATTATGTAAAGCTGGTCGCTGTTTGAAACGGAAATTATGAAGAAAATAGGAACATGAAAATGTCAGTTTCCTTTTTTATTTGTTTCCCAGGTCAGCCAGTATGCGGGGATGACTCCCTAGCGATCATCCTCTTCAACATGGTGACCAAATTCTGCAGTGGCCACGCCCCTCATTTCCCCATCAAGAAAATCTTGTTACTGCTGTGGAAAACATTGCTGGTGAGTGTTGGTTGCCCAAGGCAACAAGATCCCACAAATTTGTAATAACGACAGGGACTTATAAGGGAGTCATAGAACACATGCTTATTATCACCCCTGATTGGCAGGCCTATTAATATTCCCAAGACCAACTCGACTCTATGGGCTGCAAGCTTTGTCCTTCACAAACCCTTGGTCGTGTAGAATACGAAACTGATGCCGACTGGCTATTTAGGATGCATATACATAAACGTAAAGTCAATCGCATGCATCTTTCAAAAGCTGCAAGCTCGCACCCATGTATTCTTTTGCAAGTCACGCATGAGTAAATCTCAGTCGCAAGTAAACACACAGCACTGAACGGGAGTGAGGGGGACCTTTTCACTGTGCTTCCCACAAAGTGTTCCAAACATTTTTGTCCAGGATTGCAGCTATCACCTAGTAAGATGTGTGAGCCATGCCCACTTGTTGCTCACTTGTTGCAGAACAAAAACCATACTGCTGCTTGAGTGCTATTTGCTAATGGTTGTGTGGGCGTGAAGATGTTCTATCATTACCTCATTGATTAAAGTCATCTTATCTGGTATCTCCTCTGTAGTTCTCCCTGGGCGGTTTCAGCGAGTACAAGCTGATGAAGCAGAAGGCCCGTAAAGCGGTGGGCCTCGACCCAGTCAAGGAGGACACCATCCAAGTCACCAAGACGATGAGGGCATCCTCCCCGCCCGCATCCACAGGAGATGGGCTGCAGGAGAGAAGGACCAGGGGCTCACTCCGTAGGGTAAGAAACAAAATTAAACCCCCCCAACATGTAGGGCCAATCTTTAGGCTTTGACATGGTATCGTAAAACCGAGCCCTGACTTGAAGTCATAATCCACATCATGGTTGGTTTAAATTTGGCACCTAGGCAAAATAAGAAGGTTAATTTGTGGCACTGGTTTTAGCGTAATTTATAAGAATGAGGCCATGTGGATTTGAAAGAAAAACAAGCAGTTGTTTCGTGTCAGAAGCTTGGTGTCCTGACTCCATCTCCATCGATTTGGGTTAATTTAACTGTGCTAGCGTGAAAATTGTGTAGGTTAAAATTTTGGACAGTTGAGGTCATTTCATTGGGGGGTGGATACTGGATAGAAATGAATCTGAGAGAAATAAATTCTTTCAACATCAGTTTAATGCTTAAAAGAGGATTTGGGGAGATTTGAAAGATTTAGAAAGAATTCCAGTCGCCAGGGCCCCAAAACCTGCTGAAGCTCAGTCTATCTAGTTGCCAAAGTAATCATGAAAATTGCATATTCAAGAGGTCAGGAACAGTTTGCCTGTTTTGTCAATCAACTGATGGCTTTAGTTAGGGATTTCACCTTTTATAATAAAGTTCCATCTCCATGTTAGTTGAAAGCATGTGTTCCTAACTTTGGTTTGAGTTTGTTTGATGTCATTTCATAGTTGCCCTGAAGGTTTGTGTAAACATGCCAATGCGAGAAACTCCACGAAATCGTGTTTTGAAAACAACTCCGTGAACTAGTCTCCACGGATACACAACTTATGAGTTATGCATCATGTCATCATTAATTAGTTGAAGATTAACATGACTTGGATGTGCTTTATCATTGCATGAATTAATGATGCTTTTGATTCCCGTAGGTGCCGTGGATACCGTGATGCATTCTAAGTAAAACTTGACCTGCAGAGAATTTAAACCCTAGAATTATCTCCATTTGTTTTTTTTTGTTTGTTTGTTTTGTTTTCTGGAACTATTGTTGAAAATGGTTGTGGTTGTCAAAAAAGGGGGATTTGTTTCCTGATCGTTAAATTTCAAATTGTTTCAAATTTCTACTTTTATTTTCTAGCAAAAGCTTATTTTTCAGTTATGTTAGTATAGAAAGAACTTTGAGAAAAATGTTTGATATCGGCAGTGGTATCTCATTGAAATTTCATTGTAGATTATTGAAATACCTATAGAAAAAGAAATTTGGTTTCTTGTAGATAAAAAAAAAGTTTGGAATATTGCATGTTTTGATTATCTCATGATACATTTGTCTGAAAGATACCTTTTTTTTTAGGTGAATTCTTACAGATTTTTTACCTTGTAACCTTGTGAAATGATCAGTTGAAGCAGATGATCTCTGTTAGTTTTGGATAACACAAGAACAGAGACAGAGTGTCAGGATGTTGGCTGTGACTTCATCTTTTGCTGTTGTTTTTCTTTCTCCCTTTTTTTTTCTCTCTGTATCTGCATAAATTGGCCGGTCTTTTTTATTTCCCCCGATTTTAATCTCGGAATGATGTTACTGACTGTGGCTCTCTTCTCCGTTCGGTCATGCTCATCTGTCACATGACCTCCCTTCATCCTTGGTTCTGTCCATCCGTGCCCGTGTCCACCCGTCCATCACCACCTTCCCCTCATGGTGTACGAGAGAAGTAGACAAAAATGCTGTAGCAGTAGATTAGAGACTTAGCTCTAGTCGTACTGTTTGTTTGTGGATTTAATTGGTTTATTTAAAGTGTTTTGTGGGATTTATTTTAAACGTTTTCATTTTCTCTTGGTCGAAGGAGGGACTGTTGTCTATATGGTTTTGTGCAGTAATAAGCCTTTTGCTAGTTAACGTGAATAAAATCTGGTATGCTGAGTTCTTTAAATTCACGTTAACATAGCAATTTGAATTCTCCATACTAAAGACACTGTTGCTATACCTCGTGATTCGAGGCAAGGTTTTGCTTAGTTACATAAGAGACGCCTTGCACACACACACACTGTTTTCAATGCATAAGAAGGGCACAAAGGAACCCGTCCAATCAAGAGATAGCGGTTGCTATGCAAAAGCTTGCCCCGAATCATGAGGTGCAGCAACAGTGTCTGTAGTCTGGGGAATTCAAACTGTTATGTTTATATGCAATCAGATAACTGAGGCTACCAGATTTTATTCAAATTTAACTCACAAAAGGCTTATTAACCCCCCCCAAAAAAGTGCACTGATCCAGGCTAATTTGTGAAGCGTATTTTCATGTAACTTCGCCATGTACCAAAGACCTTTGCTCATCAAAAAACAAATGAACAAAATACAGAGTAACGTCTGTCGTTCAGCATTGTCGGGCAGTCTCTCCTCCTTCCATCTACCACTATATTGTCAATTTGTTATTTGTTTTTGCACTGAGATTGCTTGCCTGCACGTTTCTTGGCACATAATCTCATCATGATAGAGTTTCATGACATCATCTTCAAGGTTGCAGCTGCACAGCAAAACTGGGCACTCGTTGGTGGAAGCATAGCTTACGTTGTAGAGTTCCGTCATTGATGTGATTATGCTAACGTTAACCTTACTAATATGACCAAAAAATCTGGCTTTCAAAAGGCCAAATGCAGTTCAACTGTTGGTTCTTTTAATGTTTTGTGTATCATAGAATGTTCCCTCTTATTTGGTTCTTGAAGGTGTTTTAACCTGTTTTAGTGTTGATTGCTTGAAATGTTACCGTGTTGTGTTTGACATGCGCTACTCTTGATATGGGAGCTTACTTTTTGGTTCACCCATTTTTCCGTTAACCAGCGATTGTGATAGATGTTTTAAATAGCCCAAGAAAATCCAACAGGGCTTTTTTTTACTAAATTTCATTGAAACTTTAATTATTAAAAAATTGATTTATATCTTCAGCAGAAAAGCAATTCAGTGCTACTTTTTTTAAATTGCGCATCAGTTGGACATTTTATGAAAATCCATTTTTTGGCCGAGTAAAATTTTGTAATGTGTCTCATCCTTACCAGCAAATTGGGCTCTTTTTTTTGCGTGTGAATTTGTAAACACGTGTTAAATCTCTGAACATTGCCTTGCTGCGCAAAACGCATAAAGAGGGTTCCTAACATTCGTCTTATCTAAGCAGTTAAACCACGCATCTCAAATTATTTGGCTCCATGCTCACGCAAAATGCTAGCTGTGTTGAGTGGTGGATGCTACTTTCATGTACACAGGTGCACTGTCCAGTACTGATGCCAGTAATTCACACATAATATCTTTAAATGCTCGTGTGTAGCTTTGCGTGGTCTACCTCCATGCATCACGAATGAGTCTGTGTTAGAAAATTCTCACGGTTCATTGATGTGCAGGAACCCTTTATCGTAGCGGTTAGGCAGATTTTGAGTTGCGAGCCCTGCTAAATTTCAGTTGGAGCTCTTACATAGGTACGTGTAAATAGCATGACAAAAATGCAGAAATGTCTTGCGAATGAGGCAGAAAAGAATATAAATGCTGGTGGAGGAGAAACTTTCAGCGTTTTGAGTTTTCCAATCCCGCTGTATTTGTTGGTGTGTCCTTGACTTCGGGTGACTCTGTGTACTTGTGTTTCATTGGATGGAATTGTGTAACAGTGATGCACCTTTGCCGGGGTAGTTGAAAACACGGAGCACTGTAGCAGTGGTTACCAGCTTAGTTAGATATGCCTCCTGTGTCACCCCTCTACCCAATCCCTCTCCCTACCCTCCATGCCCCTGCTTCATCCCATACCTACTCCTTTTTCGGTGCCCTCGCACCCGTCCCTTCCCCCTCCACTTCCACCCCTCCTGTTTTTCCCCCTCGACTTATTTTACCCAGCTTTTTTTTGCACTTCTTTGATCCTACCTCTGTTTCCCCCTCTTCCATACCTGGAGTTCAATCGGTATAAAATTACTTTCTGAAATTGCTTTTTTTTTCTTTTGGGAGAGGTAGTTCTGGTCCTAAATGATGTTCTTATCTCTCTGTCATAAGAAAGGATAAGGCATGATTTTAGACTGAAAAGTTGGAAGGGTTTATTCAGGATGATTGTTTGAACTTTCAGCAGACCCAATTTAGGGGTTTTTAAAATGTTTATTATTAATTTCTGATCTTTAGACAAACATGGATTTTGTTTCAGATTTTAAATTATTTTAAAAGCGTTTACAGATTGAAGGCATTTTCTGGAAAATGTGTAAAATGTCACTAAATAATGAAATCAGTGTGAGCCAGAGTGAGAAATGAGACAGGTGCCAAAAAAATTGATCTATATCGTCAATATAAAACTGGAGGGGTAGCGCTTATTTTCAAAGAGTGGACCACATTTGGGGGTTTTGGTTAGTAAAAAAAAACAACCAACCTCTTGGTGTCTTCCTTATCCACAGACCTCACCCCTCCAGTCAATCCTACTAGGTCCATTCATGCCCTCACCCTAACTGAAGCTTCCATTTCACCCTGATGTTCTTCCACTCAAACCCCTTTGGTCCCCCCTCTCTGTATACTGTGTCTATATCTGAATACCTCCCCAATAATTCTTCCTTCCCCTCCCCACACCTGTAGCCCCTCCCCGTTGTCCTACACCCTGTATCCCTGTACTCCTCACCCTATATCTTAATCCCCCCCTATTGCTGGTGTGTTTCATGTATCTGCCGATGGGTCGTCTAATAATTCCAGCACTCACCTTTTGAATAAAACTTCCTTACACAACTTTTCCATTTTATTTAACAGTTTTAGTGTACAGCCTGTTCTTGTAGCCTAAAATCAGTGAATAGTGTGTATAATTTTAACCTCAGGGACTGGTAAAACAGAACGGCATTGATGAGCCAATGCCAGAAGACCCAGACCGGAGGGAGGAGGAGAGCAAGGAGGAACAGCTGAATGGGGGGAGCGAGGAGGAAGAAGAGAACAGCAGCCAGCCCCCACCTCCCACACCCAGGGAGCACAGGGCATTGCCGTGGACTCCGAAAGTCAGGTGGGAGGGGACACATAAGAGTAAAATTACGTTAGCCCTCTGTGAATGAATCTCAAGATTTCTTTTTGGGGGGGACTTTTGTATGAATGAAAACTGTTTAAAGAAATTCTTGGCATTGATTAGCATTTGTTTATATCCATCAGGCAAAAAGATGTAGACATTTTCTTGGATCACACCAGGAGAAAGTTTGTAGGATTCCAGGTGCAAAGGTAAATAAAAGAAAAAAAGTAGGGCCTGTGATATTGGAATTTGATGTTCCATGTTCAAGTGGTTAAGAATGAAAACAAAATTGGCATTCCACGACAGTGAAATATGTATCCAGGTACACATTTTATCAGTGGCAGGAACCTGCTGGACAGGATCATGTCTTCCCCACTAACATGTTGAATTGGAGTCTCATATAAGTTGACTGTTCATTTTTCATGGTAGATTTGTGTAACAACGAAACACGGGATGCTCAGTTACATCATCCCAGATATTTCTAGGTGAAATCTTGTGTGCCGTTTCTTGCAGCATTTGTAAATGATTACAGATCTAGCGTTCTCAGAATTTGTACTTTCAAAGACTGCTTTATTAACGAGGAAGTAATATGAGCGTTGTTTTACGTCTTTTGAAGTGATCGCGAAACACTGGCTGGACTTCCTCAGCCCATCCATGAAGGCGTTCATGTTCTAAAGAAGGTGAGCATTTACACAGGTCAACCAGTTTTTCCCAACAGATTCTGTTCTTTGGCCCATTAGTTGGAACTTTAGTCCCAGCATTTTATTCTAATGAGCAGGACTATCATAAATCAGGATATCAGAAAAGCGAAAAAATCAATGATAACTGAGAAAGAGAAACTGTGCTCAGCTGAATCGTACTCATCGCTGAATCTTCAAGGTGTTTCGACGTGACATGGTAATTTGCACTTTAACTCTGTTCAAGCGTGGAACTAGAACCCAATTTCGGGGGAGGGAGCCAAACTTTTTTTGGGGGGGGGCAGAAAATTAGAAATTTGTTCGTGCAACATTTGATGGCCTTTGTGAGGAGGGAAACTACATTACAAACTTTTAGAGAAAGGGGACTGAAACTAACTAAAATGTTCACCTTTTTCCTTTTTTTTTTTCAGCACGTGTACGTGTCCCTGGCCGAGATACAGATAAAACAGGAGGAACAAATCAACAAGAACCCCATCTCCAAGGTAATCGATAAAGTGACCAGTAGGTTGCCAGATAGACATCCGGCCACGAACTGTTACAAATATTGAGGAATCTCTCGGCCAAGAAAATAAGAAATGTGTTGCAAATTCATATGTTAACAAAACCACCTGAGAATCAAACCCAGGAGGTAATTTTTTTCACCGGTAACCATCCTTGACTGAGTGAAATATGCCTGTGCTGGTGCACCCATAAACTGAGCGTGAAACTGTGAGTTAAGTAATACATGTACATTAGAAGGGCTGCGTGTGCCTCATTCCTGCAAAACCCTTCAACATGGAAGGATCTATCTAAGTGGGTTACGCTTAATATGATCTGTGAAAAATAAATGACTGCTTTGTCCCACAGGGAGAGGAGAATATCCCAGCGACACCAACGGAGCATCTGTACCAAGCCATGCTGCCTAATCTACCACAGTATATGGTATGGAAAGTTTCTAACCTCCCCCCCCCCATTCATTCTGAGGACTGGGTAAACCATTGGTCGGGTTTCAGCTGGTGAAATTAGTGAACAGTAGGTAAAACAGTGGTTATTGTTTGGCTAGTCAAATTAGCGAATATGGGTAATGCAATGGCTAGGGTTCCGCCAGTCAAGGCAGAATTGATCACTTCTGATGGGCCATTCCCGTGCTTAGTGGACGATGTGATTCAAATATGTCTGTGTTTGTGTTTTTGACCAGTCGTGGGAAATGGCTCTCGAGGGGGCATATTTTTCACTTCATTTTCTTGTAGTGGGATTTGAATCATTCGAGTAACAAGGACATTTTACCTCCTAGATCTCCCTGCTGAAGATTCTCCTCACTGCGGTACCGACGTCCAAGGCCAAGACAGACTCAATCAACATCCTTGCCGATGTGCTTCCAGAAGAAATGCCGTAAGTGTCTCTGTAGAGTATCCCCCTATAGGGACTGCCTGCATCAGTGACCCCCTTTGCTAAGGGCTAGAACAGACCAAGGATGGACCCAGAACCATTTTTTGGGGGGAAGGAGACAAAATTTGGGTTTTGTTGGAGGGGGGATGCGGCCAAAAGGTAACCGTGGGTTCAAACATGGACCCCTTTGAGAATATTCTGAGAATGTACCATCGTCTGGTCCGTCTCCTTGTGCAGGATCACCGTCTTACAGTCCATGAAGCTCGGTATGGACGTCAACCGACACAAGGAGATCATCGTCAAGGCCATCTCGGCACTTTTACTGCTTCTACTGAAACATTTCAAGCTCAACCACGTCTACCAGGTATCCCTGCCGAATACACCCTGATTCCCCGTCCGTATTGATTTTGATTTTTTTTATATTCACAGCTTGTCTTTCCATGTGAGAAATTTTCATCAGCTCCAATTTCTAAGTATTCTTTGCTGGATATCTTCCTTAATCCACCTAGACTCCGTTTTTCTTTTTTTTTATCTGTGTGTCCTGTTTAGTTTGAGTTCATGAGTCAACACCTGGTGTTTGCCAACTGCATCCCGTTGGTCCTCAAGTTCTTCAATCAGAACATCATGGCCTACATCAGCACTAAAAACGGGTAACGTTTTCAGTGATAGTTATTCATTTCCTGGGGCCTTCGTGGAAATAAATCATCAAAAATTACTATTGATAGTGGGTTTTTTTCATGCTAAAGTGCAGTCTTTTAAAAAAATCAGTTGGTAAACAATTCAGTGAGTATGCCATGATTTTAATTTCTGCTTTTAAACAAATGTGAAAAAGACATTTTGGGAATTTGTGAGAATGTAAGACAAGTTTTGTTCGGTCATGTCGTAGAACTGTGACAACCTGTTTGCTTTGTCGTGGAAATTTCCACAAAGTCGTTGAACAAACAAGGGTAGAAACTATAAATGTAACTTTTGTTGAAATATTGATGGATAACAAATGCAGATCAAATGTGAATCTGAGTGACTTGCATGTGGTTGGTGCACAGTGGATATCGGTTGTCCCTTAATCTTGACTCTGGCAGTCCACAGGAAAAAAAATCCACCCCTTTGCTGAAACCGTCTGATGTCTTTGTAATTTTGCCCCTCAAACATTTTTGAGAATAACACCTGTTTTTGTATTTACAGCATCGGTGCCATTGACTTTCCCTCCTGTGTGATTGGCGACCAGCCTGAACTCACCGCAGAAAGCTTGGTAAGTCGGCTTCACCTGGGAGTCCCACAAACATGGCACAGTGTACATACTGTGAAGAGTTTGGGCAGTGATTAGTTGCGCAGTTCTGAATTGGTGACAGAGAGAGATTGTAATGGGTGAATTTGATCAGCTTTCCTGCTCTACTCAAATGAAAGACGGCTGGGTAAGACTAGCAAAACCTAGGCTAATGTTTGCATATTGTCTTGTGCCTTCCTTCAACAAATTTGATAACTTTGAAGTCCTCTCAAAATAAAGTAAAGGGTCATTTCATCACTCAGTTTTTTAATTCTACATACCAGGAGGCCGGTGACACCGTCCCGTATTGCTGGCGGAATCTCTTCTCCTGTATCAACTTGTTGAGAATACTCAACAAGCTCACTAAGTGGAAGCACTCGAGGACCATGGTAAGACCCAAACAGCTAGGGTATTTATAGACATTGTCAATCCTCTGTGAGTGAGAGCTGAAGCTGGACAGTTAGGAGGTTACTCAAGGCCTGTGGGTAACCAAAGCCTGATTTTGGTCATTATGTGTTTTGGGTAGCTACAGTTTGAGTTTTGTAGAAGCCACTGTGAGTAGCCATAGCTTGACTTTGGTAGAATGCACTATGAGTAGCCATAGCTTGACTTTGGTAGAATGCACTGTGAGTAGCCATAGCTTGACTTTGGTAGAATGCACTGTGAGTAGCCATAGCTTGACTTTGGTAGAATGCACCATGAGTAGCCATAGCTTGATTTTGGTAGAATGCACTGTGAGTAGCCATAGCTTGACTTTGGTAGAATACACTGTGAGTAGCCATAGCTTGATTTTGGTAGAATGCACTGTGAGTAGCCATAGCTTGACTTTGGTAGAATGCACTGTGAGTAGCCATAGCTTGACTTTGGTAGAATGCACTGTGAGTAGCCATAGCTTGACTTTGGTAGAATGCACTGTGAGTAGCCGTAGCTTGACTTTGGTAGAATGCACTGTGAGTAGCCATAGCTTGACTTTGGTAGAATGCACTGTGAGTAGCCATAGCTTGACTTTGGTAGAATGCACTGTGACTAGCCATGGTTTGATATTGATAGAAAGTACCTTAGGTGATGGTGTTGGACTAGTTTTGTGGACTGTAAGCTCTGTGTTGACTAAACAGGTAACACCGTGATGTAACAAGGGTCGGCGTGTGGGGAAGTGCCATGTCTTACCCACTGGTTTGCATGCATATTTTGCATGGTTAATTTTCATCTGAATGTGCATAAATGTGAAGCATCGTTGCTTAGGTACCAGGGATGTTACAGCAGTGGCATTCAAGTATCTGTCACCAGAAGATGCGGCACCAGCTCATTGAAGATTATTAGTGCATAAGAAAGTTTTATTAGATTATTAGTGCAAAAGCACATTCTGTGGGGTCAGTTCCACTATCACCAATTCCCACATTTGCAGTAAATGGTTTGCAATAGATTTTCAGGTTATGTTAAGAAAGTGTTGGAATTTCTTAATTTTAAAAAACCGGGCAACAGTGGTATTGTTATATATTTTCAATGCCAGTTTAGCTTTAATGAAGCTGATCTCATCTGCTCCACAGATGTTGGTGGTCTTCAAGTCGGCCCCCATCCTGAAGCGAGCCCTCAAGGTCAAGCAGGCCATGATGCAGGTCTACGTGCTGAAGCTGCTCAAGGTGCAGACCAAGTACCTGGGCAGGCAGTGGCGCAAGAGCAACATGAAGACCATGTCGGCCATCTACCAGAAGGTGCGGCACCGGCTCAATGATGACTGGGCCTATGGAAACGGTGAGACAAGCTCAGGGGTTAGAGGTGGGGGGTGCTTGGGTTAATTATCCCCAAGTGACTTGACTTTAATACTGAGAAACATACCCTCTTACCCCAATACAATAAACAGACTTTCCTCTAGTCATCCAGTAGACATTAGACATTAGTTTAATTTTGTTGAGTGAACACGGACTCACTAAAATGACACGTGAACTGTGAGATTGCAAATCATTAAAAAAAAAACCCACCATATCTAATCCCGATACATGGACATTTTTGTTGACAGACATGGATGCCCGCCCTTGGGACTTCCAAGCGGAGGAGTGCGCCCTGCGTGCCTGTGTGGACCGTTTCAACACCCGACGCTACGACCAGAGCACGCCCAAGGACCCGGAGTACCAGCCCGTGGACAACAACCCGCAGAGCGTGCTAAGCCAGCAGATGGAGCTGAGCGAGGAGTTTAAGCGGTTCTACGAGGCCTGGCTGGACCGCGAGGTCTTCACCACCCAGATCAACTGGGACCTGCTGCTGAAGGACAAGATCTGCACCTAGGGGCCCGAAGGAAGAGGGGGGGGGGAGAGGTTGGGGGTGGGTGTCAATACAAGTGATGCCTGGGGAGGGGGCCTTAATGAGGTCTGTACCAGGGGGAGGGCTGGAGTTGGATGTAAGTAGTGCCCGAGGGGTTCGAAGGGGGGAGGGATTCACATGCTGCCAGTGCCAGGTGGAAGGTCTTGGGCAAAGTCTGTCTGATGCAGTTAAGTAATGGGGAGAGGCCTGAACGGACTGCACTGGGAAGGGAAAAGGGACAAGGGCCTAGGGCAAAATCTGCTCCAGGAGGGGTCTCGATACAGTATTGTCAAGTTGCCTTTCGTTGAGTTGGCAGACTAAACCTGCGTCTACAAAGGCTAAGTTTCAATTTGCTCAGAGAGGTATTCAGATGTGACGTGGGATTTTAAGTAAAAACAACCTAATATATACCCCTGGCTGTTTCAACTTTTAGTGCAAAACGTTGTGATCTAGATCCAGAGACAAACTGTTGCAAAGGGGATCCCGGGCACAAATGCATAGCCAAGCGTGCCAACGAGGTGTCTTCAAATCCCTGGCAGTGTTGTGTTGCCCAATAGGACAGGCAGAATTCTAAGTGGAAGACACTCCCTGATACACCTCCCCCACCCCTCAACAACACTTGATCATCTTGATGAAACCCGGTTACATGTTTGTCAGCAATCCACCTTGTACAGTTGTCATCTAATTTATGACAAGCATGTGCGCCCCGTGTGATGGCTAGTAACTTTGTGTGCAATATTTATAGTGATAGACAGTGGACAAGTTTAGCCACCAAGTTGGGCATTAGAAGATGATGTGGCTCTGTACTCCTTGGACTGTGTGCTGTGAGTGTTGTCTACACAGGAGCCAATTCAAACATGCGGTGGTGTTGCATACCTTAAATGGACACTCCTTTGTTTTTGTGGAGTTTAATATTGAAAACTACTCTGAACACTCTTTTGACCTGATTTCTGTTGTTGCTTTTTGCCAGAAATAATCTCAACTCCAAAATGCATGTACATGTACAGAGTTTGGGGGGGGGCCTGTATGGATGTTCACAAGCCCACAACATTTATTCTGCCTTCTTTTTGCAAAATGGTTGCAAAAACCTCCAGCATCTCTACTTGAGAAGACTGCTCCTGCGTGTAAGTGAGCATGCAGGGATGAATGGAATATGATGTTTTTGATCAAGTTTAGTAATGTCTGCATTTTTTTCATGGAGGTTCCAGGTTTTTTCAAGAGTCCATGAGTATTTTACTAATGAAAAAGTGTCAAAACTTCGGTTGCATTTTGAAAACAAGAAACTTAAAAGAGTGGGTACAACATTAATACAGATGCACATGAATAAAATGCACGTACATGTGTGTACACGGAATGTTGTTAAATAACTGTAAATAGGCGTTATGAAATAAAGTTAGTAGTATTTAAGAGGCTAGTAATTATTGTATTGTCTAACATTTTATCGGAGTTTGTGCTAGAAGAATAAAACCTGTAGACCCTATAATTTTTTGTACGTTTGCTCCCTGCAATGGGTTTGAAGTCCTCAGGTTTGAAAAAAGCCCATCAATCAATAAATCAAGCCCATAATAAATCCAGCGATTTATTGGTAGAAGTGTCCTTTAAACCAATAAATTTTATGCCTTTCCTGTTCGAGCTTTTATAGAAATGAAAAACCCTTTCGAGAACCGGAAAAAATATATATAAGTTTCAGATTGAACTGGTGGGAAAATCCACTTTCTCCGTTGCAGAATCATGATGGGGGTGTCCTCCCTTGAAATGGTCTGATGCTCATTTTGAGAACTTCCATATGAACCGCCCATAATCATCACCCCGTTGTCTAAGACTATCACGCCTAGACCCAGGTTTGACAGAGCCTCTGCGCGAACGTATGTTATAGGGTTCTCACGGGTTTTTACCATGTAGTCTCGCGTGTCTCACGACTACGTGTGAACAAAAATAGACAATTTGTACAAGTAATTTTGTATTCTTTTGGTTCGCATGCAGGATGTCTCCATAAAAACGTCTTCATTCACCGTATGGATTTTGTGTAACAAAAAAACCGCGGCCTCACAGGCCTACTGATGCATGCTGTGATCACTCGTTTTGTGTATTTCCTGCACAAAGGCGCACCTACTTGACCAACGCATTCACTTAATGTAAATATATAGCTATTTTGATGTATTTGGCGATTGGCGTCTTCACCTTTCCCCGTATGGTACTTGCGTGAAGCGCTCACTAGTTAGTGCGGTCCAAATGAAACACGGGCTTGGACTGAGCTTTTGCCAGCTTTGTTGTAAGCCTCGGGGTGCGGCATAGTGTACTCGATCGAAGTCGAAATTATGGCCTTTCTGTCGCCGATTTTGAGTGTGTCGCTCTCCTCATTCCTTAACCCTAACCCTCCTGAATCCTTCACCTGTTGGAGGATTGAGGAGGGTTAGGGTTAATGTGAGATGTGCTCAGTATGTGATTTGTGGAAATAGGTGCTGGGACTTTAGTTACGACACTTTCTGTTGCAGTAGACTGGTTCCTGCTCACATGTACAATACAAACCGGCCGGTTGTACCGTACATCGACAGCGCCCTCTAGCTGTGTTCTCCTCGGCATAGACGACCGTGACACAGATAGATATGGCTCTTTTACCGGCTTTCGGGCGTGCTACTGCAGCTATTTCCAAGGTATTTGGGGCACATTTTGTGGATTGGGTGCCGACGTCTGTACAGCTATGTTACTCAAGAACACGGTGATATGCATCTAAGTTTATATTGAATTTTAAAAGGCTTGGAAATCCCTCCTTCATTTCCAGCTGAGCCGTGGCCGAAGACACTTGGGCATGTCGGGTTACATCACCTGCTGCGCCAGTCTTGAGAAGTCATACTTGTGTTCGATTAACAGTTTATTTTAGTTAATGTAGCGGCTATAGTTAATTAGCCCTTCCCAATCTAACATTAACAGTGTTAGTCTTGTTTTGGATTCAACAAAGTCAACAAGGTCCTGCAGACATGGCAGAAGTTTAGCAATACAAACGCTTTTTAGCATGTTTAGCAAGCTCATGAATTGGGTTCTAGTCCCATGACAATATTAATTTTGGAAAGAGTTTCATATATGGACAACGACGGACAACACTTGATGTGCCGTTGCACAAACCTATGAGATTTGTCTGAAAAAGCCTAAGTCATGTAAGTGTAAGTAAATACTTTGGACTTTTCTAAGCTAAATTTCTTTTTTTGGGGCATGATATCACTTTCTGATGGCTGTTATACTTATTATAGGCCTAACATTTTAAGGGAAAATTAGTGTTGTCTGTGGACATTTTTGGAACTCTTTCTGTTTTTCTGTTTCTTTCCCATTCTCTCTGGTCATTTTTTCTTTAATTGATGGCTATGTTTACTTACCATAGATTTTTTTTGGGGGGGTCTTTTTGATAAATTCACCATGTTTATACCAACTTTTAAAGAGACATGTTTGAGTCCATTCATTGCAGACCGGTCTGGTTCCTGTTTCCAGTGGTGCAGATTGGTGCAATAAGAAGTACATGTAGAAAGCAACCAGTTTAAATTGCTGTAACTAACATTATAGCTATGGTGTATTATAAATGTTACAGTTTGGACAGTACTTGTCTAATCTGTGAATGTGAAGGACCTTCCACTCGCTTTACAGATCCACACCATCTGATGCTCTGTGAAAACTTGTGCCTGTGATATTTGTATGGTTGTAGAGATGATTGTTCATTTTCTTATTTAACAGAAGGGACATTTGCACAGTCTGTCAAGGTGGACCGCCTCCTCTCTTGTTGGCCACAAGAGGCGTTACTCTGAGGGGGCAGCGGAGCAGGACCTCGTCGTGATTGGGTCTGGACCGGGCGGGTATGTTGCCGCAATCAAAGCTGCCCAGCTGGGCATGAAGGTGAGCGGTTGTGTAGTTCAAGATCATGGCTGCATCTGTGATTGTAAGTTCAGTTGCCTGTGTTTCTCTGTGCAGTGGCAAACTCCATTAGATGAAGCCCCTCCTGCTTTGTAGAAGGATGGTGTCTTGTGTGCCTCTCCACGGTTGCGAGTGGCCAAAACACTCTGGAGGACTTTCAGATGGGTTGGTACATTATATTAGTAAACTTGCCACAGCATTGACAGTCAAATTATACAGTAGCGTAATTGTACAGACATATCTGCTCCAAGTGGAACAAAGGACGGCATCTCTTTTTGGTACTCACCACATATGCGCGTAACTAATTTATTGCGGCATGTATGGTCTTTGCGTACATGCAGAACGCGTGCAAGAATCTGCTTGTAACCACCTGTCTTTCTTTCGCCAACTGGGGGTGCACTTCAGTTCAGGGCGGATAACCATCGGTGGAATTTTGCTGGGAAACGCTGTTACCTTTTTTTTTAGATAAGTTGTGGCCCTTCACCGCTACAGTAGTTCCTCCGGCAATGTTGGTAACATTGGGTCAGCTATCATAATAACTAACTGATCAATTTCTCCACAATGATTCGGTCTCCTGTCTCATTTCCGCCATTACTGGAGAACCTTCCTGAGTGTACAGTGATCACATGACCATAATTGAATTCATCTACATGAACAAAAAAAAAGTACATCTCATTTTTATCCTTCACATAGTCCGGCTTTGAAAATCATGTAACCTGGTCTTGCAAAAGATGGTATAATTTAGGGTCATTTTTGAGCTGAACTATGAGACAGCAATTCAACTGACACTGCTCATTTCCCAGATTGGATCATTTATCATCGGTTGATTGGGTTCCTCTTTCGACAAATCTCCTCTCATTCCCAGACGGTATGCATCGAGAAGAACCCCACTTTAGGCGGAACCTGTCTCAACGTGGGCTGCATTCCTTCCAAGGCCCTGCTCAACAACTCCCACTATTATCACCTGGCCAAGTCCAATGACTTCAAGAACAGGGGCATAGACAGTAAGACACTTGATTTGTTGGGTTTTTTTTATTGCTTGATTGGAAACAAGATTGCTGAGAGAGTTTTGATCGCTGTAAGTACCTACGCAATCCCCCATGAGCTGCCTACTGTTAACCCTTAACCCAGTCGTGTTACCTCTCTGCCAAATACAACAAAATCCTACGTGCTAGAAAGGTGATGTAGATAAAAGGGTACCTGAACATTTTGGGGACTTGTGTTCTTGCCCTGTAGTTGGCGACCTCCAGCTGAACCTACCCAAGATGATGGAGCAGAAATCCGGGGCAGTCAAGGCCCTGACCAACGGCATTGCACACCTTTTCAAACAGAACAAGGTACAACAGGCAGTTGGCCCAGCCTTTCCGCACAAAACCCTACAAACACGATCCAGGACCAAGTGCACTGTGTGGCTTTCCTAGTTCAAAAATATGGCATTACTAGTTTGGGAATCTTTATTAGGCTGTTTGTGGTTTCTTTGAGAATAAAGCTTCAATTCCTCCCAAGGTTGATTTTTGTACATATAGGGTCATGGATGAAACCTCACCAGTGATTACGTCCTTGAAGTGAGGGCCTGCTCCTCTGTTCACAATAGTATCCTGGGTGTTTGTACATGTACATCTTCACAGGTTGATGTATAAAACATTTAGAACTCCAAAAATGTCAGATATCCGTTCAGTGGTTATTGCAAAATATGCCTCTCCGATGAGATTTACCGATAAAAGCGTTTGTTACAAAGTTGATACTTTCTTCTCAAAATGGTAGGTAGCCAGAGTGGAGGGGCATGGTAAGATAACCACACCCAATGAAGTGGCTGTACTGTATCCAGATGGAAAGGTCAAAGAGGTCATCAAGACAAAGAACATCCTTATAGCAACGGGGTCAGAGGTCACGCCATTTCCAGGAATAGAAGTGGGTCATATTTGATAACTCACAATGGTTAAACAGCATTGACTGAACCTCAGTACATGTATTTAAATTATTCTGAACACTTAACTTGCCACAGAATGTTTTTCCTACGAAAGTTACCCGAACATTGCGTCTCTTATTGTTACTTTGCAGATTGATGAAAAGACAGTCGTGTCGTCCACCGGTGCGCTGTCGTTAGAGAAAGTTCCAGAACACATGGTGCTAATAGGAGCCGGGGTGATCGGACTGGAGCTGGTGAGTGTGATCTGTCATGAGGCCTTGCTGACCACGTTGTCGTGGCTGCGCCCAACTGTAGACTTTACCGCCTGGCAATTTGGCACCGTGCAGGAGATGTAGTCAGCACTTGTGTGACTTTAAGATTCACTGAAATCAAGGATGGATACTTTGCAGGAAAACACCTGTTCATGTTTGAATTGAGCAGTAAGCGAGGGAGTGAATTCACGTACACTCTGACCGAGGATTAGAACACAATGCAGGATTAATTCTTTATCTGCGCAAATTGATCTTTCACTGAAATTGGTCCGCTGACTTGCAAAAGTGGGTCTTCGAGGACATCATTGCAGGAACAATGAGAAATGCAATGCCATATCCTCTATAACCCGGCATCGAAAGGCACAGGACTCTTTGAAGGCGTATGCTGGATTTTGTTGTCAAAATCAGTAAGGATTTCTACGTTTAACTGAAGAGCGTGGAGAAATCGGCAAAAAAATGAAAGGTGATTCAAACACCATTTTTAGCTGTGATCACAGTGCTAACAATTAAACAGGAAAATGTGTCCTATCTCTTTTCCTTTTTGCCTCTAGGGTTCTGTGTGGCAGAGGCTAGGGGCTAAAGTCACGGCGGTGGAATTCCTGGCACACGTAGGCGGCATGGGTATCGACATGGAAATATCGTAAGTTGCTGAGCAAGTGTCTGTTAAATATTTCTGGGAAACCTTTTGCACTGTAAGCCTCTTATTTCCTGGAAGCTTATGCGCAAACCCTTAGTGTGGACCTCAAGAACTGCACTGCCGTGGCAAGCACTCTTGACTCAAGTTACGAAGGGACCTGCAATGAGTACAGTGATGCAAAAGTGGTGGTATTGTATCAAGGGAATAGGCCTGCGTAAAGGAATGATGCTTTGTGAGGTGCGTCGTGATGGCACTGATGTCAGTCTCTCTGTGGATGTCTGAGGGTTTGACAAGCGTTAAGTTGACAAAACTTGCAGTGTTTGGTACAAGATTAAGATTCTTTTAGCGGCATTGATATTTGACTGTGTAGGAAGAACTTCCAGAGGATTCTCAAGAAGCAAGGCATCAGCTTCATGATGAGCACCAAGGTGACAGGGGCCACCAAGACGGACGCGGGTATCTCGGTCGCCGTGGAGTCCGTCTCTGACCCCGGCAAGAAGCAGGAGCTACAGTGCGACACGTTACTGGTCTGCATCGGCCGACGGCCGTACACACATAATTTGGGACTAGAGGTAGGTGCATTTGAAATACTTTGTGGTTATTAATGCTTACAACCTCGGCAGGATTGACAATAGTAAATAAAGATGTGGAGCCGTGTTTATCAGAGGGGTCATGTCTCAGAAATGACTTGGAGTTTTGCTGCAGAAAGTAGTCGTGTTTTTGTAATGAAATTACTCTTTTTTGGAGGAGAACATCGTAGAGAAATAATTTCCACCCCAGAGTTAAATTTTTCCCATTCTATTTCCCTCTTTTTGCTCAAAGGCTGTTGGAACAATAACACCGGTACCCACTGCTTATTTTACAGGATGTCGGTATTGAACTGGATGACAAAGGCAGGGTGCCAGTTAATGAGAGATTTGCAAGCAAAGTGCCAAGGTATGTTCAAGATTTGTTGTTTAAGTATTCGCTCTCACTTTTGTATGATCTTGAATATATCTAAGAAAAGTAAGTGGAAAAAATTTGTATTTCAGGACGAGTAGTGAATGTGAACCTCACATTGACAATTAAATTAAAAGAAATTTTCAAGCGAACATTATTACATGTAATGTTAAAATAAAAAGAATACTTGATTTCACAAACTATATTTTGGGGGGGTCATTGTTACTGGGGTAACCCCTATATGTCTTGGAATTGTAACTGAAAAACAGTTTTGGTCCTGTATTCGATATGTCAATCATAAAAGTGATCAAATTTCAACTCATCCTTTATATGCCCAACACCTTCATTGCAGCGTCTTTGCCATTGGTGACTGCATCCACGGACCCATGCTGGCCCACAAGGCGGAAGATGAGGGCATCATTTGCGTGGAGGGTATCGCGGGCGGGGCAGTCCACATCGACTACAACTGCGTGCCCTCGGTCATCTACACCCACCCGGAGGTGGCCTGGGTGGGGAAATCGGAGGAGCAGCTGAAGGAGGAGGGCGTGGCCTACAAAGTGGGCAAGTTCCCCTTCGCTGCCAACAGCCGGGCCAAGACCAACTGTAAGGGAGTCAACATCGTATCAATGAAAATGCGCCCCTTTCCATGTTCTGGTCTGTTGGTTTTACCCACTGGCGCTGCAGTAATGTTGGTCTGACCTACATCAGAAGATCCTGTAATCACCGATGCTTGAAGTAAATGAAATACTAACTGTCTAGTCAACTCTCTCCCCATAACAACTCATCCAGACAAACAGGAGAGTACCAATTTATAGATTGATTTATCGGTGCCACAGCAGTGCTTGTGCTTGCGCTATCCCAATGAAACCTTCTCCCATTTTGCTGGGATTCTGTATGCACCATAAGGTATGCTTGGGCATCACAGATTTCACCTTAAAACAGCATCACAGTAACAGAAATGCCGATGTGTGCATGAACTTCAGCTTTCCGAGGCCATTAAACAAGCTGAGCACTATCTTCCTGGACAACTTGGGGGGACTTTCCCAAATCCTCCAAAATCATCCATCATGTTGGAAATCAACTCCACGTCTTTTTGCTTTAACATTCAAGGGTCATCAAGCCCTGTGTAAGAGAACAGTGGCTGAGTCGTTGATTCCTTAACCCTCCAAAATCCTCCACTTCTTCCTGGTAGATTTTGAAGGATGCGGGAGAACTGAGGTTGAGAGTGTGCTGTTAACAAATAACGCAACATTTCCACCAACCAACATGCGGCACATTTACATGAGTTCCTTTTGCGGACAATTAAGCAACAACTCTTGCTCAACAATGAAGGTCTAATAGTCCCTTTTGTTTTTACCGTATAAATGATGCCGTTTTCTTCTATGTGGAAATTTCTCCTCAGCCGACACTGATGGACTCGTCAAGATTCTGAGCGATGCCACCACGGACAGAATGCTGGGGGCCCACATCATGGGACCCAACGCCGGGGAACTGATTAACGAAGCGGCGTTAGCAATGGAGTACGGCGCGTCCTGTGAAGACGTAGCGAGAGTGTGCCACGCTCACCCGGTGAGTTCCTTAAAACTCAAACTCTTTCAGTAAACGGGGCAGTGGGCTTGTTTCTTCCTCAGTAACTTCATGGGACCTTTCTACTTGGTTAGAAAAAAATAAACAGTGTCTCTTTGAATTTCTGCACAGATTGCATTGTGGGTCTAAGTGATCTTTGCTCTGGCATGGGGGTCATCTTCAGCTGAAATAGCTGTGAGAGGACACACTCAAATGATCACATGCTTAACATATGTACTGTTTATGAATAAAGCCAATCTTGAAGAGATATGCATCTGAAGCTTGATCGTAGACCCATGATAACATGGAATACGTTCAAGTGTTCCGGAACACACTTGTATTTTGTACACATTTTTTTGTTCCTTGTGAAAGTTTGATGTGCTCATTGCCTGTAACAAAGAGGTAAATCTTTATGGGTCATTCCATGAGGTAGGGGTACAATTTGTGACGGTGTCAGTTGTTACATCGGTTCCGTAAAAATGAACAGCTATTTCCCTGCAGGTGGATTCCAAATTGACATTGTTATACATCTTGCAAAGCTGAATGCAGAGGGTTGTGTTATATTTACAGAGTAAATGACCTACTCTACAGGTCATGACAGGTGGTAAAAGTTTTGGATGTAACTAGGACACTGTCACAAATTGTGTCCCAGCCGCATGGAATGGCCCTTATGTAAAATGACATCATAAAGATATGAAAACTTTCAGAAAATTTCATTTCTTTCAACTTCATAATAAGTAGACAGCCAGTTGGCATGATAAGCGGCCAGTTCATCATGGATTTGGACATGCTTTGAATTGCCTTACAGTGCATTGTTATCACATTGCACTTGTTGCTGACAACCACCAATGCTCAAATTCTCTGCTGTTTTTGAGAATTGGAATATTCTTTGTGTTCTCCTCTGCAGACGGTGTCCGAAGCTTTCCGCGAGGCCAACATGTCGGCGTACATCGGCAAAGCGATCAACTTTTAAATTGCTGTAAATACCCTCACAAAATAGTTCTAACAATCACTAAGTATTTTCAGTTCATGACTGCCCTGGGTTTGGGCACAGAGTGTATTATTGAATTTATTATTGAGTCTGTCTCTAGCTCGTCTTGCAGCATCTTCAGAAATAATTGATTGTTACTCCGTTTAACTGTCTAAAACTTGTTTGACCTCCTACCCCTCAACAGTAAAATTGAGTTTACTTTCCGTTCCTTTAAACTTTCATACACGACATTATTCTAGTCTTTTCCTGTGTGGTGCTTTGTTAATGGGCATTGCAAGTGTTGCGTTTTCTTGGACAGTTAAAAATGAACACCGTCAAGAAGGTAGCATTACCGCACGATAGGTCTCGTCAGGGAATTTGGCCAGATACCTGAAATGATCGTTTGAAATATTACTTTCTTCATTTGAATTTGGCCCCTTTCTCCCGATAAAGTCTTCAAGGTTAGTAGTCTGCTTATTGCATTTTATCATAATTTTTTTAATGTTCTGAAAGATGTATCCGATGATTATTTATTTTATCCATCATGCCTCTATGATTTCTACATTGTTTACAAGAGCACTTCTTGCATACCATAAACTTGGAAATTGTTCATCCGGTGTGAATACCAGCAACAAAATATACAGAACAGCATCCCCAATAAAACAAGTTTTCAAAACTGACATCTTGTTTTACGTCCTTTAATGACTCCAAATATGCTCCTTTCCCATCTGCAAATTTATGGAAACGTGAATAAACATGTTTATTTTCCATAACATAAGTTTAGGAGAAAATAAGCAGAAAATGTCCAGATGTCTTCTTACACTGTTTCAACATGTGAATGGATCATTGTCAGCTACCAACATTGGGATTCAAACCTGGTGGTTTATTTAGCAACATTTTCTCCGTGCAAAAGTCCACTGAAAGGGTACAATTTCAAGATTTGTTGTACTTCTGGTTGCTGCGAAATTCGCTACATATTCAACATTTTGAAAAGTTCACTTCAACTTGTAATTGTTTTATTAAAACTTGTTCAATTTTGTACTGGGATTTTCTGGGGTAAATCACTGAGCATAGACGGCAACAAACACGTTGAAATTGTTAGCTAAGTCAAAATAAATGCCAATGCTAAAGTCACAGTGACAAAGACAACGAAAGTCTGAAATATATTTTCATACTTTAAAACTTTGAAGTTTATGTGTCCATAGCAAACATAAACAGAAAAAATTTTTTTAATAAATCTCCTACAAAACTAGTTTTTCTAAGAATTCGTACCAAGTAGCTGAACTGAGAGACTATTCACTTTAAAGAGGAATAATGTTAATGGAAAAACTTATACTTCATTTCTTAGAATTAAAGTTTCCAAAAGACTACAAAAAGAAAACAAAATGAGCACCTCATAGTGAGAAAATTGTTATAGTAATAAGATATTAATCTCATTTCACGCTTTTTAATCTGGGTTATAGATGGCAAGTAAATATTAATATTATTGAATTGAAAATCAATTCTTCAAAATCTGATTTTTTAAATATTGAAGATGCGATAATTTACAAGCATTTAAGGCAGTAATGTTAGAGTATCATATTCAATACTATTAGGCACAATTTCCAAAGAAAGATTTAAGAAATGACCACCACTTGGTATAAATAAAATCTCAATTTTTGAACCAAGAAATCCAGATTAAATATCTTTTTTTTGCATACACTGGCATACACATCATATGTATATAATATCTCCATTTTGCTGCAACATGAGCACTCATTAATCTACAAATTCATGCAGAAAAGGTTTCCTTAGAAACATGCTTCTAACTGCTACAATGCAAAGTTTGTGTAATACTGCTTGAATCCTGATATTAAGATGCGACCACATGTAAAATGCGTTAGCTTCGTTACAAACTGTTTGCTAAGTTTGCTTAATTATAGGCATTTTCAACATACCAAATTCTTCTGAGTAAGTTCACATTCAGCGTTGAAAGGAAACTTGCTACATTTGTGGTACACAGTTGTCTGACGTCCTACTCCTGTAATTCAACAATCGTCTGCCAAGCATCAAGTACTTCAGTGACTTCCATTTAGAGGCTCGGTTGTTTGTTGCGGCTGTCTTCTCTCAGCCATGCCAGCTTCCTGGGTCATGGGTGCCGCCGTGTTAGGCGGGGCCGAGTAACATCTCTCTGACTCTTCAACAGCCCTTTTCATTTGGGAGATGGTTGCTCTAGCACTAACTGATGTAGAGTCCGTACATGAAGAAGCTAGCGGTGCCTTGGCCTGCTGTGGTGCTGCCCTGGGCAATGCCTCTGTCTCTTGGCTTGGATCCCGTCTACTCGGTAAGAACTGTCGCATCTGCTCGGAGGTCAGAGAAGACTGCAGAATGGGTTTGTTGTCTTCCTTGGCAGTCAAAGGTCCTTCGTCGGATATTTCAGTTGCCACGGCTGCTGATGCTGGCTGGGCTGCGCTCCTGTCTTGACAATGCGAGGCAGACGCCAGGGCATCCTGAAGTCTGTTAGTGGCGGATTCTCCTTCTGCCTCTTCAGTTGGCTCACGCTTGCTGGGCAAAAAATGCCTCATCTGGACTGTTGTCAGTGATGACTTGAGAAGAGATGATTCCTCGTCCGTGCCCTTGTCAGTTACTGCAGTCTGGTTTGCCATTGGCCCAGTTGAGCCCACCTTAGCCATATTCTCCGATGACTGCCCCGGCATTTTCTCAGTCTGCTGGCTTGGTTCACGAGGCCTGCCAGCCAGGTATTGCTGCATCTCGGCAGTGGTGAGGGAAGTACGAAGCGGGGTGACTTCTTCGTCACTGTCCTCACTGATTGCTGTGACAAGGGAGGGTTTGAACGACTTCTCCTTCATCCCGGGCTTGTATCCAGGGATGATGTCTGTATTCTGCTCGGGCTCTCTCCTGGGGGTGCCCCCTGTAGCAAAGGTAGGTGGCTGTGTCTGACGATCAGCCAGCACCCTAGAGGCTGGGTCTTGCTGTGGGAGACCTCCAATGGGTTTGGTGGGCAGCTGTGAGATGTCCAACTGCTTCATGTGATCCTGGAGGGTCAGGCTCTCCTGGCGTTGCTGACCACTGTTGGAGGATGATGGGACAGCGGGATTCTGGATGGAGTAGAAACTGGCTTCAGTCGTCTGGTGCCTGAAATCCTGCTGGGGATAGGGGCTGATGTTGCCGACCATCGACGAACACAGGGGGTTCTGGTACTGAGATGGCACCTGCTGTAGCTGTGGGTAGCCCTGGGGAATTTGGCCACGGTAGCCTGCAGGGTACCGGAGGCCAGGGTAAGGCTGGCGTGGATCTGGGTGTCTGGAGTCGTAGACAGGGGGACTGTAGGGCTGCGACTGCTGATGATGATAGGTAACTGACGATGGCATAGATGACTGGCTGTGATACAGGAGTGGTGTGCACATTGATGGGTCATTCATCCGGGAAAGATCGTAAGATGTCAGCGAAGAGGACGAGGAAGAAAAATCTAGCATCTTGTCCTCCCCTGCCAGGTTGTTCTCCTCCGACGTGGTGGAAGACATGTGCCTCCTGATACCTGGTTGAAAGCCCTGCCTTGGGCCACAGTAACCCTGAGGGGGCAGTGGGTGGCACCCCTGGGCATAGCCAGGTCCCCCCTGTGGCATCGGATGCCTTGGATAGTTCACCTCGTACCTCGGATCGGGGACCAGTCCCGGCCTGACGGTCACTGCATTGTTGGACTCAATACTCCAATCACGCCTCATCGGTGCCCGGCCTTGACCTTGGGGTCCCATGGTGGGTGGGGGGTACCTCAGCATTGCCTCATGAGCTTGTGGACTGTGCCTCTGTGTCTGGGCAGTAAAATGTGGATCGTAGATAACTTCGGGGCTTTGTCGGTGGGAATCCTGCACCGGATACTCTGAGAGATAAATACAGAATCTGAAATCAGATTCTCAATTCAATAAATAACTTTTCCTGCTCTTTACCGAAATGATAGATCTTTGACAACCAGGAATCTAGAAACAATGACACTGAATGCCACTCTGAGAGGGGCTTGGGAAATTTTCTCTTTAAGAAGGTTGGCATTGTATTCAATAAAGTCAAGGTACAGTGCAGGGGTGAGATTGACCAATGATAAAAATAGCCGAAAACAGCTGAAAAAGGCATACAGAAGCTGAACTGTGAAAATCTTCAACATGTATACTTTTGTACACAGCCAGTGAGGGAAAAAAGCTGAAATTCAAAACAAAAAAAGCTGACATCAGCTAACAAGCTGAGAAATCTCACCCCTGACGATGGCAATGAAGAGGGACTCACAACACAGTATACTTTATCGGATAGAGTAAGTTATAATATTTGTTTAACAACTAAAATACAAAATGCAAATTTGAAGGCAATGATTTGAGAGCTAACAAGAAAAGATCTGTTAACACAATCTCACTGGTACACCAGTGTTGGTTGCAAGAAAGTCCTGTAAACCCTTTTTTTTTGTAACTGGTAAAATGGACTAAAAAGACTCTCAAACAATGTGCCAAAAATGGCTACCTTCTCTGTGTTTCTGCATCTCATCACGTCTGGATATTTCAGCAGCGATGTCTCTCAAGGTGTTGACAGCCTGGAAAGATTTGTATGAAGAAAAGAATACAGTAAATATTAACTGCACCACTTTATGTGATTATGGCATTACAAGACTACAGTACACAACTCCAGGTAGGTCACACATTCTTAACAAACAAATCCAGTACAAAAGTAGGATACATCGGGCAAAATGTTGGGAAATTGATTTGCTGGCCATTTTTCCTGATTGCAAACATTATGATGATCCAAAATGTATACCCCAAAACAACAACCAATAAAACTGATCAATATAATATTTAAAACAGGACAGAAATTGGAAAACATCGCCACAAAAAAAGCATCTTTCTTAATTTGTGTATATTCACACTGAACCATATCGCTCACCTGATCTATTTCTGGTCGCTGTGTGAACTTTGATTTGGTGCATTTCAGGGCTAGGTCCAGCAGCCACCAAGCGATGTCCCAAGGCCAGTTAGGACAACGCCGGTCCCTGATCCTTTCGATCACGCCTTGCTGCTGTTTCTCAAGCTCCAAGGCCTCCTCGATGATGTCAGTCTGAGAAAACAAATATTCAACCCATATCTGAACAAAAAGGCTGTAGTTAATAGAGCATAAGAACTCAATGAACGTTTCATATTCTGAGTTCTTAATAACCGTGCTACGTTCACAGGTCTTCATAAAGGCTTCTAAATGATGTTTCACACTCTTCATTCTCTTGAGGATTTTCAGGTTTTTTATTCTCAGTAAATGTGTCAGGCCCTTTTTGTTGACAAGGATTTCATTTTTTTTAGATATTAGGATCTAACATTTTTTTATATTTCAGATCAAATGTGCCGTGTAACTGAATCAAAATTCCAAAAATTGCATTTCAAATTAAAATGATAATACTGAACAATTTTACAACTGTTAGCTGTCCGGTAATGTTTTTGCCCCTCTGCAATAATGCCAAAAAACTTTATTTTACCAAGAGTCTGTTGGGTTCACGCCTGCTATCTGCAACTCGTTCCCCAGCAAGGATTTCCATCAACACCTGAAAAAGGGCACAATCTACTTTAGTGTACATGTAATAAAAGACTTTTTTTCCATAACTGATGTAGAGTTCTTGGCAAATGTGAGGTTCCACTTTGGTTAAGTATAACACAGTGTTGGATTTGGGGGACTTCAAACCTTTTCAATCCAAACTGCACACAAAGTTAGGGTTTTTGAAGGGTATTTTCTGAAGACTCAACAAATGACCCTAATACATCATGGTAATCTGTCAAAAAGGGTTGAATTTGATTTGATTTCTTATTTTTGGCACTCACCACACCAAAGCTGAAGACGTCCACCTTGGTGGAGAGTTTGAAGCTTCTCTTGAACTCCTCGGGCAAATAGGGTAAGGTTCCGTGAGCGTTCTTTGTCTTTAGGTAACAGTAGGTCTTGCCGTTCTCTGGACCAAACCTGGCCAGACCAAAGTCGGCTATCTTGGGCTCCATGTGCTTGCCTAGCAGGATGTTGGCGCTGTTGAGGAAGAGGAAAAAATACAGAAAACAAGGCAAAGTTGGTGAATATAAAAAAATAGTTAGTTGGGGAACATAACGAAATTAAGGAGTGCCTACAGGCTAATACATGTACATTTTACTATTGCAGAATTTAACTAACAATTATCCAGTTGAAGGAATATTAACTTTTCTACAAGTCTCGTAAGACAGGGGCAGGAATTTGAAATTTGTAAAATACCAAGAGCTGAAGAAACCAGAAATGTTGAGCACGTCATATCAGTGTAAAACAAGAGGTTTTGAAACCAATAAGTATACACTGAAATGGTGTATCAGATCTTGAGGTTTACAATGGCCACTTCACGACTTTGGCCACATCTCCAGTCTATAGGTAGAAAGATCCTTCCTTTTAACTCCAAGCAAATATTTTGCCATCATCAAGAGGTAATTCAAACTCCTACGGTAGGTTGTCCATACCTTTTGATATCGCCGTGGATCAGAGGCTTGTCCTGGGCCTTGTGGAGGAAGTTGATCCCCAGCGCTGCGCCCTCTGCAATCCTGTGCCGGGTCCTCCAATCCAGGGGACCTCGCTGGGCCTACAGGTGAATTATAAGTGGGAAAGAGTAATCTTTTCACAGTGTATAAGTTTGCTTGAGGAGTAAGGCAAAGACAAAACTCGTGGCAACTATACTTCTGCTCTGACACCATTATTAAATGACACTTATTAGCTTCACAATGCCGGTTACAACTGATAGAATTTGAAGTCATTATTCTATTCAGATTATAGACTGGAAAGGAAAAAGGGGATTTTACTCAGGGATGATTTTAAGAGTTTTTCTCTGACAGTAAAAGCCTTTTTAGTCACTCTATCATTATGTACATTACAACTACCCTAGGTTTATGATGAATACCTCCATGATATACTGTCCAGAATATCCTGGCAGGGCCAAACTATTTATAGATTATAGTTCTAGACAGGTGCAATGCTTCTGAAATTTAAACCAAATAGTCTTTTTTGTCCAACCGTGCTGTAGTATTATTTGTCTAAAAGACCTCTTCTTCCCCATTCATCGTATTCATGGGCTGTGAAACTTGGTATAGCGCTGGATTTGGGGGTTTTCTAAACCACAATTTTGTTTCATATGTGAGCTTCAAGCTTCAGTTTATGTGAAATCACTCTCCTAAGTTTACAGGGCCTTGGTGACTGTAGCTCCATCTTTCTGACACATAAAATATTAAACAATCTAATGCCGGGTCAGACTTTGGAATGCTTCATTTAATTCCAACAGTAAATTTTTCTTGATAATTTACGTGCATTAAAATGGAGATAATGAATCCAATATTTGGAAAATGCCTGAACTGAAATGAATCATCTCACGTATTCAATGCATTTACCTTGCAGAGTAAATTGTCTTCCAGAGATCCATTCTCCATGAACTCATAGACCAGACAGGGAGATGGGCCATCAAAGCAGAAAGCACACAAGGCAACAATGTAGGGATTGCGATAACTGCAGCCAGACACAAAATAAATGGTGGGAAAAATGAAAAATGCTAATATGATTATGTATAAATTTATATACCAATAACCTGTTTTGGGCAGAGAATTATAAACCAAAATGTGGATTGCAGATAATCAGATTTTGAATTGTAAAATTTAAACAAACGGGGAACAAATTATTTTCATAAAAGAGGAAACTTGACAAAGTGTTCGGCCCCTCAGAAAACTGACTTTGCCAAACAATGGGGCATTTAAATATTATAAACAATTAAACTATCAACATTATGGTTAATTTAGATATTTGAAAGAGACCCAAGTTAATCCTGCATAGCACTCAGAAATCTCATTGACCGAATACAAACAGGATATTTTGGGGGCACTATCAGTCCCAAACTTATCAGCTTTGGCAATTCCTGTATTCCTGTAATTTCCGCTGTTTCAATTATAGGCATCATATTCCATTAGAAGCTTCCTGCTAAAAAAACCTGTATCACACGTCACATCCCATGTATGTCACAAAATAGGGAAACAAAGCCTTTGACGTATCATCCACTTCACCGTTTCATACTAACACATCCACAAGTGATTTTGAAGGACTATACAACAGTTGATCTTCAATAACAATAACCAGACACGCACCTTAACATTTGGCAGTTTCAATTTCAAAGCTTGTTGAAAAATGCCAGAAAAAAATAAATCCCAACTTGTAAAAATGATAACTTCTGCATTGACAAAGATCACACAAATTGAGATGTCAGGTGCTATGTAACTTCAATAACATCTGCACATAAGATTCTTGTTATACATTTGAAAGCGGGTGGATTATCAATACAACTCGTTTATGACTCGTTTATCACATGTTCTCATGATTTGTCTCAGAAAAAAAAAGAAGGAAAATACTCACGTAACGAGAGCCCGTAGTTCTTTCATCTGGTCGGCCCGGGCAATCTTGTTGGTCTCAAGACCCATGTACTCATTCTGTGAAAGAAAAGAAAAACTTGCATCACAGTTGAGCAATGAATCTGTACAGGTAGAGAAAGGCACAATCCTGTACAGTGGATGATGCAGCACAAATTTGAAGTTTCTTGGCTAAATCCAGTTACAAGCAAAATTGCAAGAGGCTGTATGTTGGTTGCAACTAGTTCTTTGCAAATCTTGACTCAACATTTTAAATTTGCAGATATTTTCAGCTCAAGAGTTGCAAAAATAGGGTACTTTCTGTGAGAACACAAAGTCAGATGATGACGACCAACTAATGCAGAAACTTTCCTGTTGATAACTTCAAATTGGCTACGAGCTCTCATAAGTGATTATAAAGATGAATAAAGAAATTGACTGGAGCGGGATTTGAACCTGCAACCTCTGGAACACCGTACCAGTGCTCTACCAACTGAGCTATCCTGCCCTATGTTGGTGGTTCTTCCCATTTGTCAATACCTCTGTTTGGGGGCACTAGCCAGAAGCCATTAAACCTGGAACACCATAAAGCCAGGGATCACACCCTAATAACATGATACAACCTGGGAAGTGATGAACAAGGATCACTCAAAGAGGATACGGCTTTTTAAACATATATTATGAAACAAACTACATAGCGAAACAAAAGTCTTAGAGTCATAAGAGTCAAGCTCTTCAATTATTCAGCGTTAAAATGTGACAATATTGGAGGATGATTTTGTTGAGACTTTTCAAGGCTACACATCCAGAAAGCATCACATACACATACCTGTTTCATTCGTTTTACAGCGTAGTGAATCAGATTAATGACAGCGTGGTAAACCGTGCCAAAAGAGCCCTCTCCCAGTTTGTAGGTTCCATCAAAGTTATTGGTCGCTTTGACGATGTCGTTGTAGGGGATATGGATGGTTAGGCTAAGTGCTGACTTGTCCTGATCTGTTGACAAACAAATATTGTAAACAATAACCAAGAGCTGACAAATTTCATGGACACCGGCAGATTTCCCTTTTGGAAGATTTATCATGGCTCCACTGTTTACTTTTCCAAGTATTTCTTTGAAAGTTGGTTGAGGACACGTAAGTAAATCTGAAGGTCATAGATTTCAATCCTTCAACAGTGTGTATTTCCTTTGCTCAGTCAAAAATTGCTGTGAAATGTATCAGTTCAATTTCTTCTTTCTTATTAATTTGAATCATTATGACGATGGGATAATGAGTAAACAGCGAGCTTACACACAAACACTGTTGATGGTTCCAGTCGGAAAGACCATGAAACTGGTAATATGTTCCATATATTATGCTGCTTTTAGGCAAGACTGAACTATAAAGCTGAATTCAATGACATTCATACAAGGCAAACTGTATCTCTTACTACATTCCATGACATGTACAAATTTACATGTCATCATAACAGCAACTTTTAAAATTTACATGACAAGTGTAGTTAGTTATATCAAGTGGAATTATTTCTTTCCTGTACATTTCTTAAACAAATATTATTCTTATATCAAAGAGTACATGTTAAAATGACTAATGGACAGTATCAGAATCTAATAACTAGTAGAGGATTGTTTATAAAAATTTTTAAGTTATGCCCACGACTACTGACTAAATGAAACAAACCGAAACGCTGAGTAACAAAATCATTTGTTCCAGTAATTAGAAACCTGAGGAAACTTTGCATTTTTACAGAAAGTGATCAGCATCTGTGCCAGTTTCCAATGAAGAAGTATTGATGGAAATCATGAAAACAACTCACAATTTTCCAGCCTCTCTTTCTCTCCCAATTCCTGGCTGGTGTTAGGTGAGGTTATCTCACCGCTACCACCGCTGACCAGCTCGCCTTTGTTGGCACTGCCGGCGGATCCACTGGTCTCCCCCTGCCAGCCCTTGAAGGGCGAGCCCAGGCCAATGACCTTCTCTGAGGAGTCCTTGTTGATGTTGGCCGTCAGGCCCTCGCTCCTCCTGCCTTGTTGCTGTTTGCTGGGGTTCTGCGACAAGCCGTTCCATGACCCCTGGGTGGCCTGGGGCTGACCGGGTCGCTGGAGGTGAGGCTGGTGGCCCTGAGACATCTGCCCACCTGCAGCGTAAGGAGGCTGGCCCCCTGCACCTAATGGCAGAAATCAGGGAAAATTCAATGTAAAAAAGTAAACCAACACTCGAAAGTTATCAGTTGTAAATCCCTAAGAACTCCATCTTGGTATAAGGTTAATGTGTTGCTGACCTTGTGACCTCTGATGAGGTATCAACTCCATTTGAATATTAATATGTACTCAAATACTCCTGCACTCTGTGTATGTTGAAACTAGCCCATTCAGACTATGACTAAGGCAAAAATTACTCCAGACACTTTGAGGTCCGGTATCACCAATCTGAGGTGAGTTCACTTGTCTTGATATTTTGCTGGACTTACCTGGGATGTAGGTGACCGGGGGAATGGTGGGGTGTCCTGGGTGGATGGGGGCGGCTGAGCTGTTATCGTCATCTGGCTGCACCCCTTGTACCTCCCGGATGAGCTGATGCAGACTGGGATCGACTGGTGAGGAAGACAGATAATTTAGCATTATGGGCTCCGTGCAGAAAAAGAGAGAGGTGATACAGGCAATTTACAATAGAGTGCGCCACCAAGAGGTTGCCATGGAGAGGCCATTTTCACAGTACACACTGCAGTAAATGGTTGACAGATTCCATGTGCTGGCTGCATCTGGGAATTGCGATGTTTGTTTGTCTGGGTAGAAGATTTGTACATGTACCTGTCTTTGAGCATCACCTTTGGTTAATCCTTTCTTCTTTCCACTGCACAGAATGCCCTGATATATCAAAAATTGTCTAGAGACAATCACTCAAATACATATCACAGCATGTCCACCATGTTCTTGTCCTCCATAAACATCAAAAACGGCCTCTCCATGGCAGCCTCTTGGTCAACACTCGATTGCTCCTACCACTGAGTGCATTGTGTCCATTTAAAGCTTCTATGAATCTGCTCACGAGTACATTTGAGCCTGTGCATTTATGTGGTGCATTTAACTTCCATGAGACAAAAAAATGCCTTGCTCATTTACAACTGGAGCCAACTGTTCCAAATTACATGTCCCATTCTGATCACAAACACTCAATTCACCACTCGTCCCACTTACCAAAGTCCTTCAGAAGCATCATACACCGGGCATGCTTCATCTCAAACAGTTTGCGATAGAGCTCGGTAACAGTGTGGCAGCCGTAGTCCCAGACTGTTAACATCTCATCTGTCGGGCTACCAGCCATCCGGTACAGGGCCTGCTTGAAGCTCTGTACTTCGTCATTGCTAAAACCCAGGAGTGCAGCTGAAAAGATAGTGAACAAATGAACAATGGCTGATCAACGTGATTATAGGTCTGGATTTTTTTTACAACCGAGGGGTGTATATGGCACTAAATTTCCAGCAGTGGAGACAATTTAAGTTTAGAGTGGGCACGGAGACTACAACGATATTGTACATACATGTACACGTATTACTTCAATACCAGATTAGCTATGTCCCACAATAAAACAGACAGAAGTTTTACATGGATCCAGATCTCAATCAGTAATTTGTTGTGTTGGTTCACTGACACCAGAGTCTGCCTAACAGATGGAGTAAACCAGCGTTGAAACCGCTGATCGAGATCCAGATCCCTGTGAAACAAACAGGCCCTATGTCTCTCCCCCTAAAGAAGCACGATTGTAACATCACAAGAAAACGTCTCTATGGAGCTGGTGACCTGACAGCATGTATGTATCTTAATGCAGGGGTAATTACTGCAAACCAACATGGGGAGCTACACGAGAAAGATATCAGGGCCCTTTTCCAATACTTGACTTGGGCTCCGTCTCAGGCTTTGTTCCCAAAACCAATCCCCGATTGTGGGCCTGAAGCATTTACATTAAATAGGATTGCTGTAATTTCAGGCTCTCTTGCATCTTTTTTGATATTTAGTGGCACTATTAAACTAATTACTGTGCTTACAGCTTCAACGTCAGCCAGTTAAAAAACAATTGAAGCCTGAGATGGAACCGAAGTTGAGTATTGGAAAACGGCCCAGTTATGGACAATCCAGATGGCAGAGAGACATGCTGGAATGAAGAACTTAATTGCCTGCCTACGTTCCAAATTCATGTATCTGGGGTAAATGTGGTATCTGGGCATTTACACTACCCACTGGCGGGGGGGGGGATCAAAGAGGGGCCAGTGGCTCCACCACTTTTGTGACTGGGGGCATCTCCCCCCTCACTTTCTGCAGGTCCTATGATAGGGTGGGGCTTAATAGATCAGAAAATTAATGGCTGATGCCTGATGGTTTCACAACTGCCCCCCCCACTAAGAAATCGTTCCGCCGCTGCTGGCACAATTCAGTATTTGTTTAGACAAACTCATTGCTGTGCATTGGTCAAACATTGCAAGCCACAACCCATGCACCCAGGAAGTACATGTACTTGAGATTTGAAGTACCATAATTTACACATGAAAAGGGCCAGTTTTGGAGAAAATGACTGAGTAACATGCTTTACAAGAAACAAGAAGAGAAAAACTCCCGTCTAACATTGCTAAAAGAATACTAACGCTACATGTACATGTATGTAGATCAGGATTTTTTTCATCCTTACCAGTCTATGAATCAAGCAATCTATCTAATATATAATACCGCACTCTTGCAATTATTGGATATTCATTTTTCTTGACCCAGGTACGATAACATTCATCATGACATCCAGGACAGGATAAAACAAAAGCAAATAAACAATAAATCAATCATTTACCAGAGGAATTGAAAAATAAATAATCACTCCTAATACTGAAATTATGTTTCCTTCCTTGTGGGACTGACAGCACATGTATGTAAAAATCATATAGTTCAGACATTATTGAAAATCTTGAGTATATTAAACAGGCCTAGACTATGGAAGTAGAAACAGATGTTAAACAGTATGTACTTTTGATTAAAAAAATTGCTTTAATTTGAAACAAATGTGTGTTAAAATTATGAAAAAGGCTCTTGAAAAGATGGAGAACAAGTTATGTCCATTTTGACAGTAATCTAGAACTTTGGACACAAAAGTGAAACAAGTCCAAACTATCCACTTCAAGACAGTTGACAGTTTGGACGTAATATTTGTAAAGCTGTGTATGAACACACATTTACATTACATGCAGCATGCCTTACCCAACTTCCTCCAGTTGTTTTTACTGTCTTCATCATGATCAAGTGCATGCATAAGATTTAGACGGGTCTGAAGAGGCAAATCTCCAACATACACAATTTTATGGTAACATTTTCTGTTACTTTCACCGTGTTGGACTAAACGAGATGTGCTTTTGCAATAATCCATTACCAGTCAAAAAATAAATAGGGCCTACATACAAAATCGTTGTTGAACAGATTAATCCAAATCTTGAAAGAAGACATGTAGGTCAGAGATGCTTTTATGAACACTTATTACTTAGTGCATATTGGTACAAACACGACAGTGCCCAAACACAAGCACATATGTAGGCCTATCTGCTTAATAGTCTTTCCCACATATACCTGTACATGTACATCAGCATGTACATGTACTGTACTTCCTCCATGCATGTACTCCATGATATTTTCTGAGTTGATTTCCTGGAAAATATCCCACAAATCCGGAAAATATGGATCGACTGAATGAAGTAACTGTATTTGACCATAGAAAGTATGGTCAACTAGTGACTCATTGTATTTAAGGGTTACCCGACTTGTGGACAGTTTTCATCATGGGTTGTCGTGGATTTTCCAAAGTCAAGGCAACATCCGCTTCGGTAAACAGGACTTTCCTGCGTGCATACGGCTTTTTCTTTGTCCCTTTTCTGTGAAAGTCGAGTATGAAATGCCTAAGCCTTTGGCGTAATAGTTTATCAACCATACTTCCACTTACCCAAATTGATCCAAGCAGGGGAAATGTCCAGCATCCGACATATATCATTTCTTATGCCCAGGGGGATGTCGCGGATAAAAGTGACTGGGCGCGGCGCAGCCGAGCCACGAGGCCGTTGTCTGGACGTCATCGCCCCTTGAACTGCACTTCCAGCAACGGCGGTCATCTCGATGATGTCGTTCTTTCTACTTCGATGCCCTAAATTCTGTATTAATTTCGACCAGATATATGGAAATTATTTGAAAGTGCGAAAGTTGGAACGATGCCTGAATGAACTAATAGCCTTGTGGACAATGAATTAAGGGAAAAATGACTAAATCATGGCGATCAAAATGAAACACCTTTCAGGCAAAGGAAATTGTGTACGTCAATGTTCACGTAACGTAAGTGTACAATGTACATACAGTACATGCATGCCCACCGTGTGTTTTGTACGTGCACTATGGGGGCTTTTTAGGGGGAAATCCCTGAATTGATGACGCCATGTTGAAGTTCCGGTTAGACTCAACCAAAAATAATTTAGGGGTTTGCTTTGTATTGTGCCCAAACCTGCAATTTAAGTCTCTAATAATTGAATCTGACAAGCAATGATGAATTCTAAGGTGCAAATATTTGCCTTGAATTTTTGTTTCTACTCATATAAGTGGTATCCTTGATCAAATAATGAAAGAAAAATTGTAACGAGAGAGTTGCATCCCCTCAAAGTTATTTAGAGCCTACCACGTAGTTTATCCACCGCTAGCTGTGCCCCTCACAGGCCCCTCTACTATTACTGAGAAACGACAGTGCAGAAATTGCGACACTCCAAAAAAGGGTCGGGATTGCGAGGACAGAATACACAACAAGAAAATATTCATATATTTACAGCCCAAAGTATGATGAGGTAAAATTAAGCCATGGATCAGTGATGGACGAACGGTGGTTTTAGTTTTTAATAGGCTACTCCATATTCAGGGCTGGTCCTCGATAATACCTATTTTCTACGCCACTATGGCAGTGGCTGGTGGCCTGGATTACTACACTCAATCGTGAAGGGAGGGAGCATTTGGACAGGAGTGTCTAGTTTTCCAACAGAACAACGCTCTTGTTTCATGTCAGTTACGAGCTGATGGATACACTGGGGTAGGAGGGAGATGCGTTCACGTGAGGTGGAGGGGCATTGTTGGACACCAGCTAGTACATGTAATAAATCTAGCGCCCACAGTAAACGGCTGCCGTGCTCTGGGTTCGTATCATTTAAATGTTAAAGAAAAATCTTTACTTTTTCACTGCATTGCAGCGGCACACATAAATGAACACGCTTGCTACACAGGCAAATTTTTGGCCAATTCTATCGATCATTTAATGCTGAAGAAATGCTAAATGCAAGGTAGATCACCTCAAAGCCATATTCAAGATGAGTTACCACAATATTTCAACCCATCAAAGACCAGTTGTTCGACTGGATAAGCCTCTGCCATATTGGAGTAAGTACTCTGTGACTTCAACATGATTTCAACGTATCAACATGAGTAGGCCTTTTGAACTCCTTTTTTTAAATTTTCGGCCTTTATCTGTCAAAACGACAAATCAAGTCCAAAACTTAAAAAAAAATAATAAAAGAACTGTAATGTCCCAGTCAGTCTACAGTAGTAGATACAATGCAAGTTCATTTAGGGTAGATTATAGTCTTACACCTGTCCCACATATCGAATGAATGCTGCCAAAATACATATCCTCTATATTATGTATATCATGTGCAGATGGACATATTGATACACACTATTCTAGTCAGATGCATGCCAAATGAGGTTACAGTTTGTCAAATGTGCAGTAATTAATTGACATAATGCTGGCAATTCTTAGGTCTTGTGTTGTGAATAAAATATCTGTGAGCATACAATAAAATTGAACTACTATAAATATTGAATGCAGTTGTTTGCATTTCTGTCAAACCTTTCTGCTGCCATTCCACTTACTGTATGTGAGTTTCCGCTCGGTATTTCCATCTCTCTTTTCTTTACTGACCTGTTTAAAAGTCAGTCGGGCACCGGCTAAATTGCCTTGGTTTTTTACTCGACTGATTCAAAAACAAACTTCCAACTTCCTACTATAAACCAACTACAACACAAACTTGGGAAAGACCCACATAACATATTCCAGTAGAGGGCAGGAACCACCTGGCATGGTCCAAAGACAATTTCCTACTGTAGCATCTCATTCCAGCACCCAAACAAACCATTATTTTCTTTATTAGGAAAAAAACACTTGCCATACTTTTCTTAAGTAGATCATTTAAATATATATATATAAAAGAATAAACAAAACAATGCCATAAGTTTATCAACACAATATACTCCTCCTGCATTAGATTACATTCGTCAATTGAGCTGGTTGTTCCCTCAAAATGACAGGCTCACTTAAACAAATACAAAGAAGAGTAATTACTTCATCGCTAAAGAATACCAAAGGGAAGGGCGGGGCAAAACATAAAAGTGGGTTATTACTTCAAATTACTTCCTCCTTTGTTGATCAAAACAAAATTAGGAACAAGCTACATGGCTTCTAATCTCAAGTTATTATAATGACTACAGTTTTACCCTGTGGCTCTGAAGCAAGCATGCACATATTCATGCATCCAAAAATTCCTCAGGCCAATTTTCTGAAACTGCACAGAGAAAATTGCTCCGCAAAAACAGATTACCAGCTGGAACACCATGCAATTCTTTTGGCATTAGACTGTTTGTCGGCTAATATTAAGCAGTGTCCAAATTAATTGACTGCAGCTCGAAATTACACACAACTCAATGGGTTATGGCTGTTGCCAGTATCACAGACTGGTGTGTGCTTCCAAGCCACAGTGCAGCAATACAACATGACCCAGGTTATCAACAAATGCAAAATGACGATCAGGAACTATGAAAAGGAAACTTTCCCAGGGAATCAAGTTGAACACAGAGCATGTGAAAAGAAAAGTGAGACTTACTTTCCCAAAACTACTCATCATCTGTGCATGACATGGAGGCCATGGAAGTTTAACTCATAACAAGAGTTGCAGTTTCACTGTACGTGTATAGCAGCTGTGAAAGTGAAGTGTATATCAGGCCACGTTTAATATTCACGATTTGTGGTTTTTCTGCTTGCCATCCCGAGAAACAACATCTTGTTTCCGTTTTGGTGATATGATGTAAACTGGATTCAAGAAGAATGATAATTTTAGATTTATAAGAAAAACCCACAAATCCAAACATGTCAAAACATGTGATACTAAGAAGACTTTGTCTCTGAGAGTAGTGACTCACTACTCTCAGAGTAGTACTCGAGTACGAGTACTACAACACTACCAGTGAGTACTTATAATTATTATCCCAACAGTAATTAACACATTTCAAATTACCAACCTTCAAAATAATGAAAGATCATAGCTCAATTCATCAAAGCCCCTTAATTCTTTTTTCCAGTTCCATCTCCTTCTCCTTTAAAGATTATTTTTGTGTCACTTTCTTATTAATGTTTGCTTCCTACATATGGCAATCATAAATGTGTACATTTCGGAATGAGCACTGATCATTTCACTATGGAAACTGTCACACCACATAAACTGCAGAAGTCATTTTCCCTGACTTTTATACATTCAATCAATACGCATGTTTACCAGTTGAACTGGGTATTACAAATCTGCATGAATACAAAAATATGCATTCTTAGATATATATATTTTTTTCCAATATCACTTAGGTGCCAAGTGCATAGTTTAATCTTTGATGTACAAAAATACTGTTACAAATCAAGGTGAAAACACTTGCATAAATCTATCCATAGACACTAAAATAGCACTGCATGACTGGCACACATAAATATATTTATATATAGACATGCATTTCTAATATAAGGAACTCTTATGTTACAGCTTTTGGCACGCACACACCTTCAAAACATATCTTTGGCCTTAAAAAATACTTTTACGATTGTTTCTAGGAAAGCATATAACTTTTTCTTATTATTTACCCAGAAAAAGACTAAAATGTCTTTGTGGTAGGGCAGGAAATGGTGACTAGCCAAAGGGGCACTGGTTTGAATGGAGGTTGATGGTGAAGTGTAAAGGTTTTCCAGGTAGATTCGGACTACTGTCAATTTAAAATGGCTCCTTATCAAATATGGCTGAACCCGTTTTAGAAAAAACTGTATTTGAAGTATTCATACAAATATTTGCTTTGATTTTTGAAGTGTTTCTTTTTATTAAACAAATATGGCTTTTAAGTGACACAGTGATAATTCTTAGACTGCTTTAAGTTACTTTGAAAACATTCTCAAAGGAATGTAGTTACTTGTGCCAAATATTTATAATTCGTGTAAATAAAAGTGCTCAGAGTTAAGAGGAATACTGTTATATGATGGTCTTGTGACATAATTTAAGAGGTTTTGACTACAACACTGCATGTTACCAGCCCAACGTGTCATGTAATGTGCATAGTCTGGGACTGACTCAGCTGGTATTTGCCCAGCATGTTAACATTTGCTAGGTGGTACTCACTGCTAGGTAGCTCCAAGAACTTGAGCTTCAAATGATGTTTGTGTGCCTTTCGTGCCAATTTGTGAATGGTTCAATGGCACTGTGTATTCAGAATCATGCAATAATGGACAACAGTTCACCACATTGCCTGGAAAGTTCACAGCTATGATTTGTTAACACATGATTCAGTCAGACACAACTCCAGGGTAACTTATAGAGAGTGTAGGCATTCCTGCCAACTTGCAAAAATATATTGGTATTTAGTTCAGTACGCCCTTTACTACACTGGGACGACTTCAGCATAAATATGTCATATTTCAACAGCTAATTCATATAATTTCACAATTAACAGAAAAACTGTAGATCTAGGAATACCTCTTTAGATACCACAGCTGTGTTTTTTAGCTTTTTAAAAGACATCCTGTGCCCGTTGGGAACAGTAAAACAGATCTTTTTTAAAGTCAATTCAACATTTTAAGAAGTTCACATGGGGTCATTTCAAGATTTTAATGTTTTCCCTTATCTTGCAATCAAAGTAGTTTTGGATGCTGGGATTCTGGACGAAAAAGAGTGCTTAATGTTTATCCTCTATTTGTTCTCAAAGCAATCCCAGCGAGGGGAAGTACACATCCTTCCCAATAACCAAAAAGGCTTTAAAAGTTTCTGTAAAAATTTCCCCAAGTGAACCATACCAATGTCTGAAACGTTATCATTCGTGGGGTAAGATCACATCCTCTGATCTGACAATTTCCCAGGATTTTGAAGTTCCCAAAACTTCTAACCTTGAACTGAGACTCTTTATACCCTATAAAGTCCGGTGGAAACACTCACTGAGTGCGGTTATCAAGACGGCGTGTCTGTCAATTTTCTTCAGGCAAGCCTCACTGACGAAGGATGACGAATCCTGAGACTCTCACCATTTATTTCTTTGGTCCGCCTTTGGAGACATTCCTTGTGGCTTGTCCAAGTGACACTTGCTTAGCGTTGGCACCAAACTGGAGCGTGCTCAGTGTCTCACTGATGTTGCTGACGTCAGGGCTCACATTGACAAAAAGACATGCCTATTCGGTATTAAAAAAATGGAAAAAAATAAAAATCTTGTTTACAACTAAACAAAAGGATGGGGATACTTCCATTGTTCCATCGTAACAAAGATCAGCCTACTCTTAGCACAAGGCCTGAAGTTAACTCACACCAGATTAGAAAAGGTTTATATATCAATATATACACAGAAAAGGATTGAAACGAAGATTATTTCTGTTTCAAATGTGACAGAAACTATAAGTGATAAGATGCAGAATGCAGTACACTGCTAAATCTAGGGCCACAACTACCTGTATGAATCACATTTTGTGAATAGTCTCATTGAAGATGTCAGAATGTGTGGCATGTTGAAATATAAGGTACGGCACACCGCGATGCTGCGTGTTGAACTGGGACCAAGTAAGTACCTGGGGAGGCACACTTCACTTATCAGTGTAAGCTCGTGGGTTGAGGTCAATTGAAAAAAAGACATCGGTGGTAAAAATACCTTGGCATCTCCGCCCAATGCTTGCTGCAGGAGGTGGGTCAGTTTAGAGTTTCGATAGGGGACGTGCAGAGCACTTGTTCGTAGTCCGTGGAAGACCTGTGCAAAAGAGAACCATTTATATACCACGATTAGCCACAAGAGACCTTATGCCTTTGGCCTAATTATGCAGACTAGTGGTGCCCTGAAAGCACGAACAGACAACAGTGATATGCAATGCAATATTCTGCATTTACGCACAAGGATAGAAATCAGTCTGATACGCAAATTACTGACAATCCACAAGAACGAGGGCGCCCAACAGGACGGATCGAAGGCACCACAACACGACCAAGAAAGGGTCTATAATGACAGTCAACTCCTGACCTCAGGAGATCTTTGACTATGCAAAACCTGAAGTCTCCGTGATGTATCTTGGAAACATTGCCCAGGTTTCTAAACAGCAGTATGCTGCTCTATGATACAGTTTGTCCACTGTCCGTGTGAACAGTCCCGCAAGAAACCACTGTGCTCCATACTTTTTATTACATGGATTGCATTAGCATTTGTCTGTGCAAATGGGTCTTGTAGCACGTATATTACGAGTGTTGACATACACTGAGATGTGAGCTATGATGGTGTAAGGCAGCAATTAACAAATAAAAATATCTCCAAAATGCCAAAAAAAAAAAATTTAAAATTTGAAAGAGCGTCAACCAAGTATACCTGGCCGAGTGAGGTGAGAGATTTGTTGATCGCCGCCGCTTCCACCAGAGTCTGTCCTGTGGCCCCAGTCTTGGCAATGCGCTCCGACCCAGCCAGGTCGACCAGCATGAGGGAGCCATAGCTGGTCGCCTTAGAGACCTTGTCCACACCCTCCACATTCAGGATCAGAAGCAGGTGGGACCGAGAGCTGTGATTGGGCGAGAGGACAAATATGGACAATGTGAACATGAACTGACATCATCATACCAACCACCAATGCATGCAAGGTTTGTAAAGCTGCTTAACACGGAGAGGTTTAGTATGAAAACTTGCTGCAAACAGAACATTTAGAACACATCGTAGCAAAGAATATTGCTCACCAAAGAATGTCTCTAAGCATAGAAATTTGTTAAGCACAGAAAATGTTTAACTCCAAAGTTTCTAAGCATAGAAATTTCACTAGACATACAGTTAACGTTTCTAAGCTGTCATAGGAACAAAAAACATTCATTTAGCACCAGAATCCCTTGATGGAGTGCAGTATAGGTGAATCCGTCAGCATTTGGACCAGCTGACCAGATTTAGCATCGCTGATGATGCTAAGCTAAACTCTGCCTAGCATCATCAGTGAGAAGGAAACACATGCAACGACTTTGTAGATTACTAATCCTGTTTTTTCTCAAGCAACCATTTTCTGCACATAGCCATTTTTGGAGCTAAGTAGCTCTGTAAAACTAAACTTTCCAGCTGTGCATGGACAAAGAGAAGTCGTTTTTGACGAACCTAGTGGAATTCATCTTGGTTGCGGCCACTGAACGGTTGGCATCACCCATCTCCATGATCCGCGTGATGTCACTTTCCTCGCACACCTCGATCTCCGTCAGGTCCTGGACCAACAGCCGCTTGCCCTGCATCTTGATGTCCAGCTTCTTCTTGTCGCTGTTCTCACACAGGAGGTCCTGCAAGGCCTCGTTGTACACCTCCAGCATAGACACCTGGTCAATGGTCAAAGGTCATGAAGCAATTTACAAACTGAAACTGCACACTATGCTGATTAGGAAAGAAAGGCCATTTGATCTCAGTGCAGCAGAAATTAACTTCTCTGGCAATTACCAACTTCCTGCGCTGTGGCCTTTCTATTCCATCTCCAAAAAGTGAATATTCACCCTATCTGACTCCAACTATGGACTCAATCACATTGTGAATGAAATTCTTTCAATCCCAAAAATGACATTTCCACTTGCAGGATTCCTTGTTTCAAACTTTTCCAACCTAACAAAGCAATTTCTACTCTAAACCATCTCGTCCCTAGGTTCCACTAAGTAGCAGAATGGAATCTAATTCCTTTGGAAATAAAAGCAAAGTGAGAAAATAACAGGCATGGTTCTAGCTTTTTCAAAGACATCTTGAAGACTGAAACTCAATGTTGAAACCCCAGCACAGCTGACACATAACAACTGAGATCTGGTCTCTGGACGTCTCTAGTCACCTTCAGTGTGTAGGACACCTGCTCTCTCTCCGTGCAGACCCTCAGGAGTTCCCGGATGGAACGCACATTGACCCCTGGGTCATCCTTCGTCCCCATCATGGTGTAGGTCTTGCCCGAGCCCGTCTGGCCGTAGGCCATGATGCAAATGTTGTAGCCGTCCACGCAAGAGGTGATGATGGGCAGGGATAAGTCAAAGACCTTTGGGCAAAGAGACAAGAGGACACTTAGAACTTTGTGAGAACAAGAACCAATGGCATGGCTTGGCCCTATCATTAACCTACAAACAAAATGTCATTGAAAATGGAGTTTGGCTAAATTCCTGCAAAATGTCTATAATAAGGCCTTCTTCAAAAATGCTGATGGCCATATCTACTTTGCTTTACCCAGCCCGTACAGATTACCTTCATAACTTGAGATTAACTACCAACAATTTCGAAAGACAAGAGACATTTCTTCTCAAATACTACACAAAGGTTAATTTTAATGATAACATGAACTTTGAAATTAAAAAATACCAAGCAGGCAAGTTTTTTAATGTGCACCTGTAAAAAATTGCCAAGTTTAGTACATTTAATAAAAAATAATTGACAATGACAACAGATAGATTTGCTCTGAATGTCCAAATAATTTCATATGAAAGTATACAACTTTCAAGTGATACATTTTGAGCACATATCCAGTGAATGCCCGAGAGCAAACAAAATGAGCTTCCAAAGTGTGTGAACTTCTAAAGCTTAATTTCCACATACCTCTGTTTGTTTGGAGGCTGGGGTGAAGACTTTATCAAAGGTGTAGGTCATCTTCTTGCCGGCTGGGTTGGTTGCGCAGATTTCCTGATCGTCGGGAAACCCCAGGCAACATTCAGTACGAGAGTCGTAACGCACCCGGCAGAACACTCGGATGTTCCCACGGAGCTCTTGTAGCTACAAAACCCACATGGTGACAGAACAAATAGTTAACCAAAGTGTTTAAGTGCAAATTTTGATAAAAGTGCAGAGATGGGTGCTTAAAAATGTCTTGCTTAACACACTGAGCTGATTGTTTCCTCTCAGTGTTAAATAAAACTGATTTTTGACCAATTTCAATGAATTTCTGTTTTTTAAGATGAGCTATTTGGGCTTTTTTCCCCAAAGTATTAGAAAATTGAATCCCCTACTTCATAAAAACAAAAGGCTTTAACCATGAGGTCAAATGTCATCAGGTACACTCTGTGTAATCATGTTGAAACCATTCCTTGAACAGGAAGGAACTGAACCAGGGTCACACCGAGTTACAAGTCAAGGGGTGAGACCCACCTGGTTGTAGAGCAGCTTTCTCTGCAGACACTCTTTCTTGTAGAGCACCTTCAGGTCTTCCAGCTCCTGGGATGTGCTGGAGTCCATGTTCTTCATCTTGGACAGGCCTGCCACGGCTGCTTTGACCAGGTCCTTCAAATCTGCAAATATAAGATCTGGTGAATTACATTTTGCACAAGCTCGATAGGATTCCAGCAAGTTTCATGGATCTGTTTTCTGTAAGCAATGCCAACTATTTCAACAGCTACTGAAATTCTACCACAGTGCTGCATTATAATGGCAAATTCCACGGGCTTATAGTACCAAACAAGTAAAACTAAATTAATGGTTATCTAAATAAAGTGTGGTAAAACCTGCTATTGGATTAAATGTAGTTGATAAATAGATTTTTAAGATTAACCAGATAAATCTGGTTCAAAGACTAGCCAGAGTTTGCATGTTTGCTTTTCGGAGAATGTCTACAGTTGGAAAGATGCGCGCAATCCCTGTCTTTTTAATATAGATAAAATCTCAGAGTAATGTTACCTTTTTTTGGTATGATTTTTCGAACAACGAAAAATGTTTCAATAAGTGCAATTTATCGGACATGGCTAAGAGATTAAGAGGGGGTACGGCCATATTTCCAAGTGGTAAACTTACCCTCGAAGCCCTGTGTTACCACCTTCTTCAGAGTCAGCTTGGACTTGTCCAGTTCCTTGGCTGCTTTATTCACACTGATCAGAAGGTCTGTGTCAATGGTAGGACCCTGGGGCTCTACCACTATTGCCGGCTGCGGGGGAGACACGGCATGCTTAGGGGAATCATCGAAGGTGGAATCGGGATCTGTATCTGGTTCTGCTGTTTCAATGTCCTTTGAGAGCAGGAGAGCGAAAAATTCTTGGTTGATAATATTCAAATTTTCTTCTCATGCGACTCATGACCAGAGGGTCTGGGGTTCTAACCCAGCTGCTGGCCATGAGTTGTGGCCTTGGACAAGCTACTTTACCCCTGCTTGCCTCTCTTCACCCAGGAGCACCGATGGGTACCAGAGTGGCTGAGGAGCAGCCTACAATAGACTAGCATCCCATCCAGGGAGAGTACAAATATTCTCAGTAATTTTTATACAAGGGAAACAGGAGATAACCACCAGCCAAAGAGCCACATTGGTTTAAATTAGAAATTGCCGACAAACTAGTCTTCAGATGTTTTTCTGGCATACGGAAGAGGAACAAAATTCCAACAACATACATAGTCAAGCAACTAGGCTTGATTCAAGGATACCAGTCAGGTTACTGTGCAGAGTCTGAAAGTAAGACGGCCAGAGGAGCCTAAATATACCTTGTTAAGGTCTAAAATTAGCCCATATGAAAAATGCCTAAAGTCAGGTTTTTGTCTGAAATCCGGCATACTTGTTTAGTCGCAGAGCAAGATGAGTGCCTTGGTCACACATGCTTATTTCGATATCTGGTAGAAATAAATCCAACAGGATTTGACGGTTTAGGTGGTAAGGCTGCATGAAGCATGCTTAAGAGGTAATGTAGCATGAACAAGCCTTTTGTCCAAAGTTTACCGGGGTTGGAGCCCTGCGTCTGGCTGTGACCGGCCTGCCTGTCCGTGGTCTCTCCTGCTGCATGGCTGCCAGTCTCAGGCTGGCTGTCTTAGCCTCAACCTCCAGCGTAGAGCACTGTTCACGAAGCTGTTCTAGCTGTGACAAACAGTATACCAAAATCATTGAGTGAAAAATAGACTACTGGAAGGCTAGGCTAGGACTCATGCGTTAGCCTCCACATACAGGACAATTGTGAAATCCTGCTGCTTCTTAAAAAAACAACAATATAAAGAGAATGGATACAGAATACAATTTAGACATATGGTGAGACTGAAGACTGCTAACGTAGTCTCCACCTCCAGGCTGGAAAATAACCAATCTTTGTGCTGTAGAAGCCATGAACTACAATTATATCATCAGTGAGTCCCAATCCTTCAACATCTAAACTCCAAACCCTGCCATCTGTTTCAAGTTTGACGGAAGCTCTTTGTCCAATTTTCAGCTCATGCCCTTTCCAGCTCCAACACTGAGATAAAACCTTTGGTTTTTCTAGGCAAGTGAGCTTACCTCAGCTTTCATTTTGTCCACCTCCGATTGCAGCTTTTTATTGTGGTGCCAGATATCCTTGTGAGATTTTTGCTGTCAATAAACAAACAGAACATATTTTTAAAATTTCAGTTTATACAGAGTTTTTTTCCAGGGCAGTTCTCATTTTACCATCTGTTGCCATTTTGTTTCCAAATTCCCTGGTTGTTGTGAATGACGTTGCACTGCATCAATCAGAAAACGGCAAAAGATGCGAGTTGCAAAATTCATTGTTTCCTGCATGCAAACACATGTAGCATGCCTACCGGGTTGCATGGCCATGGGCATCCTAGGAACCAAAATGGCTTCTAATCTGAAGATGTCACAACTCTCTCAATGTACAGCTCTGGCCCCGCACTGCTAACAGTTCCCTAAATGGTTGCTTCGGACAGCCTGTACAACACTCACCAATTTGGTATACTTGTCCTGCAGCACCGATATCTTCTCGTCCTTCTCTTTAAGAAGCTTGGCATTGACGCCGGTCAGTCGCTCAGGCCTGTCCATCACCCCAGTGTCCCCGATGGCAAAGTATGTTGATATGGCATCGTCCGGGTCGTAGTTGCTCTGTCGCAGGGCAGCGATGATGTCATACTTATCTTTCCACATGGGCACGGCTTCCTTGAATTCAGAACGAAATGGTCCATCAAAATTTTTAAACACTGCTCTGAAAACTTTAAATTTCACTGAATTTTCCTTTGAGTTCCTTTGGGTTCCGAATGCTGTGATGGATTATTTGTTAACAAAGAAAAGGCAAGACAGTTCACTCAAAGATCGGATATACGCACTTCCCTGATTTGTTTGAGAACCTTCCCAGTATTTTTTCAATTGAGGTCTGTGTTATGGGCTCCCTCCTAAGACTTAATATCTCTCAAAGCAACACACACCAATAAACCACATACTCATACAAGCACCGGGAGAAACAGTCACGAACAGTCATTGTACTATTTTTGTAACGTCCCTCCTCAACCAAAACCCTCTGTCCAAAAATTTACCTTCCCCGTAACAAGCCATTTTTAGTGACTGCTACCTTGTCGACACTTTCATGATACAATGCCACTTTTGAAAGTTTTAGATAATGCCCTTCCTCCTCAAACCCCTGACCAAACAGCCAAAAGAAAAAAAAAAAGATTATTTACCTGTGTTTGTCTAATGAGCGGCTTAATGAAGTCACTGTGTTGTTCCCACGACACTGGCATCTTCACCCACATGCCTGAATCCTCGTCAAAGTAACAGTGGATATTACGCTTCTCCTGCCCAAACAAAAATACAATGTCGTTGTAGTTCAGTCCATCATAAGTCCCTGCAAGTCCAGCACAAGTTCACCATTAGCCATCCAGTCTAAAGCTACATGTAAAGGCTGGTTTGAACATCAGCGTGAACGTGAAAGTGCGAGGTCAGATCAAGCATTTGCACTGTGAATTCGCATTTTCACTCGAGCAAAATTTCACTGCAATTCTTTCGTCACGTCAAATCTTTTTCACATTCGCCCGAAGTTTGAACTGGCCTTTAGTCGTAAGCTAAACAAATAAACTGTGCAAGAAGCCTTCCTTGGTCGCTGTTAAATTCATCCCGTAACTTGTGAATGGTCTTGTGACAAGACTCGACTACAACACTGAAGAAAAACTGGAGGAGCTATCAACAAGATATAACTACAGGATTAATGCGCAGGAAAAAGGATGCAATTCATGCTCAGACCACTGATATTATCTGTGTCTGTATTTCTAAAGTCTGATACTCAAAACAAATTTTAAAAACTACAGGTTTCCGATCATTATGTTCTTCTTAATGTTCACAAGCATCTATTGGGCAAGTGAACTCTAAAGGTTTTAAACAGGGATAGTTTGACCTTGTCCAGATTTCCCTACCTATTCAGCTTAGGGTATAACTGTAACTCAGGAAAGCGTGACTGGGAAGAAAAACACTGATGGTGCTACTTGAGGGAAAATTTATGTGCTGCACATGTTACAGGTCTCATCGATTCAAATCTAAACACTCAGCAAAACCTTGTATGGCAGAGAAGTTGAGAGGGTTAAAGAGGGCTACCTCAAATATATAGGTCAGCAGCCGTCCCCTCGTTGGATGCCTGAGGGTACCGGCCCTGTCGTCACTGTTACCACCTCCCAACCCTGGGGAAACATCAATGTCGTTGACATCATGGATTCTGGAGGTTGTTGGAGGAGCATAGTTGTTGCTGTTTCTGCTCGAGGTCGCTGGGCTATGGTCCTGAATGGGTTCCCCATCCACTGTGAAGTGGCCCTGGCCAACCCAGGCGCTAGGAAAGGTTTGCCATTCCTGCAACACATCAAGAGATGGGGTCAAAGGTCGAGCCTGTGGTGAAGACTGAGGAATAAACTGAGAACAAGTTTCAAAGTTGTGCTGAGAAGCTTCACACAGGCATACGTGTATCCTTATCCATTGGAACTGATGATTAATGGAATCATCATTGAAAGGAATTCAATATTTTTGTGAAACCTGCCACAACAAAACAGGAATCACTGTTTTCAAGGATGGATTTGTGCCAGGGAGATGTTAATTAATTTTGGATTTTTCTGGCCAATCTGATTCGAACCAGCCAGCCGATATTGGCAAGTTTGGTGGTTGAGTGGTTAGGACGTCTGCACTAGCAAGAAGGAGGTAATAGATTTGAGTCCCACCTGAGTACACTTGTGGTTTTTTCACAAGCCTTCGGAGGCAAACACTGAGTATACAGTGTTACAATATACATTGGGCAGGGCCCCCCCAAAAATCCAAACAAAAACAGGAATCAAATCATTGAAGAGAAGAAAATCAACTTTGTAACAAGTTAAACAGTTGAGAATTAATGCAGAGAGCATACACGTACGCGTATCCTTCACACTGGATTCTGCATTACATGTTTACCCCTACATAACATACATGTACATGTACTGTACTTTTTATACCAGCAACAAAGCTGTTCATCTGACTCAAAAACCCTCCAGTTGCTTGCTGAACTCTTCTGACCTCATATGGAACCGTGGAGCAACCGATGCCCCATCTACGATGAATGCCCCAGTAAAATGTTCTTTTTAGGTGCATGTATCAGTATTTACATGAAGTGTTTAGTAGTGGTTATTTACTTGATGCTCTGACAGCGGATCAAAATGTCTGCGACACTTACATGTACTTGTACCTTCCAGCTAACTCCTTTGGTTTCCTTACCGACAAGTTTCATTTCCACCTTCTTGTTTTCAAGTGTTTTATTTTTCACAGTTCCTAGCTTGCTTTCCGTACCTGTGTGTCCCAGTTGTCTAGATAGTGACGTTTTCCGGACTGCTTGATGCAGGTATACGATCGGCCGTTATTATGGTGGAATGTCTCAAACACAATGTCATCCTCTCCCTACAGAGAGTTAAAAAAAAAAACAGAACAGGATTAATATGCATGTCAATTACTACACCAACTTAAGCATTCACCGACCCACTATTCAAAAAAAATGAAAACATTTACCGTCCAAAAACTCAAAAATTTGGACAGGTATATGGTATTAAAGCACGTTGTGAATAATCCCAGTGAAGATACATGTATCACTTCAAAATGGAGTCCAACTCTCAATAGCAGAGAAAGACGCACATGTACCTTAAATCAGGATAGTAAATAAGTATATGTCCATAATTACATGTATGAGTAAGTTTCTGCAGTTTTTTTCCCGCCTGCTTTACTGTGTGTCTTGTTATTATTTATCTTATCATTATTTCAATTTTAAGAGATGAAGGGTATCACTCTCAGATGCATAAAAATGTCCCTTTCCAACTTTCTTAATTAAAAAAAAATATGCAGTTCATTAAAATTCACTACAGAATTATAAATGCGGATCTGTCTCTGAACAAATTTTATTCTTGAGGGCAATGACAGCCAAATGATTTTATCAGATATCATTTCAGCTAAAAATAGCACTCTGGAATTGTATCCATTGTCACCTGGGCATTGACTGTGCTTCTAGAAGGACAGATGCATTTCAATTACCATAGGGGCATATGTACATGTATATGTGATGATGTGCACAATAAAAATACAGTAAATATACACATGTAGCTTGTAAATTTATGGCCTTTAAAATTTGAACACAGAGAGATTGTAAGTAGAGTTCAGATTGTTTCAATCAAACAGGGTACTGGAACAAAAGTAATGGTTTCTTGGGATGTTTTTGCCCACTGGTGTTGCTTTTGTTTTCCTTTTAAATTCTCTGTACCTAAGATACATGCATAGATGTACATGTATGTAATCTTCATAAAGAGACACTCCCTCCGCCCGAGGTTCTGCTTCCTGCATGTATTACATGGCATCTGAACACAAGGTACTGTAGGAACATATAGGTAAGAAATCTGTCTCTTGTGCACATTGATTCATCCTGCAGCTATTAAATTGTCCACTGGTTAAAAAGTAGTGACAGGAAGACAAATTCAATTCTTTCTTTCATTTCTTTCAACTGAAATGAAAACACTTGAAGGGTACAATAAAGGAACATGATTAAGTCTGCTGAACCTTTTTATACCACAAATAACAAGGACATGCTTTTTTCTTTATTTATTACCAATTTCACATTTGCCCAAAGTGCCTCCCTCCAATTAGTCTAAGGCTTGCTTCATCAACATAGGGTTCATGGGAAACAGGAACTTTTTTATCTGGTCTAAGACGTAAGAACATTGTACTTGTAATCTTGATGAGGTGACAATATCAAATGAACAGTATAAAAACTAGGTTTTGTATCCTCTACATATTAGCTACAAGCTTTCTTTTCTCGTTAATTCTTATTTCTACTATTTACATGAATGAACAACATGAAACAATAAACCAATCTAAACTTTATTCTGGGGTGTTGCTTCATATCAGGTAGGATTTTTTACATGTGTTTTTCCCATCAGTGTCAGATCTTTGAAAGCATAAGAGTAAATGATAATTTTCCTCATGAAATAAATACATAAAAAGATATTTCAATTTATATTCTAAGTTTCCCCTTGCTTTTAAATACATGTAATATCATGCAGCGGCAAAACAAAATCATCTAAAAAATCAATTACAAAGGTTTTAACATCATTTCATGTACCACACTACCATGGAAACATGTTTTTTCCCAATCTATCTTCTTTTTTTTTCAGTTCTCCACTGATGAAAAACTGACAATGGAAGGTCATTAAAGATGATTGCCTGCTGTGCATTGATGGTAAAACAAGATGTACATGTACAAGGTATATGTACATGTACAGGTGTATGTGATTAAGTGTATTGATGTACACATACATGTAGGCCTGTGGCAAAATTCAGGCAATCAAGAGCCTTCCTAATTTATATGCAGATCCTCTTGACGTCAACTGCGAGTTGACTCTATTTGGAGCCAACGAAACTTTGAAGATGGGAAAAACAGGAAAACAATCACCCTGCTCTGCTTGACAGGGGGCTAAATCTCTTTTTAAAACTTTTTTTTTTTAAACATTTTCTTTTTTTCTCCAATTCTACACAAATTTCTACTGACAATTCCCATCCATAACCATAAAAATGAAGAAAATTCTAGCAAAATCCTCAAGTTCCTCAACCTCTTTTTAAAACAGTCAAACTCAGCAAAATAAAAAGTTACCGTATGCAGCAATTCCTCTGATCAGCAAGCGATCCTTTGCTTTTGAAAAGCCCTGAATATTTAAAACCATTTCTCCATCAAACTCTAATTTCAGGGCTACGATTTCTTAATTATTGAGAAGCTCTGTAAAAATTTTAGTGCTACGTTACATGGTTACAGTATCTGTCAAGTCCAGTTCATGAGAATTTTTTTTCTACATGTACACGTACCTTTCATACACAATGGAGCTGGAAAATTCCCTAGAAAACAAAACAAAACAGAGACACCCCCTCCCAAAAAATATTTAGTACATGTATTTGGTCCTACAATATCTACATCAAGTTCACTGGAAGTGTTCATGGCCGTCATGATCAACTTCAATACACTGACATTTATTCAAACCTTTTCTTTTTAAAATATTATTCAAACGTTTATCTCTGCTTGCAATCCCGATTTAATGTACAGTTATATATAATTTATTTTCATCATTTATCGCAAAACTAGCAAACTTTTATACATTCAAAATTCATTCGAGATGAAAAACAGCAGTTTTTAAAATTCTTTCCAAGACCCATTACTTTGTCTATACAGGTACATGTGCATGGATGTTCATCTTTCATGGGAAAAAATACACAGGGTCATACATGTATTCAGCACTGAGCACACATGTACAATGTACAATGCATAATGCCCCATCTAATATGAAAACGACCAAAGGGTGCAATGGCATTTGAAAAAATGTACCTTTGTAGGCAAGCTTGAGCAAAATGAACATATTAAGCATGCATTTAATGTCCAAATGGCAAGCAAGGAACACATGTGTTTACTCCCACAGCATCCTCTACAAACTGGAACCCAAGGGCCGGTATTGACTGGCAGGGTATTGTGGAAACCTCAGGACTTATTATGGAAACCAGCATAGCTAGAAATCAATACTGCAAGGCTGTTCAATGAAGAATCATGTACATATACCACACCACACTGGGGCTATTGTGCCGCAACGAAGTACATGTACCAGGTACACATGTACATGTACATATGTGTAATGTACACATGTTTGCATGCTTGTGAGACATTTGAAAACAAAAGAAGAAATCTGCAGAGGAAGAAAATTCCCTCTATGAGGGAAAAAGTGGGAGAGGGTAGGGCAAGTGCAATACTGAATAGGGCCTCAGGTTGGTTGGTTTATGGTTAATTTTTCCACAAAATTACAATCAGAATCGTACTGAAGCACAGTTATTTACAGAAGGCAATATTTGTTCCCTTCAGTCCATCCCCCAAGTTTTGCCTTTTTTTCTGGTTGTGTGAATATTTGCTGACATTTTTTTAGCACTGTATTTTTAAATGAAATCTCCAAAATTTCCCTCCTCCAAAATTCCCAATTTTTCTCAAATCTCAGAAGTTCCAAAAAAAAAGTGTTCTAAAATTAACTACTGAAGCTAAAAACAGTTTTCTGGGTACAAAAATAGATTGATTATTTTCAATGACTGTAAAATTGTTCATACCATAGAAATGTTCACTGATTTATACAGTTGAATACAGCATTTAAACAAACGAATAATTTGGGGAAATGACAACTTCCGAATTGAGACAATTCCAGTCATATTCCAATGACTAACATTTCTGGGGGTATTTAAGCTACACTATACGCACAAGTAAGGAAATCACATTGAAAAGAACAGAGCATTGTTAAGCTTTTTACCAACCTCACAAGTGCTTTGAAAAAATGTCTTCCCTAGTGTAAAGGTTAGATGACTTGGAACTTTTCTCAAAAATGATTCAAGAGGTCTTAAGTGGTTGAATTGAAATATATTCAGCTCTCTATTTCAATGCATGATGTGCCGGGGGGAGGGATCAGAACCACTTTTTAGGGGTTGGGGGACAAACTTGTTTGGCAAAGGCTGAAAAAAAAAATGGAAATTTTTTTTCAAGTCACCTTTTACAGCCTTCCTAAGTGATGAGGCGACCGGTTCATTGAGGTTTTACGCGCTGAGGGGAAGGAAAATGAAAAAGACCAACAAAAACCCTGCCTTTCTTTCATTAACACCCCAAAAGTTTTGGCTTCTTACTTGTGTCTCTCATCTTCTCGTAATTCGGGCTCATTTTCAAACAACTGTTGGACAGAAAATGTTGCTTATCAAATGCATATTCTCAATCAGCTGAGAAAGGGACAAGAAATATACAAATTCTGTCACGAGGCCTCAGTTCAAGGCTACAGCATGAATTTGACAATCTCTCCTCACAACATGAAGACTTACCAGTTCTTGCATCTGGAGTGCCATGGATAGGAACTCATCTGGATCCTGGTTTGGCTGAGGGGTGAGCTGAGGAGGTGCCTGGGCCTGTTGGTAGTGGGACTGCAAGGTGTTAGCTACTCGCTGCTGGGTATTGACCACATGTCCCGCATGCTGCCACTGGTCCTGTGGAAGTCCGCTGTAACCTCCATAGGCGCCATAATTTCCACCCCCGTACATGGCTTGAGGGGGGAATCCCCCTCCACCATGGGTGCTCCCGTAGTTAGCCTGTGGGGCCAGACCACCTGCGTAGCCATTTGACGACTGTCCCTGAGCTGGGTGGCGGGCCGCGTTGGGGTCCTCAAATTGGACCTCCTCAAACTGCCGTCGGCCCCGGCTGGTGCCGCGGCTCGACGGCTCGGGCATTCTGGCTGATGATGTCTTCGATGATGCTGGAGATGGCGTGTTCGACTTGGAGCTACTCGAACCACTTCCCATCCTCAGCAAACGAGGTTAACGAGATAACAAACTACCAGCGTACCAGCATCATTGCTGGAGGCTGGTAGGCAAATCCTTCTTTGAATGTGACTGTTCTGGCAGTGAAGGACTACATTGCTCTATGGTTCAGTCCAATTGGATATTCATTCACAGCTGTTGAAGAGCAGGAACTGTCAAGCTTCAGATCTCACTGGCATGAACTCCTTTAAGAAATAAAGGGTGCAAAATTATCAGGAGAGAGTTAAATACACGGACATCTCTTGAGATCCTGTGTACAAACCATGTGAGACTGGTCACCCCAGCCATGTGCGAACATACATGTTTGGAAACTCTCAACTTGCACAAACAGGAAATCTTTCTTGTGGCGTGGATTGACACCACATAGTAATGGATTTGACGATAAAATTGGACTAATGAGAGAAATGATATCATTTCGTTAAATTTTCATCAAAGTTTCTCCTGTAGTCATCTATGGATCCCCCGTAGGCTACATTGTCTTCCATCACAATCCTTTCATATCTGTTTCCATAATCTGTTTCCAAACTAACTTGACTTTTAAAGACAGAAATAAAATTTGCATTTTACTCTCCATTACAGCAATTACATTTTCTCATGTGTAGCCTACATGCATTATGACATTATGTACATGTAATTGCAGTTGACAAATATCAAATTCCCAATGCAGTAACTTCCATATTCAAGCCTATGGACATCACCAATGGAGCTAAGACAGTGATAACATGTCCTTAAAAGTCAACTGCTGAGCAAGGAAACTACTGCAAAGCATTTAGACCTAAGATACTTAGAAAACACTAGGCCTAACTGTCAGAATTTTTCAGGCCAGTCCAGTGGTGCACAGGGTGTCAACTGTCAAGTCCGTATGATGTTATGCACGGAGGAATTAGGATGGGAGTTCCTCCATGCCATAGACAGGTGTACCGAACTATCATACCATGGAGCAAGGACAGATACAAACTCTATTGATGTTATATTACATATCATGGCACGTTGATTCGTGAATATTAAAGACCACTGACAATAATAAAAATATATAAAGTGACATGACTGATCATGGAGGAACCATGGAGGAAGGAACAGGCCTACCTGTACATTTTATTCCTCTATCATCTATGAAACTGTTTCCTTTTAATAGTAAGGCCTATACAGTATACTTACTGATTTTACACAACTCAAGGTGTTCAGTGAGTGGAAACATGCCCACACTGATACGTTTCACCTGCTATGATGACCATGAAGGAGCGCTCACTTAGTAAGTTGGCCGCCTTCTGCCTGGCAAGCAAGTCGACAGCGTCAGTAGCTAAGTGACCACCAAAAGGTGGCGCTATTTAAGTTAAGTGGGGCTAGCTCGCAGCAGGCGTTTTTAGCCAGTCACCTCCCGCCCGCGCCCGCACCGCCGTGACCCCCTGGTTCCCCCTGTAGTAGTTGAGTTGAAAAATTGTTTCATAAAATCTGCAGGATGTGATATCGAAATATTTCGTAATCTTCAAAAATTGTTTACTTTATTTAGCATTCTCATATTCTACAGCACTGAGTAAACACCGGCGGTAGAAGCGAGGTCTACATTTGCAGTACCTCCCCCCCTTTTCGACTGGGGGCACCCCCACTTTAAAAAGGTCTATAATGGGGCAAGGCATTGGTCTGTTATTTGTAAGTTGTAATGGCTGATATCTGATGGGCTCTCAACCGACCCATACCCCCTTAGCCTAGCGGCCGCCGTCACGGTTGCAGGTTGGCCAAAAAATTATGAACGAATTGCACCGAAAACCTATCCCAAGTACATAATATTTCATGTTATGTGTAATGTGCTTTCTGTTGACTTTCATGAAATTACATGTATTGTCTTCAGATTGTGTAATATCGGCGCTTTAATGTATTTCTTCTGTTTCTTTAAGCATTCATAAAGTATTAGGCTACCTTGAGCACCCGGTATTGGAAGTCCAGCTTTTCAAATTACACATGTACTTTTGAAATTTTCGAAAGTTTCCCTCTTTTTTATTTAAATTTCCCAAAATGTTCAGCAATATAAATTTCCAGTTTCTGTATATTGCATGCATCGCCCAATTAAGAGTCTCCTGGAATTTTGTAACAATGACTTTTTGTCCTCATTATCATCTCATCAGTATTTTCAACATCAATGAAACCATTATGAAACAGATTACCAATTTCTGTAGCACCGCCTTTTAGGTATAAAAAAGGGAGAAACCTTTTTACAATCAAAACCTCATTGACTCAGTGGTGAAAAGTTTGTTCACAAGTTTGCTGCAAATTGAGTGGGCGAGTCATCAATGACGCACAGCTAGCGCTACACACGCCATTCACTGTACGTCGTCATCACAACCTCACTGGTATTGCGAAATTGTCAATTTTCATTTACCATATACCTGAAAAATCCCAACACTACAGTATTTTTGTACACTAACCATGGGGACTCAATGGGAACTCGAGGAACGTGGTAAGGTCAAAGGCGAGCGATTTACGTACGTGCGAACCCGCCGTATACGTATACACATGCCGCGCACCGCATATGGTCAAAACTGCAATATGAGTCTACGGGAAGTACCATCATTTCAACAAATGCACTCTATACAAATCAATTTTCGTAGTAAAAACCCGTGGAATATACAAAATCTACTTATATCCTGAGACTAGGCTTATCGAGGCACAGACTAGGCCGAATTAGGTGTAAAATGCCGCGTCGAAAAGTGAGGAAAAAGGGTAAGTAATTGATGGCTGCCGGCTGTTCATGTAGTATTTTGCGATTTCGCGCGTGTGCACGCACGTTTCATGTGTACATCACGTGTGTTCGTGCTCATCCGAGTGAGGCCTTTAGTGAACCGTATCGAAACATATGCTTAATATAATAAAGTGCGATGTGAAAAGTGCTGACATCAAGATTTTTGTTTTTTATGGGGGGAAAGAATAGAAAGAGGTCCATATACGGACGCCACTTCACACACCGTGCACAAAGTATGGGACTGTTCTGAAAGTTCTAAGTATTTTCTAAGTAAACGACTTTGCTTTTTTTTCCCTCTTAAATTGAACTTTTCTGGACATGTTTTTTGTTCTGACGGCTAACACTTGGGGAATAACTACTGGCGTCCGTGTATGGAACTCTTCTCAAAAGAATGCTGGTTTTGTTTGATGTGTTTCTACTTGAGAACGCAGCCTTTAACCCCAACTCCCTTGGGTGTATGTAAAATCATATTGAAATCGGAGGATTTGGGACTGTTACAGATTGATATGATATTTGAAGGGCAGACATCAACAGAAATTTCTCTAGAGGGCATCTGTAGGGCCTCCAAGATTCCCTGTCAGCTGGCGTCTTGTGTCTAATTTCACTCACTTGTGCATGCTTTGGCTTCCTTGGAATAGTGTACTGGCCAATTCAGTGTTAGTGCGACATCATTCAAAGAATTTGAAGAATTTTATTAAATGCTGCCTAGACACTAGCTGTAAGCCTATTGCCGATACGGCATGGGTGATTTTTGCACATCGGTAAAAAGGCACTGTTGGAAGGAAAATGGGGCAGTATTTGCTCCTTTTTCCTTCCCGTAATGCCTTTGTACCATTGTGCAAAATCACTCATGCGGTGTTAGCAGAAAGGCTTATGTTTAACATTTTTCCCCCATTCTAATTCAAATGGCCAAGAAAAGGGAGACATTTTTCCCAGCAGTGACCTCTTACTTTCATTTATTTCATTTTAATGGTACACTTACAAAGACATTCTATTCACAAAAGATACATTTAAACATTTGAAACAAAACATAAAGGCCGCAATATTTAACCAGCTCCCGCTGGATTGCCCAAAACCCATACTTTCTGTTGAGTACTTCTCCAACTGGTCAAATAGGAAACACGAAACAATTAAAATTAGAAATATTATAAATGCAAAAACAATATTAACATAACAAAACAAAAATACAACATATCATTAATACAATAATTTCAATTAAGAAAGCCATGAATAAAACAAAATTTGAAAATACATGTAGACTGAATTAAGCGTCTTAAATTACTTTTAGTGCGCAAAGAAAATAAAAGGCAATAAAATAACCTGCAAAGTCAAATTTAGCAGTGAAAATATCAAGGTATTCACTTAGAAAACAGAAAAACTTAGAGAAACAGACAGAAGAACTTTTCACTTAGAAAATATTTTTTCAGATCAGTTTCATACTAGGGTATGTGCATGCATGGAGTAACAATTGTCCCACCACTAAAATTCACCCATTTTCATTCTTTATTTGTTAAATTTACTTTTCTGACATGTGGAAAAACTAGAGTGAAGGGTTGTCAAGGGCAGCAATGAGGTACCCCGACACTACCTACGTATGGATAAATGTGTAAATGATCAGTGATAAAACGTTTGGGATTGACTTGTACGTCAAATGAGTTTTCAGCTCACCCTTCCATGTCAAATTATACACATTTTATTTGACGTTCCTCTGGTTTTAGGATGCTACATGTACCTATACTTTTCCCAGTACCTCATTGGATGTCCAAAAAGCAATAAGGTCAACGAGTTTGGAAAAGAGAGAAACAAAAAAAAAGCTGATGCAATTATGTAGGCCTACGTGCCCAGGTAGTTCAAAGGTCATTTAACTAATGAAGGATGTGTACTTTGCACACTACATAATGCTTTGTCATTGGCCCTGGAGTTCAGTATAGGTTTAACTCCTCACTTTCATCCAACAGGTTTGAGCTTCTAAATAGTATGCTTCTCAGGAAATGCACTGGTGATATTTCTGAAGCTGGCTTGAATGTTGGTTGTGTTAATAATCTGGACTGTTGGAATTAAACTCGTTATGTAAAAAAAAAAAAATTGGCAGTGCTGAACCCATCAAAAGTTGAAACGCCGCCAGATTTAGGTGTTCAACATAAGTGCACATGTACACGTAGTGCTTGAAAGTAGGATTGCTAGTCGAGTCAAATACACATGTATGTTCCTGCTCCATTCCGCAGGAAGTATACCTGTACATGTACTGGTATGTACATGTGTTTCCAGCAGATTGAGGCTTACCATTATCCAAGTGTACTCCAAGACTCTCACAACCATTAATTACCCCTGATCAGGATTTCCCCTGCCTATTCAAGTGTGAGGCGGCCCACCTCACTGATTTGAGTGACCACCTCAGGCTTTTTTGTTGAATTTTACCACCTCACACTAAAAATAAACAAAGATGGAAGGGAGAAGCAAAATAAAGTAGACATTTTGAAGTGGATCAAATTCAAATTGTTCAGGATGGTACAGAGGGACACCGAATACAAGATCGATTTATTTTAGGGGGAAATTTGAAAACACTTGCTTGCACAAAAATTTTGGCAAACTTGTTTGATCACCCTGTCCCTAATCAGAGAGACAAGCATGGTACATTATCTTGCCTATTCCCTGTGGACTTGCCGTACCAGTACAGTGATGCAAAAAAATACAAATTGCGCTAGGTAACCATGGAGTTGCTAGATAATTTAATTGTCCGTCCCAATTTAATGTCTTAGTACAATAAAAACATTCTATTTTTAGAGCTTCAAGATGAATTCTCTCATGTTCTTTACATCTGGATAAAAATTATTATAATTCATCTGCCCAGGTTATATTTATCAGCTTTTGTAAATATTGAGACATTATCCTTTTGAAAGGTTTCTCCATGGTCAATTTAAAGGTTTTTTATTTTGTTCATATTGATTAGCATTTGCCTTCATGTTTTTTAGAGACAGTACTTTGAAATTTTTGTAGTTTTCAAAATATTGTTTTGAAAGGGTGAATTTTAACGACAGTAGCATATGAGCATTGCTTCATCATCGAGTGGGCGCAAAACCACTTAGAAGAACTTCACGGCATTCAGTTAATTTGTCACCCGCACATGGTATAATATTTTGTAAAATACTTCAGTTTGTGGTGATTACAAATGGTACTCGCTTTTGCTTTGGCTATTCTACCATTAGACTTGTCTGTTATCAGACAGCCTTGAGCTGATCCCCTACGGTTGGCAGCAATTCAGGAAAAACGAATCCCTCCCTCACAGCTCGAAACCTAATAGCAATTTGTCTTAGTACATTGAAGATATTCCCTGAAGAAAACCACACAGTGCTGAAACGGTTGGAGACCCTGCAGGATTCCATAGTGTAGGACAAGTTCTGTTTAAGTGATATTCTCTCAGTGAGGACAGAGTCGGCATTTCTTGGGGGAGACTGACATTTTCCCCACTCTTTTGAATGTTAGGCTCAGCGCGGGGAGGAGACAGTAGTGAGGGAGATACTGAGGAGACGGGCAGCGTCGTCAGCAGTCATCTCTCCGAGCCAGACAGCATCTTGGAGGAAGGTGAGCCGTTAAAGCAACCCTTGTGGGATCACCCCTGCTTGACACTTTGCCCCCATTCCTAGCACCTTGAAAGTTGGCCATGTTTTGTTTTCCCCCAGGAGGGGCCTTTCAAGACCTTCCAAAACCTTCAAAAATTTCTTTTCGCACTGAAAAGTCTGCATTCTAACTTTCAAGGACGTTTAAGCCCCATGTTATGTAGCATCGGCTGGGCTCTGTTCTCAGCCCTCCAAGGCCTTCCAAAACCCAATGGCGTTTGAAGGATCTGGGAAACTTCATGGTAAAAAGGTGTCCGGCAGATGTTCTCTTGGTCTGTGCTGATTGACATGTGAAATAATTGTGGCTTGAATGAGGACAACTCAAATTTGACATGTGCCTAGCATGAGATGCAATTATTTTCTCGTTTGATGACGAATATGCTAAGGTAAATAAAAGTTACGGGAAAGTAAATATGAAAGTAAACTAAGTACGTGAAATTTAAGAGAAAATAGATAGGCATGTTAATTTATTTGCCTGAAGTAGGCATTGACCTGTCACAGTTGTCTCTTTTTTTTTGCTAGGAAACTTGATGTCTATATTTGGTCAAATAGATTGCATTTCCAAGATCTGGGTTGTAATAGCACAGTAAACTGATACGTTATCTGTGAAGAATAGCTGTCAGTGAAATCCAGCCCTCTCTGTGCAGAGCAGCCCTTTGTACAGAATATACGCATATCGGATAGCATAAATGCTACCTTGACAAAAGGCTATCTGAGATACACAGATATTGAGCTCTTCAGCAAGTTGAAAGTCCGGGAGATCGTGCAAAGCTGTCAGGTGATCTGAACTCAAGCGTCAGATGAAGAAGAGCCACGCATGTGGGCCGAAAGATGTCAGCAATGCTGCTGTTGTAGACCTGTTTTTAAAGTGTGGGAAAGTGTTTCAGAGGGAAGAGTGGAATGCATCGATTCTTTAAGCATCATCATTTAAGTCATCGCAGGCTTGATTTGTTTAATGGTATGGTATACTGCCATGTGCTCCGCTTTATGGCGGGCAGGGTGCATTGTGTGAAATGTGTAGTACTTTTTACACAGAAAATCCAAATGTGGCAGGCTGTACATGTATGCTCACTTGGATACCCCGCAGCAGTATGCCAGCATTTATGGTAGTTGTCTTAAGTGTATATGCTTGGATAAGTCTTGATTATGGCAGCTCCTGGCAGAACGTACAGAGTTCCTTAGCGTTGCTTTCTTTTCTGAGTTCTTATACCTAATTGTGGATTTTAAAGTCAAACTTTCATCTGCGGATATGACTTCCTGTTTTTCCCTCCAGGACCTGAGCTGGCTGACAATGTCCGTGTGGATGAGACGGACGCACAGGAGCGCTTTGAAGAGAAGATCAAGGAGTACATAGACGGGACAACACAGAAGAGGTAAAAACACCTGAATTCCAGTGATGGCCGATTATATATTACCACTGTGAATGTGTCGGTGTACAGGAACTTCCTGTCCGCCGTCCATTTCCTTGAGGGCACTTCCTGAACAAAGATTCAAAGCCAAATACCACACCAAAATGACACGGGATGAACCTCAAAATAGCTGTTCGATAAACAGTTATTCCCTTTTCCGGTTTTGCGTGATAGGAACCTTACTGAGCTCAAGTGTGCAACATCGAAGCGTCCTTTTTGGGGGGGCCATTGGTGGGCGTAGTAGTTGAAATGTACACTCCTGATGTTAGTTAGGTGGAAGAGTCCCACCATACTTAATCCAGAAACACATCAAATCAAATTGTCATAATCAGTTTATTTCTCCCCAAAGGGTAACTGAAATTGAGTCAGTTATTGGAAAACCAAAATGAGATCAGAAGGTTGTCATAACAATGTGGTTCTTGTGTTTTCCCACAGTGTGAATGGACGTAAAGATTGTCTAGAGGGACTCAAGAAATCTCTGAGTCGGAAGGTCTTGACAGATTTCATAGAGCAGCGGAAAGTTACCATCTCAGACTGTGTGGAGCGCTGCATCAAGAAAGGTGAAGAAAGCTGTGGGCTTTCTGGGAACAAGCTTTGCCCTGGTCATGTGTTCAGGGCCACCATTTACAAATTGCCATTGCAAGGGTGCACATGCTGTGTTCCAAGAAGGACCGTAAAAAAGCAGGTGATAAAATGTCATGTCACCCCCCTCCCCCATCAGATCAACTTTCCTTGGGGAATTAGTATTATGAAATCCTTGTCCCGAAATTGAATTCACAACAAAAGTGATGGTTCTGTCCGATCCCCCTTCATGCTCCCAAACGGTCTTAACAACAGCATCCTCTTAGCAGCTCGGATCGTTGTTAGATTTTGCCCTTCACCACTGGGGCACATGTTGGTTCATGTTTATCCTCAAAGAAATCTGACTCAGGATTTCCCAAATGCTGTTAAACCAATCATGTATGTACCATGCATCTTAACAGATCTTTGACATTGATAACACTTACAAAATTACTGCAGTCCGCACAGACTGGTTACTTTGCCAAAACCTTTGTCTGATACCTTTTTGTGGTAATGTTTTAATCATTCTGCAGGCAAGAGTGAGGAGCAGGCGTTGGCTGCTAGCGTCGGTACTCTGCTCTTGATCCAACTAGGTGCTGGGGATGACAGTGAGGCTATCTTCAATGACCTCTTACCTCTCCTCAAGACCACCCTGGCAGACAAGACGGTGGCCCCAAAAGGCCGAGCTAGTGTAGGTTCCAAGCTAACTACCGTCCCCCCCTCTCACCCCCAGTTTTTTAAGCCTAACTTATGGGTCCTTTTTCGTGGCAGCTTTTGGAATCTGCTCAAAACCTTCATCACACGACAACCTCAACACATACTTTGTTTCAAGTAGCCCGGTTTCACAGAGTTGCCAGTGACAGAAAGTTGCTAAGAGTAGAAAATATTTGCTTAGCAAAAACATATTACCAGCTAAGAAGTCACAGAATGCTTATAGGTTTCAACTGGTATGCTGCTAATCTTTGCTTAACTTATAAATTTGCTAAGTCAGATGTTTTGCCAAGCAGTTCTGTGAAACAGGGCCCAAAATTTAAACCAGTACCTATATATAAAGGGATGTAGTGTAATAGCTGAGGTGAACAGCTGGGAATAAATCAAGTTAACAGGTTACCTTCCTATCATTTCAACAATTGAATCCTTTCAAAAGGTGCATTCCCTTGTGTGGAATGCTGGAGAGGAAATATTTAATGCAAAGTTTTTGAAGGGTTAAATCATCATAAAAGTACATGTTTTCTCTTCATTTATTTTTCAGTGTGCCTTGTTTCTGGGTCTGGGTTGCTTCTTAGCTGCAGACAACTACGAGGTGAGTTACTTAGGTTTGCAACCCCCCCATCTTGTAAGTGGACCACCTATTTATATTCATCAGAGGCACCGTTTGCCTGACCAATTGTTGATAGCCTAGTTTAAGAAAAAGCATCCCAACACCAAACGAAAGCTTTAGTTTTACAGGATCTCAATTCACTGTAGTGCTGCTTAGTGACAAATGAAGTCTTTAGCAGAACTCAAACTGACAGAATTAAAATCAATTTAAGAGGCAGTTCTCTGAGATCAGATTGTTAGACTTATGATGAATGTTGTGACACAATCATTCAAGGTAACACACAGGGTATGATTCGGTTACCAAGTAAAAAGAACTATTTTGAGTACATTGGCACGGTGGTCTGTGTAAAGGATATTTTTGTCACGGAACACCACTGATGATCTTTCATTGAAATTCACCACAACCTTGAAATGTTTTTCCCGTTTCCAGACGGTGCTGGACTGCATGGTGGCTTTGGAGCACGTGTTTAGCCTGTCGTACCTGAAGGGAGACGGCACAGTTCCCTCGCACACTCCTGCTGTCACGGCCTTGCACTGCGCTGCACTGTCCGCCTGGACGCTGTTGCTGTCCATTGCCCCTCCCGCCCGTGTGCCCCAACTTGTTGATAGGTAAGTCTAGGTTGGAGCTTTTTCACTGGACGGTGTCACAAAGGCCCTTTTTTGTGACGCACAGTTGTCACAAAACTTGCAGAAGAGAGTGGTTGCCAAGGTAATTGAATTAACAGCCACATTTCTTCGAAGGATCACATACTTTGTAAACTGAGGAGGTCACGGAATTCACATGGAAGAAAATTTGTACCACGTGGAGATGCCATTGCCTAGTCTGGATGAAACTTGTGGTGAAACGGAGGACCTGAACAGCATGTATCAGACTGGAAAATCATTAATGTATACATTTAGGGCAGTGTTGGGGGAAATGCCTTCACTGTAATTGTGGAAAGCTTTCACTCAGAATTCATGCAGTGTGGTCAGTTGTATAAAGAGTATTAGTTACTGCATATCTCCGAGATGAGTTTTAGGCTAAAATCTTTGTTGAAGGATTTGATTGGATGCAAAGGTCAGAATTGAATTTGAATTCATAATTCACTTGGTTTAAAATTCCTAAATTAAAGGAGAAATATTTCTCAAATAGTGAGGGCTTCTTTTCCTTCTCATCTTGCAGTCATTTAGGTAAACTTCCGACTTTGCTGCACAGTGACGATGTGAATCTGAGGATAGAAGCAGGAGAGTCCATAGCCATGTTCTATGAGCTAGCCAGAGAGCAGAATGAAGTAAGTCAGAAAAGATTTCCCGGCCAATTTTGTATAACAAATACTCAAAGTTGGCTAATTGTGTTGGACGTTCGTAGGATTTGTGATTCTGGCTGAACTCGGCTGGCCATTCAAAATGTATTATCAAGGAGGTTTGTTTTTGTGGAGGCTGTACATAGAGAGAACGTAGAGTTGTCAAGCATTTGCTGGTAACGCTTGTCACTCGAAACTTAACAAAATACAATTTTCAGAAAGTATGACAATCCTTGCTGACCAATTCATGTCTTCCATTATTGTGGAAAATGCCATGACTTGCCACAGCTATCTCTCCATTTCAATTTGCACTATTTGAATTGAGAATCACTGCTCCAGTGTACTCTAACGGCTGTCCTTAACTGTCATGGATTGCAGGACTTTGACATGGATAACGTTGATGAGTTACTGGTCACCCTGCGCGGCCTTGCGACGGACAGCAACAAGTATCGGGCCAAGAAAGACAGAAGACAGCAACGCTCCAGTTTCAGAGACATCATGAGGACAATAGAGGTCAGTGTACAATTAAGTATCATTTCAGATTTACCTGCTTGGAACCCTGTAAAAGCCTGCCGTCAAGTCTATTACTGTAAGATGTCCAATTGAAGGTGTACATCATGATATGGCCAGTTTCGGAATTTGGAACAACTCATCTGAGCACCTGTTTCATCATCTTCATTCTCACACACATCAAATGTTTAGAAAATGTGTACATGGATTGCGTTGCTTTCAATTCAAGATGGCTGACGTACGAATAAGCCAACGACTTTGACTATATTACTGCGTGGTGCACTTGTCAAAAAGATGGAACTGAAAGTTTTTTGATTAACCAATGAGAAGTCCTGTTATCTCCCTCTCTGCCAACTGAAGTATTGCCTCTCAATTCAGATCCTCTTGTAACTTTGCCTGCCGTGTATCCCTTATGGTTTTTTCCCTCAGGACAATGACATCCCGCATGAGATCATCAAGTTTGGGCCGGAGATTCTGGAACTGGACGGTTGGGTCAAGAAGCAGCAGTACGTGGCCTTCCGTGAGGTGCTGGGCTCGGGGACCAACATCCACCTGCAGGAGAACCTGCTGCTCCGAGACATCTTTGGCCTGGGGGCTCCCATCATCACGTCGGGACCCGGTGCTCCCAAGAGAGCCAACCGTTCAGAGAGGGTAAGTCTTTGGAAGCGCCGTCGCGAATTTACCGAATGTGCAATCATCAACCAAATATTCAGAAATTTTTTTGCTGGTTCGAATGTTCAACTAAATACAGACACATGTACAGATAGAGCGACAATTCGGAATGACTCCAGGCAAGTCAGGTCGGCGTGGTGGTACTTTCCTCACCTTCCAGCTGTGTGACCCGAGGTTTGAATCCCACCCAGGCCGTCATTTAGATTGGACTTTCGGTCCCCAACTGAATCCATGGGCTATTCCTAAAATATTCATGCGGGGTTAACCTCTCGCCTCTGAAGTGAACTTTTCTGAATTTTTTTTTTCTTCGTGGTTACTTGTAATCATCCTTTGATTGGTACTGAATGCTCTGTTGGATGAACAGAAACCAATCAATCAAATCAGATGGGACTTGAACCCTGACTACACAATGTGGAATTCTGTTCTTGAAGCTGGTCACCGAGTCGGATTGTGAGATATTATGTCTGGGCATGTCATCTGTGTAATCCCACCTGTTTCTCTCCACTTTGCTTTTGAATTCTGACTCTTATACAAGTTACATGTTGTGGAAGAGGCAAAAGGAATTATTGCGGACAACTTGGGGAATCAAGAGATGACGTTGATGTACATTAACCTCCTAACTGCTCTCCAAACCCATTTTTTTTTTTATTTTAAGATTGTACTTTCCAACCACCATTACTTCCCATAAGTCTTGATGATGTACAAATTATTCTACAAAGTACACACCGCATATTTTTTGATTGTGGAATATTAAGTAGGCTTCTTAGCAGAATTGCGTGGGAATTTAAGATGTGACTTGAGTCATTCCCTTTTTCTTAATCAGTTCTTCTTTTCCACCCTTTACAGCATCACTACAATTCCCAAGCCTTCAAAGCCAGAACCAAAGTCCGGAGCAAGCAACGGGACAAGCGATCATATAACCCTAGTTAGCGCGTGTGAACTTCATGTTGAAAATATTCAAGGCTTGAGCTTACATACCAAGGTCAGGTGGAGACCTGACCTTGGTATGTAAGCACAGGTGCAGTTTCTTATTAAGTGCCCCGGCCTTATAGCTAGTTGGCTTTTTCACTGTATGTGATCGAAGTCATGCACGGAATGTCATTGCTGGTTTAATGGTGTGTCATTCTTGACTGGATTTTCATTAGACAGATGGGAACCAGTCTCAATAGACCCCACTACCAAATGCTTCTCTGAGCTTTCAGTATTTTTTACAGTGTGTTATGGATGATAAAAGTCTATGATTAAGGACAAATTGTTTTGTCCTTTTCTCGTTTTTCGTCCAATGGTGTTCCATTGTGTTTGCTTGAGAATTATTTTTTAGTGTGGCAGGTTACCACCAGCTGTGCCGAGTTGTTTGTTGGAACGGATATTTTTCCAGATGAAAGAATGAAAATGGCATAATCTGGGTTGAAGATACCTGAAATATGACAGATCCCATCAAAATGTAGGTTGCTTTTTTTCAGACCTCCTCAGCCATGAATTTCAGTGATTTGTTTTTAGTAAAAAATAAATGAATGAAAATGTTCCATACTAGGCACACTCAGTGGGGAAAATGAAGTTTACAGTGGCTATAGCAGCTGAAGCAATTCTTGAGTCTTGACATCTTATATCCTTTCTTTTCATTCTTTAGTAAATAATATTTTGCTGTGAACATCCCTTTTATTTCTTGAGTTCTGAAATGGAAGGGGAGGGCTGTTACAGGTGAATCTAATCAAAGATTTGTACATATATTATCTTTTTAATTAAATTATATTCAGTGTTTTGTGATAATTGCGGAAATTTAAAAAAAAAATGCACTGTAAGTTTTCTTGTCCGCTAGTATTTTTTCCCCCAGCAAATGTTGTCTGGAGACGATTCTGACATAGTGAGCTTATAATCATGCAGTAAATTACCTAAAACAAAGGTTTCTAGAAATGCATGCTGAGGAGTAATTCCTTGATGCACAGTTTTCTGCATGGTGTCATTTTGACTCACATTAAAGGTCACTGTTTCAGAGTTTGAAATGTAATGTAATTTAAATTGATGCATCAGAATTCAAACAAGGGACACAAGTATGCCTTTTTTTTTCAACCCAGTTGGAGGTTTTTAACCAGTTTCGGTCCAGCAAGAAATTGTCAGGATTTAAAATGAATCAAACCCCAAGATAATCATCTTTGGGTCTTTTGTGTCATGAAAGGCAACAGAAATGTTCCATTTTCAGGTCTGTGTCCTCAAATCTGAAGTTTGAGCAATAGTATTGTAATGATTTGGAAAGAAGGTACATAATGTTGGCATGTGCGTCCTTTATCTTGTACTTTTGGCTCCTTGGATAAATACTGCGTCTCATGCCCACTGCCAGTTATTGTAAAAGTACCTCTCTAGTAGGCTGTGCTATTAAAAGTCCTGCCATTGGCTCATGTATGTGAAGGCAACAGGTTCATGTTGACATTTTACTCAGCTGAAAAAGTCTACATGTATATGGGAATGGGGGAGGGTTACCATATTCTCCTCTCTCCTGAAAAATGGTTTTTGGTGAAGAGCAAGGTTTCCTTATTGTTTGAAGAATTTTTCCAAATTCTTTTCCCGTTTTCTTTCACGTAAATGTCAATTTACTTCTTGTTTCTACAGAATTTTTCAACAGTAAACAAATTTGTGACAAGAACAAAAATCATTCAGAATTGTTTACACTTTTCCTTGTCAATCCCCCCACCCCATACCCTCGGTCCCATGCTTGTAAACTGTTGAATTCTCCATACACCGTTAGGTGTGCAAGCTTGGTTTGCTTTGAGTAGGTGGTTACCTGTAATGTGTAAAATAGCTGTTCAGTTAGGTATTTAAGATAATTGTTAGTACGTAAAATACCAAGATAGAAATGTGAGGTGATTTTAATAAACAGAAAACATATCTTCATGTTCTTCCTGACTTCTTATAGCAGTTGGTCGAAGTACGCAGCTCGGTTTTGTTTACAGCACTGCAATTTTGCCCTGTTTAAGTTGAATCATAAAAATTAGGCTATGACCACTCCAGCTGCTGCTTGCGTATGCATATTTTGACATAGTTCCTCACCATCCAGTGAAGTGGAATACAGATATTACATATTTGAAAATAGTAAGTCACATCAACCTGTTGAGTTACCAAACAAATAATTTTTTTATGCAAGAAATCTCGAGAATAAAATTTTAAGTTCATTCAACATTGCAAAGAAAAAATCAAAACTTTAATATACATCCAGAAGTGTACAACAGAAATTGTATCCCTTGTACAATTCTTTTGTTTTTTTTGTTCTCGGAGATATATACCAAGCTACATTGACCTTGTCCAAAAATAAATCAACCACTTGCATATCTTGGGGCTCACTGACAGATGTTACACGTAAATGCTGCCATTTGATTCCAGTGTGCAGTCATGTTTAGTACATGTAAGACAGGGCAAGAACATTTTGACAAGTATTACCAGACAAACACCAGACGAAGAAAAGAACATGCAAAATTGAAACAGATACTTCAAACACTGAGGAGGATATGTACTTCTAAAATTCCTCTAACACCTTTCAAGCACCTTAAAAAATATCTGTAAAGATGTGGTTCCTATACAGTTGTCCCAATATAAGGTAGCGTCTGTGACGTGTATGGTACTGGAGAGATTTGAAGTGCATTGCCATGTAAGCATGAAGTGTCCGATTGTGCTCATTCATATGAAAATATATAAATACCCTCTGCTGTACTCGATTTAAACTGGCTAGTGCATAGTTGTTCCTCTGCACAGTCTACATGGTCAATTCAAACAATGTTCATCCAAAATCTTAAAAGCCCTTCCTATATATTCAGCATTTTTAAAGACAATTTACATAAAATGGAAAGTTTTCTCCATCTATGGCAATACTTAATGCATATTAATAAATTAATCTAGTAGATATCTTTATTTCCCTTTGCACTAAATGCTAAACACTCTAAAGTCTACATGACATTACCATGTTTATCCTTCGGATATCACATACATTACACACAGCTGACTGTCGCACCTACACATTCTGCCTCAAATATCCAGCTTGGAGGACGGCAATGATAGAGGAAAGCCTTTGCTTAACCTGCAAGTCTGTTTTTAAAAATAGGAATTGTGCGAAAAAACACTCGTCAAGCTTGCAACAATTGGCAACATCTTTCATTTGCCTTCCCACCACATCGCATTCAGTGACCCACTTCATTTTTTCTTACCTGCTTTACACAAATGAATTTAAGGCCTACATCAGTTATTTGTTTCCCTAGATACAGCTACTCTTGGTATTTTTTTGTATCAAAATATAAGACTTTTGGGGGGGGAGGGGAGAAATGCAGGGCTATAAATCGGACTTTTCGGGCTTCTTCTTGGGGTCGAACTTCAGGGAAGCCGAGTTTATGCAGTAGCGCAGTCCAGTTGGCTGAGGTCCATCGTCAAAGACGTGACCCAGATGGGCACCGCACTGTAGGAACAACAAAATTAACATAGAAATTAGACAAAAATACTTTCAAAATTTCAACATTCTGAATTCTTAAATTTGGAAAGGGGGTCGTCTTTTTCATGTTTACAGCAGCTACAACACAGACCGCACTAATACAAGAAATGTGCTTGAAAGCCTCAAAACCCCTTATTAACTGGTCACTATTTACACTTGAAAATTATGTATCAACAAGAGGTTACAACCTCCAAGTTTCTGAGCAACGTGAAAACCATCTGATCCGATTATGTCACCCTCTAAATATAGATCCCTGGGACAAAAATGGTCTCTCCCTGGCTACCGCTTGGCGGCACACTGCAATGTGTATTACAACTTTGTTATTTGAACCTACCTTGGCACAGACACACTCTGTCCTGACCATTCCGTGGGAGGAGTCCCGGTGTAATTTCACCATGCCCTTCTCAGCCAAGTCATAGAAAGAGGGCCAGCCTTGGAGAAAGAAACCACAACCATGTCACAGCACTGGACAGACCGACAGAAACAGGTGACAAAAAATGGAGGGGGGGTCTACTTGCACTTGAAGCTCATATCTTCATACGCCTCTTGCAATTTTTCTTTCTCTTCTGCCCCCCCCTTTTGGATCCTTTTTGCTTTCTGCCAACATTGGCACGACTTTGCTGACAGAAGAGTGAGTGAGAGGAAGCTTTCGGAGAAGAGAATGGGCGTCGAGTCCAGTGTCTGGTTTTCTGATGGTCTTGTCTTTAAAACTTGTCAGGTCCCTAACACATTTCTGATGGCAGATGAGAACTGCACTAGAGGCCACATCTTGCAGATTCCATACATTTTGGGTTTAAAGCTGAATCAGGGATCAGCCAATGAGCACACAATATGACAGGAAGATTAACCCTAACAGTCCTCAGTCCTCCAACAGGTGAAGGACTGAGGACTTTTGGGGTTAACACCAGATATTCACAGCAAGATGCTTTGAGGTCGGTAAAGTGAAGAGACACTAACCTGATCCAGAATCGTACTTGGTGTCTGATCTGCAGTTGGCAAAACAATTACAAAGAAAACGTTTATGGTTCTGACTTCAGCGTTTAAAAATGCACAACTACACGTGTGTTAAGATATGTAATGACGGTATCTTCCTCAAAATTTCAATCTGCCCTGAATTGAAGTGCGCCCTCATCGGCAAAAGAAAGACAGACTGGAACAAAGTTTTCCAATCGTGTTCTAGCCTGTGTTCAGTGTGCACGTGATGACCATACATTCCAGAATAAACTTGTTGCGCATACTCAGTGTGAGGAAAGAACCACCAAGCCAACCTGACTCCCCTTCAATGAACTAGGTTGACATGAACGGCATGAACACATACTCAAATGAATCGCAACACCGTGTAAAGCTCTGAAAGTCTTGGTTTCAGACTGGAGCTACGCACATGACTTACTTGAACAGAACTGCATCACAAACAACACAGTGGTAGAGGCCGTCATCCTTCAACTTGTAATACTCGCCCGTGAAAGCCCTGCCAAGGCAACAACACCGATGCGTCATAATGATGTATCAACAATGCATTAACGCACAATCATTTTTCCAGCCGAATATTAGCAAATCTCCAGTCACGCACTGCTCCAGTGACTAACCGTTCAGTTCCATGCTCTTGGGTAACTGAGTACTGCAGGGGGGTCAGCCTTTGCTTCAGTTCATCCTTGTCCACAGACATCTCGTAGTCTCCTCTCTTTGAATAATCTGTGAAGGAAATTAAACAAAAAAAGCTCCCAAATAAATTCTCTGATAACATGCAAGCATAAATGAAACTTTCACTGTAGCTCAGATAGCCAAGACTACCCAAGCACTGAACACAGCAAAATACATGTAGTTTCACTTCACACCTAGAAAATTTAATTTGTCCTATAAGTGAACACTGTGCGTGCATAAGCACCTTGTGTTAGCTACTGTTCAAGCTCTCAACAGAGGACAGAAATCAACATCACTTGAGTGGCTTTGCTGAGGCCTGAGTCTATGCAGTGTGCATGGAGGGAAAAAACTGAGAAGTCAATACAGACTAAGCCACAGCCACAACCACAGCCACAGCCACGCTGTGATGACAATGCAGAATTGTAAAGACACAGGATGTACATGTACATGCGATGACGTCCATGTACGTAACATAATACATGACAAGAATACTTGTATCTAAAAATACATGTAAACAATTACTTCCACCATCAATATTACACTCCAATCTTTAAAGTTTACAAGCGTAAACGACACAAACTCACTGACGCCAAAATGTCTCCCTTGAGTCAAAGCCAATGCCAACTAATCCCTGCTACATAAACTGACGAGTGTACCAACATGCCACACCTTGAGTGTGTTCGTCATGTGCAGGAATAACAACCAGTTAGCATGACCAGGAAACAATTCCTTGTTGGCATTTCCCCAAGGTAAAATTCACACCAACAGTTCTTTCCCTTTCAAGGAAACAATGAAAAAAAAATGAGAAAAAGATTCCAAAGGTCAGGGCTTGGCCATGGACAGCTATTGATGTTCATAAGTGTACAAAACATCCGCCAATAAATAACGGGGTGAAATTCCAGTGAAGCAAGGCACTGTGTAGTGAACCAAGTCAGCATTTTAGAGGTTAACATCCATTTCCTTAGGTGAAAAACGACAAAACATCATGCCGGTACTTGCTACCTTATAAATCCGTGCTGACTACTGTAATAACCCTAATCTTGCAAAAACTGTGCTCTGAAGCAATTTGATGAGCTGTACAGCCCTACAACTAAAACAGAACAGAGCGAAATTTTGCCATGTGGAAATACATGTAGTGACAAGGAAATGACGTCCAGCAAAAATGCCAAGATATGTAAATACATGTCTAATATTATTTATATCCTTGTTCTAGGTTTTTTACTTTCAATTACGTTTTTCTGACTCACATCTTTCTAATATTAATCTGATCTCGTCTGAAAATCAACAAGGTACACTTGATCAGTTGTGATGACGTTTAAATCACCAAAAAACCTGACTTAATTTTTTCATTTTACAAATGCTTGCTCATAGCATGAGCATGACACAAAGGTACGGTACTTGTCAAGTCATGTGTTAGACCATAACACTAGGCTCCAATAACATCACAACATTGCTGAGTGGAGCTCGTCATTAACAAATGTCATTGACAAATTTCCTGTCATCTGTTTTGCTGTAGGTGACACTAATAGGATAGTCCTCTGTGTAATCAATGCAAGTCAATGGACCTGTGTGATTGACAAATTCAATGAGCATTATGTGTGTGACAGATGGTGTTCTCAAGGACTCAAAAAGAGAAAACAAATTGTCAGCATAAAACTTTTTAGAAAGAAAAAAGTTTCTTGCTGTCCCATTTATGGAACGTGCAAATTTAATATTTGCATACAAATTCATTTAAATAATTTTCGTATAAATGAATGATCCCACACTCACAGACAGATGTTTCTGATAAGATCAACTCTACAGGGCAACGATGCAATCCAATTTGAATTCGCCTAAATCTAATAATAAGTTGGCCATCTGTTTCATGGCTGTGCTTGATGATATGTTATCTCCAATGATTTCAAAGAGCTGGTAAGCACACTACCTTTGGGCAAAGCAACCCCCCCAAAAAATAAACAGCTGGTTCCTGATCAAGCTGTGTAATGCACATTGCTCCTGGCCAGCTGGTTCTCTGCATACAACAGACTACATTTTTATGATTTGCATATGTAGCTGTTTAAAGTTATACCTTTGAGCTACACATGAAGTTTTACAAACAATTTGATAAATCAGAAATTAAATTGGAAATGAAACCACACTTAAAATTCGTTTTGTTTTCCCAGTTGACCAATGCAGCTCCTGGGCCGGGATTAAAGAGGCTGTCTGGTCCTGATTCGTAACCATGGGGCAGGAGTGTGCTCTTTAGTGGTTTCTTTGTTTTTCCTTCTCTTTCTTCAGTCAAACTTTGGACTTATTATTTCCAATGCAATTGGTAGTGACAAAAGATCTGGTGATTTGATGATGAACCCTTGGCCACAAAACATGGGAAAATGGTATTCTCCGAGAGACACACATTTCTGCGGGCTTTATCTCTTTTTCTCCAAAAAGGGGGCTGGAGCAGATACAACACAACTTACATGTACATGTATTTACAACATGAACATACCAAGTTTAGGATTAGTGCACAAAGATGCCCACTGAACGAATCTTAGATCCAAAAAAACAATAGTGCAGTGCAAAAAAAAGTGCATGCTGTGTAAAAGACGATTGAACTTCTAACGGATCAATTAGAATTGAAAATTGCAACCCCATGTAAACAGCACACACAGAAAACAACATGCACAGCTTGACGCCCACATACAATACAAGCATTTATTGATTTCTGGCATGGGGGGAATCAAGATACATCTAGAACAAATACGGATTGGACAGTTTGATTGCAGATGTACAACTGCACTGTCACAAACGATGAAGTCCCGTCATGGTCGGTGTAAACATTCTAAGCTGCCTCCATCTGGCTCAATATGTCCTAGATGCTAGGACTGAAAACCGGTAAATGAATCAAGCAAAATGGCAATGTTAGGAGTTAAACCCCGTCTACTGACGATGGAGGATTCCTGAAGCATCACAGTTTGAGGTTTAATTGGGGCATGCTTTGTGTCACAGTACTGACCAATTGTGAAAATCAACTTCACACCTTTTCATGACGAATATTAAAACTAAATGAAGCTCTCTACGCCTGAAATTCAATTTTCTAGCTACAAGCCCGGGGCTGTTGTGCAATGACCGTTCAGTATGGTTGTGTTTAGATGTGGCTCACACTGTAACCTCCTAGTAACCACCCTTGAAGGGAACTCCACTCAGGTCTTCCTTTTTGTCCCTTACTGCGAGCTGTTTTTGTTATGTTTACTTATTGGGTGGATTTCAAATGTTTGTTTTTTACATGTAGGTTTGAGTTTGCTTTTGAAATACAAAATCTCCTAAAATATCTTGTTTTGTTGGGAAAAATTTGTTCGAGCGTTATCAGTCTGAAAAACCCAAAATTGAACTGAGGCTTTTTTGATCTATTGGAAACAACAGAGAATAAAGGATAAGATCCTTTCTTCTAGCTGCAGGACACGGTTGAATAGGGCAGTGTACACATTCCAACCACAGAGCAAGGAATGTACATGTACATGTACTGCAACTAGATACTGTTGGATTAAAGAGAGACCGTAGAATAATACGGGTTAAGACATTGGACAGCCTAAATCCAATAAGCAACACTGTTACTATGACGATGCAGAAATATGCCGCAGGCTTGGGATTGAATACCTTTTCAAAGATTAGACGAGATATAAAAGGGCTTAGCAAATAATGCAAAAACCAGGAGGTCTCTAGGCGAAAACAGAACCAGCTTTTGAGCTTTCCAAAAGGTCGTTTGTAGTATCAGTTGAAGACACTGCAGGAGAAATTTCGATGAGTAGGATCTTACAAGAGCGTATACATGCAACCCTTTAACGATAAGTGCCGGGTGCTCAAATGGTTCGACTTGCCTAGGGCATGGAGTCAAATGAAGATGCGGACCGGCCAATGTTCTTTGACATTTTTCGTCACGGTGAGTGGCCTCATGTACATGTACAATACTGAAATCTCCAATTGGATTATGGGTTTGTTTCATGGCTGTAATGTGGGAGGAAGGAAAATCACGGCAGAGAGATTGTTTGCTTTTTTTGTGAGGGTGAAAATAATAGGGGCAGGTCAAAGGTTAAACAACTACATGTACTACCCACCCAAAGCTCTGCAGAGATATATACATGTGAGATACATACATGTACATGAATGCATGTCATTTGTCATGGAGACCCTGTGTAAAAAGGCTAGTCTTTTTTTTTTTTTTTGACGGGGGAGGGGAAATCGATGACCCATTTCCCCTGACCTGAACTTTTTGTGCCTGCTTTCAAACTTTTAACTTTTCATTCTGACCTGTGAATACTGAACTATACATGTACATGTACTGGTCTCATAGACACCATGGGACTTTGTGTCCTTCAAAGAAGGGCTAGACTGCTGAGAGCTTTGTAAAAAAAAAAAATGAGTTTTTTACTGAGAAACCCAACGCACAGTAAGCAACAGCATTGTAATGTACCTGTTAAAAACCACAAATTCTCCATAATATTCATTCAACATGACTGGTCTATAACCCCCAGATGGGGTTTTTTGGGTCAGACAGGGCGTTACATGTAAATGTTCCTTTACATGTACATGTATACAGCACTAAGGCATGCAGCCCAAATGTGTATCTTGACACTATCCAGATAATGCAAACACATTATCAGTATCAAACTTCTCACATTAACATTACCTACCTGTACATCATGTACTAAAATCCCTCCAATACCCCCAAAAGGGCCCCTATACAATTTTGTCTGAACTGAAGACTGTTGGGCTTTCAGAAAGATGCTGTCGATTCCACACTTTCCACTTTTTTTGAAATCTCTCGGAGTGGGTAGAGATGTACATGTACCTGGGATGGATTTACTGAGGTCTGAATCAAAGTGTGCCTTGAAGTTGACAGATTCAAGAAATCAGAGGGAGGGGTGGGGTTTTGGTAAAGGATGATTTAAACAGCACCTGTTTTGACTCAATTACTGTGATGAATCTGTAATCAAATCTATGCAAGTACTAGGGGAACATTATAACATTAAAGCATGCTTCGCTTTTCCTTGTAATTTGTTTCTGACCATACAAATATGTGACCGGTACATCCCAATCAGGCATAAGTTACAAATTGACTCTCTGAGATAGGTACATGTCCATGGTCAGAAAGAGAATTTCATAAGCTTTCAAATGGTACACATTACAAGTGTGTTGATGGTAACCTTTCATACATATACCTCCAAAATATACAGAAACTGTTACGTCCATTTTTTTCAACCCATGTCCCCACTTTACTTGGCCATTACGTAAAATGGCCTTAGCGACTTATTCCTGATTACGATGTACCAGGTCACATCTTACAAGTTCAACCAATAAGGGCATGCCTACTAAGTTCATGTATCTTCACGATCAATAACCTAAATAAACCCAGGAGTGTGCAGACGACCCGCACATATCGCGCACTCGGTAAATGTACATAGCAACTATATTTTTCTACTGGCAGACATTTTATTGATGTCAAATAGATCGTTATCTTACTGTTGTCAAGTGAACATTACTGGGTCTGTTTCCTTGCTCTATGGTCTTGTTAATCAAATGATGCGGAATCATTCGGTTTTAAATTGTTGGGGCATCTATGTGCATGCAAGGACACACTACACACACACGCATGTACATGTATGTACATGTGTGCTGTGGAAGTCAAGAATTTACTGGAGTTGTCATTAGAAGGTCAAGGCAAGCTGGACGTTTGCAGAGGGCAGCCAAACTTAATGCATCAAATTCCTGGCATATTGTTAAAGTGATGTGAAATTTTGGTATGGATGGAATTTGACTGGTTCTGGAATGTTGCAGTAGGGTTTGTGTGCTCATACAGTATCAGACATGTATGACTAGGATGTACACCTGATTCTAGCAAAACAAGAAATTGATTGCTATAAACATATCTCTAGAACTGAAGATGAAAAATTGTTTCAGTTACAAAGAATTTATACACACTGTACATGTACATCACCATAATTCAAACCTTGCCCTTATGAGCATGCTGAAAACAAAATATGCAAAGTTCTGTCAAGTACATGTAGGTAGAACTACATTTAAATTTATTTTTTTTAATGTTTATAACCAAGCACATCCAAAAAGCTATACTTTGGGACAAACATACGAGTACATTGTAAACAAGACAACACAATCCTTGCATTTTCAAGCACGAACACACCCGTGTTGGCAGATACATGCGGGTAATTCCAGAAATTAGGAATCGTCTCCCTATTACATCTGACATTTGCTATTTGACATGGAAATATCACCGGATTGGTTCTAAACTATTACTATTTGTTTGGCAGGTAATTTGCATTAATTCATCACTCTTGGAAATTAGAAAATGTGTTCTGAACTTACAAAATCATGTGTCAGATATGACAGGGACACACAAAAAAAATGGACCCCAATTTCTGGAATTATTCAAGTACATGCACTGGTACATGTACACGGAGTTGTAATATCCTGCAGTCTTCTAAGCATACTGTGCATATTTAATATTCTGGTGAATTTAAAAACAGCACATTTTTGAGTTTCAACATCTGAAATTCAAATGGAATTCTAGAGACTCTTTCTGCCTTAAATGTCATGAAACTGCAACGCAAAATTGAACATCCAAACAAAGCGTGCTGAGAGAGTAAGGTTACTTTCTCGGGTACCGAATTACACTGATCATGTTCATAACAAGCACAAATGCTACAATTTGCACAAATCTCCCGAAACTGATCTTCAGAGCTTATCAAGAAATGCATATGAGCATAAAGGCAAATTTGAAACGGACCTTCTATGCGAATTATCAATCCATACATGGACATCTACGTAGGACTGACACATTTAAACACTTCAATATCGTGTACAGCTAGCATTTGCCCACCTGATTAAGTGTTTGTGCAATACCGATTATTTATTTTGAGAACAAAACGATCAGGTCAAATACAAGAGCAACAGCAGCTGCACCGAATCAGCACTTGAAGGAGGAAGTCGTACCTGTCTCGTCCCGTGCCTTGTACACAGCCACTTTGGTATCTCCCGTTTCTTTCCTCCGTTTCGCCTCCAGGAGTAGAGTCCTGTGCATTGAGTGTGTGGGAGAAAACATCTTCCTCCGTGAAAAAAAAATCCTACTCTTCCCTGTGTCGATCGTTTCAAAGTCAAGGCGTCACTGACGGGGAGACCACACAGGGATGATGAGAGTAGAGATGCAGCGTCTGTCCATGTACATCTTCACGGACGTGTCCTTGGCAATAATGCTGGAGCAGCCTGTGCTGAATGTGTGTGCCTCAGTTTCAGCAGCCTGACTGCAGCACTGTTGAATTCCCACAAATGTCAACAGCGTCTGGATCTAGTTCTTACAGTCATCTCCGCTCCCGACAACGCTGACAGGACTTGTTACCCCTGATACTGCCTGGTAATCTGGAAGATCTCTGGCCTTATCAGGCCCTACCCATGTAACCATGAGACACATGCATGAACTACACTGGCGCCGTGTGAAGTGAACAGGAAGAAGATTATTATAAATACATGTAGATGGCAAGTCACGCCTGTTATTCATAACAGGCTGCTGGCCCAATCCATTGTACACACTTTGTGCTCTTGACTATTGCAAATAATTTTAAAATAGGCCGACAACGTCACAGGTGTCACAAAGGTCAGACTAATTGAATAAGTTCATACATGTTCAACTACAAAGCATTATCACAGTGTATTATCGACTTAAAAAAAATTATGTACATGTAGACAGCCAGTCATATGTTCTTGTACAATTTACATGTACATGGGTACACATGACACAACACTGTATACATGTACATGTATTTCATGGAATGTACTGTACATGTATATCCTAATGTAACCTCTTCTACATGTACACCTGTATGTGAATGCGGTTATGCGTCAATTTGTTCCTAATTTTAAACTGTACATGTGACAATTATGTGCTACTGTCACACCCCTGTCTCAAAAATCGTTCAGTCCACTTAATTAAAGGCTATGCCGGAGTCTCCCATTACAGCCAATCCAAATGCTTGTATCATTGGTGGGAAAATATACATGTTTCATGCATGGCATATGCCATGTTTGGCACTGCAATCCCATGAGAATTGCACATCACATGCAAACATCTATCACTGACGTTTATAACCACAGGGCATGACCTTGAAATTGAAAACAATAATTGCTATGGCAACCAGCCAGGTGTACATGTACATTGGATGACAGTGTCGTATGAGGATGCTTGTTTATATAACCTACAGAGGAACAAAAAGTGTCCAAAGAAATTCTGGTCAGAGATCTAATGCACTACAGCCTGGTCCTTCATCGTTCATTTCAATCTGCTGCCAGAGAAACAACCATTTCTAAAAGACTTTTTTTCTGCTTACAGACAGGGATTTCTGGTGTTATTAAAATTAAGTATGACCGGCAACAGCTACTGGCTAATCATGAAACATGATTCCTGAGCCCCCCTCCCCAAAGGAAGGTATATGTAGGCTTTGTTTAGTTTTTGTTCTGACTCTTTGGGGCTTTAAGAACATGAATTGTTACATGTAATAATCATTGGAAATTGGCCACTAAATGCAAATATGCCACAAAAGGTTTACAAACCACTTAAATGAAGGTGGCAAAAAATGAAGATCTACATGAATGCAAAGTACATTTTCCGGAGTTCTCAGAAAAAGGAAAAAAAATTATAAATTTTTAAACACTTCAACAAGTAAATACAAAACCACTCAAATGGATTTCGGTTAAACATTGAATATTACATGTAGCTCAATCGAGCAATTAGATATGTACATTTAAATGTTATGGGAATACAATTTTTTCAATAAAATAACCAACAAAACTAACAACCAAAGAAACTTTTTGTCAACAGAACAAAATTCTTCCAGGGCAACTGGTTTGATGAGACACAACATATTACTATCAATCTACATGTACATGTATACATGTACACTGGTTTTAGGGGGAAAAACTGAAAATCTAGATATTTACATGTAATTACGAATGAACCAAGTAACAGTACTGTGTCGCACATTTGCGAATTCCCTCCGATTGTCTTGGAATGAAGGTCTCCTAATTTTCCACATGCGTGTGCATGTATGTCCAAGGTTACATTACATGTTCAGCTATTGTTTCTCCCAGACAGAAATCAAGTGATAAAAGATCTTTCAAGTGCATCCTGGTTCAAAGGTGAATTTTCATGTGTTCGTGTAGCAGAGTATCATACATTAATGTGCTAAGTTCAGTGCACCGGTTGATGTGGTGTGAACAAATGCTGGTGGGGTGGCGATGTTCAGAAAACAATCAATGGCTTTGTCTGCTTGTGAAATGAACGTACAATGTTACAAAGCATATGTAAGCTTGAATTGTCAAGTTATGTCGACCACAGCTTTTCTTTTACCGTTAGATTTTTTGCCCTGCCCGACATGTATTATAACACTGTACATGTATACTCTAGCAAAAAATTTAACATTAATCAACATCTCCCCAGCACAAATCCATCCTCGGACACAGCTTTTCTTTGTGAGTACAATGCATGAGTGACTGATTTGACTGACTGATGATGCGATGGATAGCCTGGGAACATCTAACTGACACTACCTTGTCAGTTATTGAGGTTACATGTAATTACAAATGATCAGGCTAGACACTCAGGAAAGTGAGAGGTGCAGTGCATAATTCAAGTACATGTACATCCTATTGGTCCTAACTGTCAATGGCAAGGGATGATCCTTCTTCAAACTTACAGTGTTTCGTGAAACACACCAAATCCAAGAAACTGCATGATAATGAAGCAGCCTGTCCAACACCATTTGTTGTTTGCTGACTACATCAATCATGTCAACAGATTTATCTGGTATATTGTCTCAATTTCTACCAACTTTGTACTGGTACATCCCCATGGTGTGCCTCCAGACAAGTGAATGGTACATGTATTTGTTTTATTTTTTAAATTGGATGTACACGTGTACTGGTTCCAGTCTAGTATTACTCTTAGATTTCAATTTGAAAAATTTGACATGTACACGAACATGTATATGTACTTGGCTTCAATCTCAGAGGCAAAACGCTGAAGAAAAATTATCTTCAGCAATTGGATTCAGACCTTGAACTTGACAATGAAATAATAGAGGACCTTTTCTTCACCTCACAAAACTCTGCAGAAGAGTGGGTTGGCCTGATAGCACTTTGCATGTTTTTCTACGCTTCTGTACTCACAGCATCAAAGAGATTCTCCTAAAGCCACCCTAATTGGAGAACGATTCATATACATGTACGTGTAATTTCTCATCTAGCCACTTGTCCATCCACCTGTCCTGTAGTCAGGCAGAACAAAATTTGAACAGGCACTTTGTCCAAAATTTACAAACCCCCATGTTTAGTACATGAAACTTCAACACTGGTGACTACATATAAGTCTTCACACTTCCTTATAAAATGCTAGGTGCAGAGGAAATACGGCCTCCGGTAGCATTTAAGGTGTGAATGGCTACACCAGACTAAGAGGACAATGACATTATCCAAAGTTATTTCTTTTTGAAGAGTTACACATACGGACATCAATTTCCCTGAAGTGGTGCCTGGTACATAATCAGAAAGCCATCAAATGTCAAATTTAGTGGGAAACATACATATACTGATACCACCAGTATGTTTTAAATAATATCAGACCAGTACTGGTGAACATGAACAGGGTGTCTAGTGATGTCCATGTATGGAAGTCTTTTCTTCTTTTCTTTATTACCTGCTGACTGCGTAGTCCCCATCTCTGGCTCAGGCAGATAAATGTCAAGAAGTGTAGGAACGTGTATCTTCACTTAGAATGGTCAGAAAATGACTCTCCACTGCTGGGTTTCAATTTCTTGGAAACCTTCTTGAAGTTTTTGAACAAGTTTCACCCCAAAAGTTACACCCCAAAATAATGTTCCTCAAAACTTATACTTCCGGAAAAATCTCAAAACATGTGACTTAATTCATTCATGCGCAAGTAGACATAAGTCCACTCCAACAACACTATGACATCGACAAATATGCATTGTAATTTCAGGAACGAGGACAGAGTACAAAACTGTAGTTGTCTGTTGAACAGCAGCAGCGCCCTCTTTGCAAACTTTGCTGTTACTCAACTCATTTATTTTAACACCTGTTTAAGTCACGTCTACGACTCAGCATGACTCGTTAAACTTACGACGTAGGACTGCAACTATTGCCACAGGTTTACACACCCTGTTCCACTGTGTTCTCGCTGGTTGAAGCCTCTGCGGAATGAACAGCGAAGAAGAGCGCAAAGCAGGCACAAATCGGTAGGAATTTCGAGCAAATGTCGACAGATTCATGACTTGTTTTCATTTTTAGAAGCTTGAAAGTGCGCCCTCTCTCGAGCCAGTGACCATAATTCAGATAGTCGGTCACCACACCATCATGTTTCTTACCAAAGCCAAGTTATAGCGTAAGGGTACCAGATTCCTTGGTTCAACTCTGTATCGCTGCAAGACGCCACGAGGGCCGGGTTGTTATTTGTTAAGGAAAATATCCTATAAATACAGATGTATGTGTGAATACAACATTTTTGCTGTAGGCCTATAACAAATTATGAGTAGGTGATAAAAATAGATATTTGGTTGGATATAATGAGAGTTTTACGGCGTTTGGAGTTTCAAGATGTGGTGAAACTGTGAATCACTAGAGGGCGCTCTTAGAACAACAGGTTTTATACACAAGTTACTCCGTACACGTGATTGGCCTGTTTTGTTCTGAATAGATATTTTGGCTGATTAGTCGGCATTAGGTTTATGTAAAAAGTGTCCTTATTGTTCGGAATTACTTCATTAAATCTGAGGTTATATCAGTTGCAATGGTTTGTCGTGTTCATCTTGGGCATTTCCAAAATTTCCAGAACTGGTTCACATACTGATTAGGCCTACCAGGTTCTGAGTTAGAACTGCTTCCCAGGATTTCAAAGAAAAATCTTAGAATGTAAAAGTTCTGCATTTCAAAAAAATTTTTTAGTCGGGCAAAATGGGCACTACCGTACCTGTGGAACCACAGACTCGGTCGGGTGTTATCTTGGGTAGTCACATTTCTTGCATTTTGTACCATTTTATGGATGAATTGTGAAAAAATGTAAGTCTCGCCAGTTTTGGCATTGAAGAGAAGGCATGTTCTCAAATGCTAACAAGAGGGAAAAAAACCTGAATTATTTACATGCATTTTGCTTTTCGCATATATAACAATTAATGTTTTGCATTTCTTTGTGGTTTGGCTTTTGGTTTACTTATCACTTTGTGGTAATTTGCAGTACAATCAAGATGGAGGAATCAACTGAAAATTCATGGAAGGAGTTTGCGACACTCCTGGAGAGATGGGGAAAGGAGCGTGGCTCCACAGCGTCATCACTGGCAATCCTTACAAGGCAAGGATTCACAGCTGTCGGGCCTGATTTGTTGATTTACTCAATCGATTTATCAATTATGCTGCAGTGTTGGTCGATCTTGTTAGAAATGTCAGAGCTCCACCATTTTCAAAAGGGTTACCGAGCCTTAAATTAGGAAAGAAACGTGAGGGATCAGTAGATCGTGCTACTTGATGACCAATGGCAGATTGACTGTTAATGTACATTGACCAACTTTGTTCAACTGTTCCATCCATTTTACTTAATAAGAGCAGTGTTGTAGCTGAGACATCTTTAAGGCCAACACAAGATCTCTAGTCTGAATTCAAGTCACATGCAAGCTGTTCCGATGAACTGCAATGAAAGCATTCCTTTGTCATTGTTCACCCTGTTACTTGTGACTGGTCTTGTGCATGGTCTTGTGTCTGGTGTTTTGATAAGCCTTGTGATGGTCTCGACCACAATACTTACTCTGCACAGTGAGCCGGAATGCCAATTATCCACACTGCTTCAGATCTGGCATTTACAAAATGGTAGGGTGCCAACACTTACAACAGGATTAGGGCACCCTAAATGGAAGCGCATACGAGGGGGAGATATTTGCAGTGAAAATTTAAAGCTTTGAAATGAGTTGAAGGAAAACGGGAAAGGAAAGGGTACCTCTGAAAAAAAAATGAAAGGGGAGGGGTCTTGGTTTGTGTCAGGTGTGATTCCTTTGATCCAATGTATGACTCTGGCTACCTGCACCAACATAGTAAATTACACTACCAATGTTTCTTTAATTCAAACACTTTGGAAAAGGTACAGAGTTTTATTTCTGTGCCGAATTGTGAGAATCCCTGTAATGTATTTGTGGTAGGTGGGATTCCTTGTTTTGTTTCTCGCGTTGGAACTTTCCAGCATCAACATCCTCCAATCTCTTTTTGTAGGATGTGCGAGATTGTGGAGAAGGAGACTGACAACTACATCAAGTTAGACCAGGACCCATTTGACGATCGGCACCCGGCCCGGGTCGACCCAGACTGTGACCTGGGCCATCTCCTGACGGTGCTGTTCAACAAAGACGACTTCATGAATCAGGTGACTACTATTGATTCTACAGACTTTAGAATTCAGGTTGCATCACTTGAGTACTGTAAAGCATGCAGAACAAACATAGGCCAGCTTTACTCTCTTTGTAGTGCCAGACTTTTCTTCAAAATTAAAGGCAAAGATGAAGACTTGAAAGTTTCACCAGCCAAGTGTTGTATATGAAACTAAAGTCATAAGAGTCCCAAAGTTTGGGACTATTTGGACCTGTGTTTTAGTGTGATCTGGTTGGCATGGCTATTTGTTCCATGTGGTCCATGGTCTGTTGAAGGAATTGATCTCCACTCTTAGGACATTACCACTGGGTAACAAAAGAGATATATGAACTCATGTTGGGTGTCCAGCAAGGGTAAATATTTATTCGTCTAACTGTCCTCTTTATGATTGTCTTACCAGCTCGTAACTGACCACATCATGTTGTCAAGGGACTTTAGCACCAACACCGTGGCTTGCCGACTTCTGCTAGACATTCTCCCCGGTCTGGAGACTTCCATCATATTTGAAGATACGGTAAGCAGGACAGTGTCTTTTGTCAGAAAACAAACTGTCACTTTGAAACACTGTGTTTTGACAAAGTCCTTCAATAATGTTGGATTATCTCAGGGGCTCTCCTTGGCATGGCACGTGCTCTTTAATACATTTATGTTGCAATGAAGACAATCATTTATGCGATATGCTTATCAATGCTCGTCAACAGCTGCTAAGTAAAAAACTTTTGCTGTGAAATCTAGAAATCAATGTTTCATATTGGTTGGGTTTAATTGTTTCTAGAAAATGCTCTTTTGAATCGACCTAACAAACCGAATCAGATGTCACTAGAGCCACTCTCGACTTACAGCCTTTAAAATAATTTTGCACATTGTAGATCAGTAGGAACCCTCAACTTTTTTGTAACCCACATAATGTCCATTTTCATCAGGATACTAGACTGAGTGAAAACAAAGAACTCAGGCTGCTTTCTTAACACAGTGTTACCAACAAGAATGGTTTCATGACTCATTTTGTGGGATTAAATCATATTTTGATAAGGAGCAAGTTGAACTATTTACCGGAGTCTGCATATAATGATGACATTGTCCTACTGGAAGCGTCACTGTTGTGCAAGAAACTGCAAAATGGATAGCTTCGGTTTTGGCCAGGCTGTAGCTTATTAGTTTTTTTTCCCTCGGGCCACAGGACGGACTGGTGGACAAGTTCTTGCAGTGGGCGAGGGATGGGGAAGAACCCTTACGGTCCTATGCCACTGGCCTACTAGCCACAGCCATTGAGATTCAGGAAGTAGCTGCTAACCTGAGAGAGGAGAATGCATCACTGGTAAGCTGTTATCAGAGTGGCTTAGTCGTAGCCACTTGGCTTGTTAAGTTGTTTGGGATCTTGTATTTTGAAAAAAAAGAGCAAATATTTACAAAGTTGAAGCCACTTGATATGGCTAGCAAAAACACACATGTCTATGGTAAATGGCTATAACCCTACAAACCAGTGGCTTCCATAGATCCAGGTTATTCTTAGCCTTAGCCAATTCATTTGGATACGGCTAAGAATGAAGCCTCCTCATCAACTCCTGTCACATATCTTGTCCTGTTATGTAACAAACCAATGGTAACACTGCTGGCATTTTTTGTCGCCCTCAATGCGTAGGTCAGTGTCATGATGAACAGGCTCCATGAGCTCAGGAAGCAGACTTTGGAAGACGATGCCTCCTCTGGTTGCTCGTCGAGTTCCAAAGACGACCGGCCGTTCCGTCGCTTTGGCAGGAGCAAAGAGAACAGCCCAGAACCCCACAACCAAGAAGCCCCTCCTGATAAGCGTCTTAAACTGGATGACAATGCCAAAGCCAGTCCTGAAGGGGACGAAATAGATTGTGGCGTTGGTTTTCCCGTAACTGGGAATGGTATGGCGGAGTCTACAAATGGCTTGGTTTCAGATACAGACAGTCATCTGGCACTAACTGGTTGTGCCAAAGATGACACCCATGACCCCAAATTAGAGGCCGAGACAGGTGCCAAGCCCTTGTCGACGTCAGTGATTGCCACAGACTCCCCGATCTCGGGGAACTCCACCAGTGCCAGAATCCGCCGTCGCAGCGGCAAAGGCGTTGAGAACAATCCGTCGACCAAGGACGGCAAGCGCAATGCCGCCAAGACCAAGAAGTCGGCTGCCGACAAGGACTTGAAGAGAAGTAGGAAAAGCAAGGCGGCATCTCAGGCGATCAAGTGGCTGAGCTTCCCTGAAGAGAGTAACAGCAGCTGGTCGGAGATCTCTTACTACATTATCGGTACCCATCAGATGTACCCCCTGACGCCTGTCATGCAACAACGCTTCATCCTACAGTATCTGACACCTCTGGCAGAGTACCAGGAGGTTAGATCGGTGTGCAGGTTTTATTCATCAGAGTGAATGTTGGAAATCTGATTCAAGGCTTCAATCGTCCTCGGATCAGCTGACACCTTTTTTTTTTATCCTCACACGTGCCAAAATTTTCCCAGATCTTTTACTAGTTTGGTATTTTCTCTTAAACTTGCAGTTGCTTGTCAGTTTTCCAAAAAACAACCAAGGTTGCATCATCCAGCAACTAACCCTTTTGCTGGACTGTTTTCTTGATGAAATTCACATTAGTGTCAGTGTAAGGTAATAAGAATTTCTTGAGATGAAAGCATTTTCCATATTTTGATTGCTGAACTGTACAATGTGAAGTCTTTTTATAGTCTCAAGTGATTCCAAGTGCATTTTTGTTTGATGTTTCCGCGTCCAAATATAAAAATGCTCCCTTTTTTGTAAATTTCCAGTTGCTGGGCACCATGTTTGAGAATGGAGCCATGGACATCGTGATGCATTACATTGACCTGCAGAAATCGGGTGACACCAGGTTGACATTTGATGGACTGAAGGTAAGATCTTCACTCCTCGCATGGAGGATCTCATCCTGTCTTTCCAGTGGTCACGTGAATTTTTATTCCAAATTAATTTCTGAAGCGAGTGCATTGCAATCATTTAATTGAGAATGCCCCAGACAGAGGTTGACTCTGTGGAAGTTACCAATGCGCATTTGTTTAGTGTGTAAATCAAACTGACCTTGGTTTTCCAAAGTTGAAGTCAGCATGTGAATTTTTGTTTTCTAAAAGGAAAAATAAGAGTTCATTGCTGCAATTTTAAAATATTTGTAATAAAATGAGCAAATATGTTGTAAATTTGACAATAAATAATGTTTAATATGCTCATTCATAAGATGTTACCCATCATTTCAGCCTCATTGTCAGATGTCCCAAATCAGCACTTACGTTAGAGTACTGACTTTTCCTGTCATGACAACAATTGTCAAAAAGAGGCTGTTAAAGACCTTCCTCATCTCTGGTTCCTCCTTCATTCATCTTTCCCCCCTCCAGTACTTGTCCTCGCTCATCTGCCACAAGAAGTTTGCGGTGGAGTTTGTGGAGGGGAGCGGAGTGCAGCATCTCTTGCGAGTGCACCGCCCATCTATTGCTGCCACGGGCGTATCTATGTGTCTCTACTACCTGGCCTACAATGCCGACACCATGGAGCGGATTTGCCAACTCCCCAGCCACGTCACCTCTGATCTCATCGGGTGAGTGAGATGAGGACTGGATTTTCCTCTCAGATTTGGCAATTCAAAATCGAGGTTTTTTTCCCCCAAAATTAAACTGGTTGTTGTGCACAATGATGGTGTCTTTATGTAGTGCAGTGAAATGCCGATATTGCATTGTCATGATTTTGCACTCCGTTTCCCCCTCCCCCCCTTCAATATGCCCCGTAGTTGCTGAGTTGCTCCTATGATCTCAATATGCTAGTCCTCCACTGTTTGCCTTCCTCAGCTATGCCTTATGGCTGCTTGAATGCTCCCATGAGTCGGGACGCAGCCACGCTACCATGTTCTTCACCATGGCCTTCAGCTTCTGGACTGTCTTGGAGCACTTTGACCAGCAGGACGGGATCCGCAAACTCTTCAACACAGTAAGTGCGCTGCCGTTGATCTGCCACCCTTTTTCTTATTTTCTTCAGGAAAACAGTGATGTGTGACTTCATGTAGTAGCCTGGATATAAAGTTTAAAATGCCAAAAAAATGACTTTCTCTCTTATCTTTATGTGTTGTATTGTGTTCAGATGCGCGTGACTCGAAGTGACTTGAAGTAAATACTTGACTTAACTCGATTACACACGTTTGCTCAACCTCTTTGCCTAGTGACGTGACTCAAGAAACTATGACTCAACTGGACTCAAATCACAAAAATTTTGGGACTTAACGCAACATGCTTTTTCTCATACAAACTGAAACAGAACTTCTTGTAACATGGCCTTACAACTCATTTTGTGGGATTCGGTCACAATTTGTTCTACCATTTCCAATCAGATGAGTACCCTGAGCATCCTAAACCTAGAGGACCAGGTCCAGCCCTTGAAGGACGATGACGTCTTTGCCAGCCGGCAGACGGTTAAGCACACTTGCCTGACCCTCAAGAAGTACTTTGAGACCCACCTGTCGGTCAGGGTTGACAGCATCAAAAGGGCGTACTCCAAGAACCAAGGCATGATGCCTTTGGATTTTACACCCCCATTCAAGGTGGGAAAGAACTTCTGAACATCTCACTGAACACAAAGCGTAGTAACCGTAGTGATGTATTGCTCTGTAACTTTTGGGCCAGTCAGCGAAATATGCCAGTAGCCCCTGTACTTAAAGGGCTTTGCCATGTTTGCAGAGCTTGGCATTCTTTAGAGTGTTTTGGAGACTCGATGTTGTAGTGTTTCTACAGTAAAGCATGGGGCAGTCACATTTATTGAACATTGAAATGACTTGACAGTAAGGGTTAACCACTTCCTGCCGGGGCAGTTATCAACGTTGATGATGCTGGGGCGGGATATTTATCATTTTTTTCTGTTTTCAGAATTAATATGGATGTTTCAAGGAACTCTCAAGGTTCAATATATCCCATGTCTTAAAAGTTGACCTTCTCTCCTCAGGCCATCACAGTGACTGAGGAGAGCACCAGTGAACACATGGAGACCATGCTGGAGGAGGCACCGCCCAACATGCACTGGAAGCCGGTGAAGGTCTTCCTCAAGATGGATGGAGTCAAGCTCCTTCTTCAGATTATTGCAATGGCTAATGATTGGAAAAGCTACAGTGGAAGGTAACTGAAACAGAAACTGTGATTCTGCCTGGGGGGGGATTGTGAAATGACCACTTATTTAGAATGTAAAAATCTTGTTCATGGCTGACCAGTAATTTAGGAATTCTTTGCTGAGGTTATTAAAGAGATGTAAACTGATTTGAAGGGTTTAATCTCAAAATTTATATCTGGTGTGCTTTTGGTTAACTAGGCAACCCAAATAGAGGTTGGTGCGGAATGTATCCAGTATGTGGAACCCAATTTTTAATGTTTGACTTTGATTGTGCTCTGAGAAACCAGACAAGATACAGAAAGAAAGCACTGAACTATAGAAGAGGCTTTTTATCATCCTCCGTTTGTCTCAAACAGGGCGGATGCCATTCGGGCAGCTCTTGATGTTATTGCCGTCATCACCGTGACGACTAAAGGCCAGTTGCAACTGTGCGAGCAGGTGGAGCTACCCGACAGCGTGTCTTCTGTTGGAATGGAGTGAGTATGTCAAAGTCCATGGGACTGACACTTTATACGTCAATGAGCAAACATCCTCCTGTTGGGCCTGTGCACACCTGTCCGTGCAAGCATTGAGGGTGGAGTTTCGCTGGTCCCCCGTGCCCTCACAGGGCACATGTATTCAAATAAGCTCGATCTAGTGGGTGTTGGGTGAAGATTATGTCATGCAGCCTGAAACAGGGGCCCTTCCCAGCACCCTGTGAGGGTATGAGGGACCGACAAAGGTGCAGAGAATGATTTTCATTACACGGTGACAAGAGTGAATAGTAATTTGACCAACATCGCTCAAACGATAGACGTTTCGGACCATGCAGTCAACCATTTAAAACCATGCCCCAGCACAGGTCGCACCACCGGTTACCAGTTTAATTTATCGGTACTAAGGGGACCGTTTGCTTGAAAATAATTGAAAGAGATGTCATTGATCGTGAATATTGGGAGAGTAGTAGCCAACGGCAAAATGAGTGACAATGAAATTCTACAAATTAGTTAAGTTAGGATCGTTCACACGTGACTGTGTTTTGTGTGCTTACTGTTCAAAAGCAAGTCACTTGGTGAACTGTAGTTGGTGCCTGAACTTGCCCGGCTTCGCAGATTCAATCCTGCCAGAGTTATTGGGCGTTGAGTCCTCAGGTTTAGCACTGCGGTGAACAAAACATGCCTTCAGTTGTCTCTTTTGTTGTTCGTTGCCTGAACTCACCATGGTGACCTTTGACCTCCCATTGCAGTATCATCAACGGCATGGCTGAGGGTGAGATATTGCAGGATGCGGCAGTCCAGAAGGCAGCACTGCAGGTCATCATAAACTGTGTCTGTGGACCTTGCTCCAAGGTAAGACCGACGTGATAGTTCAAGCTCTGACAATTCGAAGGGAAAAAAGCTCGAAAGGGTGAAAAAAACAACTAGACTAGGAGCGGTGCTTTCAGATATTGCATTGTTGAGAAATGGAGCAGAAGACCCCCTTTAAAGCAGAATTTCGATGTCGAAAACCCTGGTACCTAAACAAGAGAGCTGCAAAACTTTTGAAATTTAATAGTTTGTATCCAACATTTGTTAGTTCTCAACACGTTTTTTGTCCCACTTTTCACCTGTGCTTTGTAAAAATTCTATGGCAAAATTGATGAAAAGTTAGTGTGTCTGATTTCAAAATAGTTTTGTGACACCATTTATAAGGTTGAGACAGAATGTAGGCATTTTAACAGAGGGTGAAATCTATTGCAATCTGAAATTGGAATTGAGAAACTTTTAAAAAAAGGTTTTTGTTCCTTTTTTGTGTTATGGTCACACGTTTCTCCATCTACCAATCACAGCTTGGCTCCACAGTGAGTCGTTTTGCTGAAGCCAGCACCAGGAGGAACCGAGGCGCTCTGCGAACTACCAGTGACGTCACAGAGAAGATGTTGGACTGTGTCCGAAGTAACAACGGCATCAGGGTCAGTGCCATTCCCCCTTGTAGTAGGGTCACTGGTCGGCTTGGAGACCAATACTTTTTGTGAGGATATTATTGACAATTATGGGCAACTTCCAGTGCGATCGTTTGTCAACCACTAGTTGACTTTGCTTGGTACCAATAATACATTTTGTGTTCAGGTTACTGGGGAAAATCAACCAGTGGTCTGCAGATGGCCATTGTTTGAATTTGCTTGTATGAATCTATTGCCGATGAAATGAACAGTATCATAAGTCGACATTTCAGAGCAGTTCACTGCGTTCATTAACATAGTTCTCTCAATGGTAATGCACTTCTTTAAGATGATGGTAACCTATCACACCATGCCGTGGTCAATATTCCAAATATTTTTCCCTCTCAGCTGACTGCAGTAATGACCCAGCCCTTTTTTTTTTCCGCTGCAATGCAGACCTTGCTGAGCCTGCTGACCATCAAGACTCCCATCACTGAGGCCGACTGCATCCGGGCGCTGAGCTGCAAGGCCCTGTGTGGCCTCTCCAAGAGCGAGGTGGTCCGACAGATCCTCAGTAAACTTCCGCTCTTCTCCAGTGGCCAACTTCAAGGTAAGGGAGGCTGTGTATCCTCTCATCTCACTGTTTCAGTCACCTGGCAACTGGAGACTGACGATAAACAGAGAGGTAAATGGTTTATTTTGTTCTGTCTATCAAGAATTACGTCATCAATTACAGTAAATGCTACCAATTCTGGTCATATTAGTCTGTATTGCCAGGGTCTATATCAAGCAAATTTAGTCTGAATGAGTAACCTTCATGCTACCCTCACCCTAATGTGACACCTTCCTAGGTCCCTCAAAGTCTCCCCTACCTATGGACCTAAGGGTAAAGTCTTTTGAGGAGCATCCATTTCCATTTGAAGTGACAGTAGTCTAGTTCTACCATTGTCGATCCTTCAGAATTCTCCCAGACATGGAAGGATCCGCAGGTGTAGGCTAGGGTTTAGGAGTTTCTTCCTGAAAATTAACACATGGCTGTGTGGTTTTCTGCAGTGCTTATGAAAGAGCCAGTTCTGCAAGACAAGCAGTCGGAACATTTGAAGTTCTGTAGATTTGCGTCTGAGCTCATCGGTAAGTTAGCAGCTATTCAGTGTGTTGGGTTTCATTTTATTCGTACATTAGTGGTTTTAATGTTTGCTCTTTTGGTGTAATTTTTGGCCACAAGGCAGAAAAGTATTTCAAGCAATTTGGAAGATGTAGTGGAGAGAGAATAATTTGGACTGGATCCCACAAAATCAGTCACAAGGCCATATTTTCAGTTCTGGTTTAGTTTACATGAGAAAGAGCAGACTGGACTCTTTGTTTTGAAGTATCCCTCAGTCTGTCATCCAGATAAAATGGACAATACACTGGTGAAAAATGTTCAGGGCTCCCGTTGATTTACACAGTGCAAGATTCCTAGAAAGGCCTTTCACTCAAAAGTTGCCCTAAGAACTTGTGACTCATTTTGTTAAGTTGGGTTACAATACAATTACCTGTAATAATTATATTTCCAAAAGAGAGAATCTTGGCTTCTATGAAGGTGTCATGCAAAACTCCTCCGTGACCGATGTCAACATGATGACGATCCTTGGTTTTTTTTTCCTCGTGCAGAGAGAGTAACCGGTAAGCCCATGTCTCTGAGCAGTGACGCTACCCTCTCTAAACTCCACAAGGCCAACATCGTAGCCCAGACCAAGATCACTTACTCCCAGAAGGAGCTGCTGCAGCTGATCCACAGTCATCTTGTCTCTCAAGGTTGGTCCTCGCCAACTTTAGTTGTCTCTTCACTTCGGTTTCTTAGCTGTTATTGAAAATGATGGAGTGTTCTTGCACAAGCAGGAATGGGCAGTGAATGGCAAACTACGAAAGGGAAAAATTGTCAGCACATTCACTTTACCGATATCTTTTGTTCAGATAGGTTTTTCTTTGTTAAACCAATCGTACCAGACGCACCAAGATGCAACATACGTAAAGGCTGTTGTACCTTGTGTATCCCCCTGGATGGGATGCCAGTCCTTGGCAGGTTGCTCTTAAACGCTGGTACCCTTTTATACCTTTGGATTAAGAGAGGCAATGAGAGGATAAGTGACTTGCCTAAAGCCACAACTAATGGTCAGCTGCTGGATTCTAACCCCGAATCCTCTGGTCAAGAGTCACAAACCAGACCTTATGCACCCTATGTATCCTTTTTTTTTGAGGGGTGGGTGTGGTTTTTGTTGCCTTCTTCCGCTCTTACAAGGCAGGCTGGACACTGTGACAACTTTTTTATGCCGTTGCCTAAAAGGCAGGTTTACAAAAAAGCTGTGACTTCCAAGATGGAATCCCATTATCCCACACTGTTTGCTGCCACGTTTGCATTCTTTTCACTGTTCCCAATCCCTGGCCTACAGGTCTGAATGACACGGCGTGTGCTCTACAACGAGAGGCCAGCTTACCAAAGAGCACCTCAGCAAGTGGCCTGACCCCTGGTCTTTCTTATGCCTCCAGTACCTTATTGGCCCCTGCTTCTGGAATGGTACGTTCCGTGCCCCTCCATACAGTCCTCTTCAGCAACTGTACCGAAACTTGGTGACAAGCATAGAACGATGGCCAACATGGAGAGTAATGGAGTAATTTTGGGTGTCAAAACCATGATATAAAAACAGTCAAATTTATAGGCAGTGGGTGAAGATCACTTAATAAGACGGAGACAGAAATTTTTGCTGTATTCTGTAAAACTTACGATACTGTTGTACCTAGTAAGTAGTTAGTTATGAAACTATTTGTGGTATCAGTAAAACTTTTTATATATTCATCAAGTTATTTTTTTTTTCAACAGCCGAGGTCATTCCACACCCCAAGGGTTCCCCCTCCAATCCCTCACATCTCCCAACAGCCTGCCCTCCCATCCCAACCGAATGTGCCACCTCCACCACCACCAGCCCAGCCATTGACTCAGACCTTCCCCCCTCTCAGCGTGTCTGTACCTCAGGAGCCCTCTCAGGCCTCTCTCCATCCAGGGTTAGGGGACCCGAGCCCCAGCACCCACTCGGCCCCAACCACGCCTCAGCAGATCGGCAGGATTTCCTTCGGCCCAGACAGAAATGCCACCACACCTGGTGGCATCAGCAGGGTACGTGAATTACAAGAAAGGGGAGAGCATTTCCCAAGTTGAGTGGCTGTGGCTTCCATAGGCACGTGCATTATTTCAAGCCACAGCCATGACTTGAGGGCCTGGCTTTGGGCCAACAAGGTTTGGACTCTTGTCTGAGCTGTAGACAGCACTGCTGGGCTTCTCAGGAGTTCGAGTGAAAAGAGAAGTGTTTGTATGCATTCAGCAGATATTGTTTGAGGCTAATTTCTGTCTGAATGTGCACAAAAGCTGTGACTTTATGTTGGAGAAACTGATTTAGGCTTTTAAAATAATCCTAAAATGTCTGCTAGAGTTATTCAAATTTTTGTTATCTCCACAAAAGTTTCGCAAGTACCAAGCTCTTTGTTAATTGTTAAGGGACTTTTTTTCTTATGTTCAAATGTTTGTTATTACCAACCTTTTACTATTTTACATTTTAATTCCTTAAAACAGTTCTTCAGGTGTATCAACTTCTTCCAAATTGCTGTAGTTTTGAAGTCAGAGTTGCTTTCCAAATTTTTTTCTCTGACCAACTCGTTTTAGATTTTCAAAGCAGGTCTTTCTCTTTTGTTGGAACAGGTCAGGAAAAGGATTATAAGGGAAAAGGTATCCCAGAATGCCTTGTACTCTTTGGGTGGGGTCGGAGGTCAATCCAGGCGCCGTCCGGGATCCAACCCTCCTTCCCTTGATGTCATAGTGTCACAATACCTCAGGGAGCAGCATGCACACTGTCGGAACCCAGTAGTTGCCTGTCCCTCATTCTCACTGCTAGAGTAAGTTGACAGTAATTATCCAGTACAAAATAATGTGCATCTACATAGGATTTAGTAAAGTGCCCAAAGGACGTGTGTCTATGTGAGTGTTTTAAATCACGACCTTTGCAGAAAGATGAATACTACACAAAATTTGCAATTAAATTAAACCATGCAGCATTTTTCGATAAAGGGAAAGCCTGAAGTAAAACCGATTATTATTTTGAACCATTTATTTTTACCAACAGACCTCACCAGTGCCCAGAGCCAAGGTTCCGACAGAATGCTCCAATAAATGCTACCTCAAGAATATTCAGAAGGGCTGTAAGTCCCCCCCCTTTCATTTATGTTGTGGTTTAGAAAATCCCCTAAGAAGTGCTCTTGTTCTGAATGTTCGTTCTTAAAAATAAAGCTTGAAATGTTGGAGCGTGTAAAAAAGGCAAGTAAATAAAAAAGCTAAGATAAATTTTAAATAAATTTTGGTGAAAGCAGGCTTTATTATTAAAGACAACATTGTTGGAGAACATCTCGGTTTATTTCTACACTCCGGATTATTTCTTTGAATTAATTTGATTATTGTATGATACAGATCCGGCCAATGCATGGTGGTGTGGATGGAGCCAGGTGCACAAGGCATTTTATATACAGCAGGTGAGTCAAAGAGGCTTGGTGCCAGATCAACAACAAAGACTGAATCTAGATATTGTAGGCAAATGACCCTTCTTCTGACCAGTTGATTTCCTCATATTCTCACATGTTCTATGACTCATTAAAAAACACTAGACAAGGTCGGGTACAGTTTGGAAATTTCCTGCTTTTTTTCTATTGGGGTTTACCCATCTTTGCATGCTCATTTTGTTTATTTCCCCGGTCCTGTTTGTTTTGTCCAGATTTCGGCCAGTGCAGATGATCCGCGATGACCCAGACGAAGTTGGCTGTTTCACGTGCTGCAGGTTTAGTAGACACACAAATGTGAGTTAGGGAACCACATTTTTTTTTAATTCAGACATTCAGGAAATCCAGCAAAATTACAAAATGATTTTTAAACATCTTGAATTTTACATTTTTCCGTTTCACAGCCTACAGAAATGTTTCTGTGGCTTGGCAACTATGAAGGAGAGCTGAAGGCGTACAATATCTACTCTGGAGCTGTAAGTCCTCAATTTAACTCGTCAAATTTACGTAGGAACTTGACAGATGCAGAACAGACATTATGTAGTCTCTAGAAACCGCTTTCTTATTTAGCTTGTTATTTTTGTGTAGCAGCTCTTCTGTGCACACTTTGACTTAGAAATATAACAGTTTATAGTACAGCCAAGCATGATTGCCGACCAATGGGAGGGACCCATTTTCTCATAAATGGGTGTGAGATTTCATGACCAAAGCATGGGATGCTTGCTTTTGGAGTCTGGGAGATTGTCGTCGTGCGAGATTCAATCACTCTGTGTATCTTTGTTGTTGGTTTTTTTAAGGAGGAAGCATCCTACAGCTGTCACGACTCTCCAATCACCCACGTTGAGCCATCAAGGGTAGGTGGTAATCTTGGCATTGTAGGTCTTAAAACTTGACCTTGTCTTAAATGAAAAGCCAAGCGAAAAATTTGATATGATTGTGGGGGAGGGGTTTGCTGTTTTTGTGTTCATTTTGGTTCAAAAGATATGTTGTCTATGTTTACTGCTTCAAGTGGACGTGGTGCTGAAACGGCGAAGGTATCCTGATGATTTGCATTCATTTGAGCAAAGATTTTGCTGAGCTGGTTGTGCATTGGACACCATCAGTGAAACAGTGGTGTCCTCTACTTTGCCTCTTTGAGTAGGCAGCACATTGCCCTCAAGCGGTCATGCATCGAGGCAGTGGAGCTGGAAAGCCCAGAGTTGTGCATTGGCATGGGTCAGGAAATCACAGACTGTGTCCAAAAGTTTTGGCTATGGCTTTATATAACACACGGGACTATGGGAAGCCACTGGCTAATGGCTGCAGCCACTTCCCCTGGTCTTGTGTGCCAACCCTCAGCAAAAGCCACTTTTATTTGGATACAGCCTCACTCATGTGCACTTGACTTTCGCAGTGTGTCAGTTCGGATTTTCTCCTGTTCTCTCCTGTCCAGGATGGGAAACTCATTCTGACTTCGAGCACGTGGAGCAATCCTATGTCTGCACTGTGGAGCATCGGTGACACCTTCGACAAAAAGTTAGTTATTATTCGGGCGAACCAAAATTAAACTATCTTGACAAATCGCCTCATTACTAAATCTGATGTTTCTGTTTTTATACTTATTTTTTGTGTAATTTAAGCAACTTTCCACGGAATAACTCTTGTTGAAGAGATTTAGATTTGTTTTAGAAATAAATTTTGTTCACTTTGTAGTATCATTGATTGATTGTTACTTTTGCAGGCACACCTTCCAGCATGACCAGCATGTGGAATTCAGCAAACTTTCTCAGGACAGAATCGTCGGCACGAAAGAGGAAAAAGCATACGTGAGTCCTTTCACTCATTTGCCACCAGAGGGCACTCTCAACACGCAGAAACAAGCTTTCTGCCAACTCTTGCACTTCAGCCAAAAGAAAGACTTTCTCCTGTTTCATGCTAAGTAAATTTATGCTGTTGTGCCCAATTTTCTTAATTTTCCAAGTAGAATTAGAGACCATTACTGCAGTCATACCGTGCTCCTATGCAGGCGGTAGACATGCTGATTTGACTTCATGGATCCAACGTGCATCAGACCAGGAAATTCTGTGGCGGCATTTCATCACAGACCTTAAACACCTGATCACAAAATGTTACTTTTGTGCCATCCTCAGATCTACGACACAGCGACAGGCCAGCAAATCCTGAAGCTGGAGGACACCGACCTCAGCAACGGTTACACCAAGAACTGTGCGACCTTTGACCCCACAGATGAACTGGTCTTAAACGACGGCGTACTGTGGGACGTGCGGTCGGCCAAGCCTATCTACAAGTTTGATCAATTCCAGAACAACATCAGTGGCATGTTCCACCCCTCCGGCCTGGAGATCATCATCAACTCAGAAATTGTATCCTTTCATTGCTTTGTAAATTACAGCTGCCCATAGACTGTATACATGTATCGGTCATCTTGAATCGGACTGTATTTGTATATCGGTCATCTTGAATTGAAATTGAGGTTAACTTTTCATGTCTGGAACATGAGTGTAGAAATAACAGCAACGAAACAAATGTTCATTACAAACTAATGCCAGTTTTACATTTGACTGAATTAAAATTTGTGTCAAATTATGTCTACATGTTTTAAGATGCATTTTAATTAAAACAAAAACAAGGTTTGAAAGTGAGGTTTGGAACCCCATAGTCTGGCAACACCCTATTCACCAGATTACATTGATAATGATAGATTCAGGAAACTCAATCAAAATGGCTTCCCTATGAATAAGGTCTGTTGGGAGGAATGTGGCCTAGTGGCTAAGGTTTGTGACTCATGACCAGAGGGTCATGTGTACACTCAGTGTTCATTCAATTTTGTTAGTTTAAATTAGTGTCAAGGTGTTCAAAGAATCTCTCGTTTTGAATGTGTTCTCAGTTGTACAATCTTTAACTGGCTTGTCAATCAGTGGGATGTGAGAACGTTTCATCTGTTACACACCGTGCCTGCTCTGGACCAATGCAACATTGTCTTCAATACAGCGGGAACTGTCATCTACGGAAGTATGCCCATTGTGTGCACTCACTCAACTATAGAGTTGTTGCCCTCTCGTGGTGCATTCTCGAAGCAGCTGTGGTGGAGATATCCCAGTATGGGTGTCACCAGAAAGGGAACCAGGGCTCTTGAGGGATGACATTCATCAGTGGCAGACTGAACAACACTAAACACTGGAGGGGGCAATTTCAAGGCATTTCCAAGGAAACTGGCAATTTAAACATCCCCTTTCCTGTTTTCCTTGTCATTTCTTTCTATTTTTCTCTCTTTTTTCTCTCCCCCTTTCCCCTGTGACGGCAAAGCTTCAAAACGACAACAGGTGGTCCATAGATGTTGGGCGCAAGATGATATCCCACAGAATTTTGCTGTCTGTTACCACTCAGTGTTTGTTGACTTTTTAATTGGGCAAGCTGTGGTTCCCAATTAAGAAAAGAATGACTCGGTTTTCAACCTTAACTTTTTATAATCTTTTAAACCTGTATCTCTCTTCAAACCCCCAATTGCATTCAGTTTTAAAATCATTCTCTTGTTATCATTTGGTTTTTTTTTCCCCTTTTTCTGTTCTCCAGCTGTCTTCCAGTCTGATCCCGAAGATGACCCTCGTGAAGAGAGGTTAAAGAGTCCCTTTGGATCGTCATTTAGGACGTTTGACGCCACCGACTATAAGCCAATTGGTAGGCTTGTGCTGTGATAAGAATGTGCCTAAGGTTTATTCAAGCTTATTCAAGCTCACAACCCCCTCTAAAAGCAAAACTGACTGCAGCAAACGTAGCCTATTTGTCATTGGTTTAATAGACTTCTGACATAAGTTGTGTGATGGTTGCAGTAATGTGTAAGTGTTGTACACGTGGATCTTAAAAGTCAGTATTCGAGGAGTTTGGCTTATATCAAATTTTCACCAGTACATCTTGCTTTTTCTAAGTCATGCTTTTGGGGGGGGCACAAAAGAGATCTTGTCCGCAAGTGCTTAAACAGTAATAATTATCACTGGTTGCCTGTCTGTGTGTTCTCCTCAGCTACAGTTGATGTGAAGAGGAATATCTTTGATCTGGCCACGGACCCCACGGACTGTTACTTGGCTGTTCTCGAGGTAAGTCGCAGTACAGGCAAACTCAACATGTGAAATCTGGCTTTAATTATCAATGCTCTCAAACAAGTCAATTAATTTAGAGGATTTTTGGAAACAAGTAAATGGACAATTATTTCAGGAAAAGTCCACATTTGTCGCCTTCTCATGGGGGGGTACAGAAACCAAGGAGATTTCAATATTCATGACATGCGTCCAATATTAATGACTTGTGTGCACAGACCCAAGGCAGTGTGGAGACACTGAATGTGGAGAGTGTATGTCGGATGTACGAGGTTGGAAGACCGCGCAAAGCAGACGGGGAAGAGGACGAGGTAAATGATGTTTTCAGGAATGAGAGATGTGCCTTTCCGATTAAGCTCAGTCAGAGCTTTTGAATGAACAACTTGCCAATTCCCATAGTCTCAATTTGCTGGAGAAGCGCTTTTGTCACAAATTAAAGGAAAGCTTGAGAAGTTTTGTAGGTTGGATCAATGGGCCCCTAAACTATTTCATATTGTACACTACCCAATGGCCACTTCACGGAGCCTTTATGTCGTGGATGCCACGATGTGATGTGTTCTCTCTCATCCATGAGCAAGTTTGGTATTTCAAAAGAGAACAGGTCATTCCGACTCATTTAAATCAGTGCACCTGAAACCATGCCAACGCATCTAACTTGTTGGGTGTGACTGAGGTGGCGTACAGCCATGCCGATAGCCTCAATTTGAACATGTACTTTTGGAATGTCACAACGGTTCATTGAAGTCACATTTGTGTTATGACAGTGTACAATCCCTTAAAGTTAGTATGGATGACCGTTAGGTTTTCATATTCAGAGGCTTAATATGTCCGCTTGTTTATCTTACCCAGGATGAGGGTGACGATGATGATGAAGATGAAGATGGTTCAGATGACGATGACGACGACGAATTTGACATTGAGGATGTCCTGGGTGGGAGTAGCGACCGGGAGGAAGGAGGCGGGGAAGGAGGGGAGGAAGATGGAGCTGAGGCAGATGGCGATGACGACGATAATGACGATGACGTTAATAGTAGCCAAGGCTCGGCGGCCAGCGATATCATCTCGCTCAGTTCCGATTCAGGTAACAGATTTATAGTCAACTGTGTAGTCATTACTGTTGATTTCTGGCTTGTTGGTCTCACATTAAACCAACTCGCAAGCGAACCTTACCCTACCCTACTATTAAAGCTGTGCCGACTCAAGCTTGACCTTAGACCCCGTATTAGTTACTCAATCCATCGCAACTTGACCATGTATCGTGTCTTCACAAAATCTCTTATTATTATCATTTATAGATTCAGATGATGACCTTGACGACAGTGAATTTGAAGATGTACTCTTCAGTCTCAACAGGCACTGGTGATGGACCATCAAATTATCTTACAAAGAATAATATATTTTTTTGTGAATAACTATATTTGCTGTATCATGGACTAGTATTGTTTATTTATACCTTTTTCCATTACTGCCTACACAATCTTGGTTAGTAGTATGGGAGCCAGGCTATCTCCAACTTCAGTCAGTGATATCCTGGATGCCATACCGTTGAGATACCATGACAGTGAGTAGCTAGGTAGCCCTTGTTTTTCCCAGCTATGTCCATCATGTGAAAGTCAGGGTGCTATGTTCCATCACATCAAAGTCAGGATGCTCTTGATATAGCCCGAATATTTAGATCATTTTGGCAATGTTTGGTGGATCATCCATCAATTGTCATATCCATCAGATTTGGGGAAGATTGTCAAGATTGAGGTAGAGCCATTGTTACTTCATGTGGGCCTCAGCGACACTTGCAAGCTTTGAGAATAGTGAGTCACTGTGTTACACTTTTGTCATGCTTCAAAAGGGCCCTGTCTTGCCTGCAGAAAGTGTTGTCTTTTTTCAAATTGAGTATCACCATACCTCATTATTTAATACCATACCTCATGTGCATTTAGGATCAACATTTGTATCATCACCAGTCTATACGTTGCCAGTCCCTGTTGTTGCTATTTACCTGGTGAGTACGTGAGGATCCACACACAAGTGAAATACGCAACCGTAGTTTAAGAACTGTTGCCTGGCTGACCAAGGCAGCAGTGCACTGTGGGTGCGTCTTTATGAATCAACTGTGTTAATGTAGCCCAGGTTGTACGCACTTGTGAACATTGCCCCCAGCTTGACGTGAAACGATGGCACTTGATGGACAATATGCGGAAATTATAGTACAGCAAATATAACATGGTTTATTTAGGGTAGGTAGTTGTCCTGACTCCCCTGGGTAGTGTATTGGAGTTGCCTGGGAAGTTATATCAATTATTCACCCTTCAAACTTTGTTGTGTACTAGTTCTAATCCGGTCTTGTCACAAGCTTTTGAACTGAAAGATCTAAGCTACGACAAAGGCATACCTCTACCCGTTTCTCGTACCCGATTCATAAGAAGGGGTTCCTTTTTAAAACTGATTTTCCACCCAAATTTCTCTCAGCTTTCCTTTTTGTGGTATCTCACATTCAATTAGATTTGTAATTTCTTTTTGTGGCTTGTTTCAAAATGTTCCTGATTATCTTTTCCATTCCATTTTGTTTTGTAATCACTTTAAGACATGGACAGAACATGATTTTCTCATAGGCTTTCATTCATGGGCCACTATATAATCAATTTAATCATTTTGTTAATGGCCTAAAGGCACTTATGAGAAGTGACTTTATCATGATGTATGCATTGTAAATTTTCAGATTTCCAAAAAAGAGGGAATAAATCCAATAAAAATTTGCAGAAAAAATACTTGGTGCCCATGTTTGTGTTCTTGATTTAAAACATACACTGAATTGCTTCACGAAAAATTCTTTAATAAATATTCAGGCTGAGCTCATTTTATCAGAAAGCACACTCTGGGTAAAATAGGAGAAAAAAATTATATAAATGTATTACAGAGTAACAATTTATTTCTTGTGTTAAATTGATGAAATTTATGTTTCAGTTTCAAATTCACTGAATTCCAAATTGTCCAAAAGCACCCTTCAACCCCCCCAAAAAAATCCTTGGCAATCAGTGGATTGATCTTAGTTGGAAAGTACAGACCAGAAAGCAGGCAATTTTCGGGCAGCTTCTGTACTTTCCTGTGTACCTTCAATCAGAAAAAGCAGCAAATTTGTCAATTAACAAAAAAACGACCCCCGAAATGTTCATCGCTTTTGCTTCACTCCTAAGTGAAAAAGTTGAGTTCCAATGCAACACAGCATGGCGTGAATTCAAGCCAACCGCTGTAACACACAAGCTAAACTGTTTATTTCAGCACCGCATATCCACCATTTTACAATACTGTATTGACAAGTGAATGTAATTCAAAGACAAATCTGCACAGCACAAAGATAACTCATGAAATGACTGATTAATCAACAACTTTGTCATGGACGCTGCCTGGTAAATGCATAAAGTTTACAAAATAATTTCAGGTTTGTGAAATGTCAGTTTAAAGGTCAAAAGTACTCAAACAGCATTCAAGTACTTTTCTCCATAAAATTTTTGTTTTACACAACTGGGTGAACATGAAATTTAAAGTTGTAAATAAATACTGTGCATTTACCATCAATATCCAGGTTCTCTAGCTTTGTTCACATCTAACCAGTTCAATATTTAGTAGTCAAGCACTGGAAAAGTGCTCGACTACAACAGTTAAAATTACATTTACAAGTAAAAAGTATAGTAACTCTTGTTTATGAGCTACTGAAAGACAGGTCACCCTTGACAGACATTTATCTTGGCGTCACGCTGTTTATATGTGTCCTTTTTGACGACAGTGAGGTGCGATGCCATTCGCCGAGCTCCCATAGAGCTCAATTGCAGAATACCCCACCAACCGCACAATCAACCTCATAGCCAGGTACAGGTCAAAGTGTCACACTCTTCTCAAGGGATTTTCACCTTGTACCCACGTAACTAGTCAAACCACGGGTCGTTTTTTAGAGTGGCGGGGTATTCTGCAATTACTCCCCCATAGCAAAGTGCACATGGAAGCACGTCATCATGCTTTGGTTGACTGGATCCGAAAAATGTTTAAAAGCACCACTTTGAAACTTTGAATAAGAAATGCTAAATTGAGAATGCTAGTTCTTGAGGAAATTCCTTGCAGTTCAATACATTAAACTTAGGTATTAATTGAACTGGACCAATATTTCTCGTCACATCTCAAAATTTCCATCGCAGACTTTCTGTTGGAACTACAGACTGACCTCTAAGGCGCTTGTCTGCGTAGTATGATTGTTTGCGGAGACCTTTGCGTAGATTCGTCAGAGAGATTCCAAGCCCTGCACTCCTCTCAATGCGCAACACTACCACAGAGGCTCCAAACCTAGGCTGGAGCTGTAGGTTGCAAGACAAAACTTTCCCTGAGGCACACCATATAGCGAGAGTAAATCGAGTCTTGTGGTATTCAGATGTAAGTATGATCATCGCAAAAACAAAAGCTGACAATATCTTAACTTTCAAACTTAGTGGGTAAATGGCGCCATAGTGTTTAGTCAGAATGATTTTGATCTTTCACCTACACAGCAAACTGAAAGCACCATCACTTCAAATATCCACACTTCAAAACTCTATTCCATTTATGCATAGGCTGCTGAGGGTAGTACAGTACCTACACGTTTCATGATGTGAGTCTACAGAAGAAAACAGTATGCACGCTTTCACCACAAGAAAGCCATTACATGCACACAGCAGATAAATGGCCTAACCTCAACACTGAAAAAAAATCTCTATATATGTAAAGTAAAATACCAAAATAGATACATACTGGATATATAAGTTTCTTGAAAATATAAACTTTCTTGAGGTAAAAAAATGGACGGATTTGCTGATTTCATTATTACAGGTAGTATACAGAGCATCGGCTTTAGAAGCCTTACACAGAGTATGCAAATATTCACAGCATGCAAAATAAAGTGATCTTAAAATTGCGCACTTATGCGGACTTGCGTAAGCTGATAAAATAGAAAAGTAAATCTTTAAAACTTGATGAAGCTGAATGAAAAGAGAGATGCTTTTCGCTGCAGTAGCGATTATGCTTCAAAATGCTTCAGGCTTGGTGATAAAACTTTTTGTTTGGATGAGACCTTCAAAATTAGCTTTCATATTCACCAAGGCAATACTTTCTTAATGGGAGGAAAACGATCAGGTCAAAAGAAAAGCCTGACTTCTAAAACTCTTACATGATGACCCTTAGACAGCCAGAAATCGATCCACTGTGTAAGGAACCATCACTATGACTCATTGACCCCTCCCCCTCTCCTTTATGGAACCCTTGCTACAGACACCTGAACGATGGTTCCCCAATTTCAGAACAATGCTAAAACAAGGGTGGGTGGGGGGTAGGCCAACAGGGGCCATGGCCCCCAACAAAATAAATCAATCAATAAATAGATCTTTAAAAAAGTGAGAGAAAGGCAAAAGTTTTTGTACATTCCATTTCTCCTCCTTCCCAAAGCTTACAAAACGCCCTAAAATGTCCATTCAACCCAAGCATGCCAAGAAAAATCATCAACAATTACATGAAAACATTGCCAAATTTTTGCCTCCCTCCCAATTTGGCTCTGGATCTGCCCCCTTTGCCCAAAATCAGAAGAGTCTCTCAGTAGATGGAAGCCAAGTCTTAGGCCACAAGAACGCCTTGGCTGTGGGGATCCTAGGTCTCAAGAACCCCCTGCAGCAGAGAAACTATTAAGATATTCAGGCAATTGTTGGAGGCAGGACTTCCCCCAAGGAACCTTTAGCTGTGATCAAACAGATCTCTGGCCTGAAGGCAAGATAGAAGGAGCTGAGCCTGGGGCAACAAAAAAAAGCAATTCCAATGAAAACCTACACCACAATTAACACCGTCTCGATGACAGGAACAGACTGTCAACTGTCACCCCCCTGTTGTTATTTCACCAGTGATCTGGCTCTTTGCTGAAATGCAGACAGTCCGTCAAGTAGTGGTCTGTGTGTCACAAAAAGCCATCAAAATGAAATCACTGAAGATGTTACACCATGCCGCATACACTTCAAGAGTACCTTCTTGCAAATTAGTTTCAAAAGACACATTAACATTTTACACACATCTGCAGCAATTGAAAAGTCCAGGTAGGTCTGCTCTCAAAGATGCACAGAAAAAACAGTAACAACACTACAATAATGGTAACTTTATCTCTTTTTGGTCTGCATGGTGGTAAATCCCTGCATGATTCCTATTAATTTCAACTGATCTATTTGGCAAATTTTAAATGTAATTGTATCATTTTCGTCATATTTCTTTAAATATTTTTGTTTTCTTACCTGTAATGTATTTTGTCAGAGTTCAGCACTCCCACCTGTGACAGTGCACTGTTAATTTGTTCCTGAAAAAATAAACAGTGATATTGATTTCTCCGTTACACTTCTTCCATTCTTCATACATTGATCATGACCAATTGGCAAAACATGCATCAGATTTTCATCAAGTTAAGTCGCTTGGTTGGTACAAATTAGATCTGACTGGTATGTATAAAGAGAGAAAGATAGTTCACTCACGTTGCTCAGGTCAAGCCCAGTGTCCAGTAGAACCTTCCGGATGTCATGTGAGGACATCATGCACGTTCTCTGCTCATCAACTGCAAAGCAGCCATAGAGAACCTTGGCTTGTTGACTAACGATGAACTGATCTACCATGGCAACAAGGTGACTGACAGCCTACGTGGGAACAACAGTAGTCATTATTAGTTGCTACTTGTTATCGTAGATGTGAAGTCACCCAGAGGTCAACGGCTAAGGGTGAAGATTGGGGGGCAGGGGATATATCAGTGATTGACAGGTTTTGGACAACTGGAGTGTCATCCCTTTTATGTATAGATTCAAAGAGGCAACCTTGTTTACTGGTTATCTTGTCAATGCCAAGCAACTGTCTCATATACTGATATACAGATCTTGATTGTGATCAAAATATGTGGTGACAGATGTCACAGAACCAGTGTACGATGATTACGGGAGACAAGGTCGACGAGTAGATTTAAGCTAAGTTAAGGTTCCTTTGTTCAATGTAGTTTCTGGGTCTGTCGCTGAAGACTTTGTTAACACATAACAAACTTTATGTTGCATTCGGCTTTGAAATATTAATTCCAAAGAGCGATTTCTTAACAAAAAGATGCTGTTGTGTAGCTTTCCTTTTGCACTTGAATGGTCAAACCATATAAATTCTTGAATATTCTGTGGAATACGATGGATAATTGTACATCGCTGCAAAAGAAGTGCTCCCTGCTGGATTTTCTTCCCTTACCACTGTCCGTCTATGGCCACTGTAATCTCTGCTCAGAATGTGCAGGTTACAAGAATCCTGAACTTCATGCATCTTCTGATGTATCATCAAGGATAATGTGATTTCCTTCAATTAGAAAACAATGCAAATCTAGTCATCTTCTTTTCCAAAGGATGAATTCTCAGTCACTCTGTGCATGAGAATTTGAACATTTGAATCCAAATGAGGCCTCCACTGGTTTCCAGACTTCTATTCAGTGCCCAAACCATGCCTCTAAATATCCAAACTTAACTCTGAGAAGAAGGCAGAAAATTTGTGACGAGGTAACCAGTCTGTAACCAGTCATAAACTGCCATCATTTATAAACTGTGAATTAAACACCTCGAACAGTTCTGTATAAGATCGACAGGAGACCTCAGAGGTTCTGTATTTTTCTTAAAAGGTGAAATTTAAAGATCATATTACTATTATTTTTGGCCATGGAACACTCTAGTTGTTGGTTCCATGCCAACTCTGGGGTACTATTTCATCCTCTAGAACCCACCCCTTTGCCAAGGGTCTTGAGATATTGGATAACCCCATTCTCGAGTACTATCTCCTCTTCTAGTCCCCTGTGCCTATCGGTCCTTGAGCCATGGATCATCCCATCATTACTCTTTGCCATTCTCAAGTACTATCTCCCCAGTCCTCTATGCCTATACGTCCTTGAGCCACGGATTACCCCACTCTCTACTCTTTGCCACTTCTGGAGTACTATACTCTCTTCTAGTCCCCTGTGCCTATAGGTCCTTCAGCCACGGATCAACCCAATGTCTGCGCTTTGCCACACCTGGAGTACTATATTCTCTTCTAGTCCCCTGTGCCTATAGGTCCTTGAGCCACGGATCACCCCACTCTCTACTCTTTGCCACTTCTGGAGTACTATATCCTCTTCTAGTCCCGTGTGCCTATACGTCCTTGAGCCACGGATCATCCCATTGTCTGCTCTTTGCCAATTCTGGAGTACTATTTCCTCCTGTAGTCTCCTAGACCAACAGGTCTAGAACTTTTGAGGACTGATACCTGTAGACTGAGTAGCTTCAGGTTTGTGCTGTACGGGCAGGCCTTGATTAAAGCTAGCACTCCCTCGTCACCAATGGGGTTACCACCAAGCTGTCCAGAGAAATGGCAACGAAATAAAAAAGGGAACAATTCTGAATTCTGTACTGCATAAACAATAAGATTGGCAAAAATGGTAGGTTACGTCTTGAAGTTCAGTTTAGAGTTAAATATCTTTTGCTTGTTTTGACTGTTTTCCAAGCAAACTTTTTTTCTTTTTTTTTTAAGGGAACTTAGATTTATAAGCTGGACTTACGAGTAGGGCTTCAAGGGACGTGTTCTTCTTCAACCCGAGGGCAAGCTTTTTGGCTCCAGGAGTACTGATGTGGTTTGAACTGTAAGATAAACAATGGGAAATAAAGTTCAGATAGAAGAAAATAAAGGTCTAGGATGATTTTTTTTTTACATTAAGCTAGCCTTTGCCACTGCACAAGCTACCTACAAGAGAAGTCCTCAACACTGACTTGGAGGGGGGAGGTTTGTGCATGTACTAAGTGTTTCGATATTTCTAAAAACAGAATTTCCTTTGGCTGTGTCCAAAATGGGCTTCCAGAGCTATGGCTATGTCTACTGTCAGCACATTTCTGTGTATTTCCAATGGAGCAAAGGCCTAGACCTAGCTCTAGACAACAGACGCAGATGCAGCCTTTGTCTTACCTCATGTCTAGAATCCTGAGTCCAGTATTGACCTTCAATGCTTGTAGGAATGCTGTGCAGCCTGGTAAAGTGACACCATTCTGGGACAGATCCAGAACCTCCAGGGTTGTATTTACCTGAAAAAAAGACCGAATTTTTTTAAAAAGGGCCAAATGAGAGGAAAAAAGACACATGAGAGAACTTTGAAGCTGGGTTAAACTTTACCTTCACTAAATGTCCACCACACTTGTACTATATTTTTTTCAAAAAGGGAAGTTTATGAACCCACTCACATTTCACTCGGAATCAACTGGATAGAACATGAAAACATCTCTTTTTTTTGGCTAATCAAATACAAGATTGGATCATACCCTCAGTGCATTGGCAATGGCTATGACTCCTTTTCCTCGTATTCCGTTCCACTTCAAGTCCAGATAAATCAGACCATCATTAGATGCCTGAAGTGTCAAAAACAAGTAAAAATACATGTATTTCCCCGTTTCTCTCATATACCTTGTACAAATAAATCTGAGTAAAGACCGATATAAACCAAGAGCGCAAGACAATGTTGGAGTCATTCAGTAGCATTTACCTGACAGTAGGAATATTTACTAATTTTGGTTTGTATGACTAAGGTCAGACAGTAACCCAAACTCCCAAAGTGTGCGCAAAATCATATTAATTAAAATGGGAGGATTCAGGACTGTCAGGGCTATCAGTACAGACCAAAGAAATAGTGAATAAACACTCTGTTTTGGGAGAAAAATATAGCACACTGACACACTATCCAATTTGAAAATGATATGGTTTGGTAACTGATCAGTGTTTTCAGAACATAACATATCAGAACAGTTTTTGTGTAAGAACAATGATTCCAATTAAAACAACCTTACCTGTATGTATCTAAACTGAAAGTTTTAAAAATCTATTAATCACATTAATGGCAAACAATGCAAGCATTGCATAACATAAAAAATATATAAACAATTGCAACTTTAAATTCAAGACCTGACAACTAAGAAGAGAGTCAGACTCCTCAAATCGAGAATAGAAAAGTATATTGACAGTATCTGCTCACTGCTTGCAGTAACTGAAAGGTTTGATTTGAGACTGGTTCATTCAATACTCAAACACAGCAGTTGGCAAACAGGCCAGATTGAATGTCAACATGTAAGTTAAAATCAGAGAAAAAAGATAGGAAGCTCTGTACAAATTTGCCTTTGGTAATCAGTAACCTGAGTCAAGTCTGCCCATGAGATAACCACAAGCTATCTTTGACAGCCTGAAGTGGAATGTAAACACAGGTATCGGGGCGCTGCTAACAAGCTGTACACACAGAAAATGCCCATGGATTACCCATCACCACGTTTCTGTCAAATTATTATAATCACTGGTATTTTTGCTGCAAACAAGACGGGCTTTTTAAAACAACATTTTGATTAATAAAAGAAAAATACAGAAAATGCGGTGTAAAAGGATGTCCATAAGATTTTGACACAAGGCTGATTTTCGTTAAATTTGTGTCTTTAACTTTTTTCTAGTCTTCGCAGAATCAGTATTCAAGGCCTACACTGCCAAAAAGATAGATATGTGTCCTCATTCTCACAAAAAACTACTCCATCATGTAACACTGATTGACTGATGACAAGAAATTGTTGGCTAATGATGTCGAAGGAGTGCCTTGGGTTGCAACAATCAAATGATAAAACATTTAAATATATCAAATTCCCCTTCACTACAATCACTGTCATTCAATGTTTACTTGGAGATATTGGCGAATATGGTTATGGTCAGTTTATAAATGAACAAATCTGGACAGTTTGTTTAAGAAAAAGTCTCTGATTATCCCCCCCCCGACTCAAAATCTAAATGTATATGACATCACTCCTCCTAAAGGCGCAAATGTTCAACAAACTCAATCGCTGAGCTTGCTAGTGTTGGCAGATGGCTTTAAATCTAAATACAGCTGAAACGACAGAGTCGCACCACACACACTTGACAAATCCATCTAAAACTCGTTGAATCCCACGACTCTGTCTTTCACTAATGTTCTATATTCCGACGGACAATGATCAAGACAATAACTGTAGCAAGCTAGATATAACTAGCTCAGAGAGAACAGGAACCCTGCTCCACCTCACTAAAAGCTGATCTGTTAAACCTAATAACGAGAAGAGAACTCACCAAAGCTGAGGCTAAGTGTACGCCAGCAAGCTCCCCCATGTCGTTGTGGCTGAGGTCGATTTGGGTCAATGTACTATTGTTCTTCAACCCCTCAGACAGGCGAAGCGCATCTCGGTCTGACAGATGATTGCCTGAAGAAAAGAGAGTTTTCGGAGCACAGCTGAAAGTAGTTCTTTAAGCAGACTCAATCGGCATTTGCGTACAAGATGACGGACCATCAGAGGACAGTTGTGTATGTTGCCAATCACATTAATGGAAGAAGCGTTGCTTTAACAGTGACAGAGTCTATTTTCCAACCATGGTAGTACAGTTAATATTTTCACAAGTTGACTTCTTAAATTTGCACACAACATCACCGTATAGTGGAGTAGACCTTGTTCCAGTTCAGCTTCTCATCTGATATTTTTGGTTCTGCATGATGTGTCATGTCTTTTCTAAGGGTTTCCTTTACGCATCCGTCATAATTTTAGTAATTTTCTCAAAAGACTTCCAGGACATCTGTAATTTTTCAACCTTACTGCTGAGACTTTTTGGAGGATTCATATTTCTTAACTTCTTAAAATCTCTGAGGGTTTCCAGGACATTGATGGAATTTCCTCAAACGACGATTAGAATTCTCTTGATTCCAAAGAAGGAAGAATATCCAACATACAGCGAAACTTGTCCACGAGTGTCCGTGTGAGTCATCATTGCATTCTCAGCCGATACTCACCACTGAGAGACAGGATCTTGAGAGTGTAGTTGGTCTCCAGCATCGAAGCAAACCCGGAGGCTCCCTTGGAGCGGATCTGGTTTTCAGAGACGTCCTGTTGGGTAAACGAAACACTCCCTTAGGTTTGGAAATTCCACAAGAAATAAAGAACCCATTGGGAGTACAGTGTACATGTGTGTGAAATGTTTTAAGAACAAGTGATAATGCACGCCCTTTTAAAATGGTATTTTGTCTAAATCTTGAATGAGAACAATCAAAAACCAAGTCATCTCCTTCTCACAGTACTTGACTCCCTTAAATTGAATCTTAATTCTGTACTTATCAGTTGTGCTGATGAATGAATGGAACAAAATACGTAGAGGAAGATGACAAAATATCCACTCAGAATGAATGGAAAAATCAAGTTTACAGTGGTTTGTTGAAAGTCCACGGTAAAGTTACTCATTCGTGATGAATAACTATATATACATGCATAAAGACTCTCACATTTGAGGAGTTGCTGCATGTGCATAGTGCATTGCCCATTATATTAAAAACAAGTGTTGGGATTTCTTGACTTCATATCAGTTCCTATTTCTCAGACAGTGGTGATGAAGTTGAACTCACGAAAACTCTGACATTCTGCCACCCTGAAAGACATCCAGTGACCTACCAGTTTAGTGATGTAACAGTTATCTCGCATCATGTAAGCAATGATTGCCCCGCCGTCCCCTTCTAAGTGGTTGTCACTCAAATCCAGTGTTTCAGTGCAAGTATTGCTCTGTGTCAACGGTTACAAAGAAAAGGGCCAGATAGCAGAGAACCTAGGCTCATTAGTTTAATTTATTTAAATTTCACACTACAAAAACCCTATTCATAATTTACTTTCACGCAAATCAAAATCCGTGATCCAGATTGATCGATTCATGGCAACACACTGCACCATACACCCACATATCACAATCCATATTACGTTATTCTCAGCAAAAGGATATCGCATCTTTGTGTGAAACAATTCAGAGCTGTACAATCCACTATACATGCAATAGCCTTGCTTGTATCTCAGGTCTGCTTGACAATAAAATTTAATGTCCCACTCATGCTAATGGAACACAGAATAATGTTTCAATGCCGGTGTGTCCCATTTATCACTCTGTCTTTGGCCCTGTGGTATGTGGACAACAGATGCAAACATAGGTCCACGCTCTACTGGTGCCCGTGGGATTACTCATGCTTCCTTAGAGAGTTTGCTGTTCTTACAGGCCAGCATAACAGAGTGCTTCCTTAGGCAAGCTTCTCAGCAACAGTAGCTAATCAATGTCACTTGACGGCAGACCTAAAGAGGGACTCACGGTTTGTCTTGATTTGACCTTGCGCCCCCAACTATAGACTGCACTTTAACTCCAAAGCACACTTTGTACAGTCTTTAACAGACTTACGGGCTTACATCAAAAATCATCAAACGTTTCCAAGAGTCTTTTTTTGTTTCCTTTCGAAGATCTATGCGCACATTCAGTTTGTCTTCCTACCCTGAACGCCTTGGCCAGTGGGATAAGTGCCTGCATGCCGATGTAGCGATGTCTCATGATGAAAGTGGTTTCATGAAGGTGCCTAAATACGTAAGATGCTGGGTCCACACCTAGACAGAACAACAAACAGACAAAACCATCCCAGATGAATGGCAGTTTAGAAAGAGAACACAGCATGGGAGCAGTGTACCACACTCCCTCCGTGTTAACAACACTTCACTGCTGGCGGACATATCCCTCCTGTGGATTTACTCCAAAATCTCTAAAATTAACACGCTCCCCCCCTAAATCCTTAAACTCTGTGTAAATTAAGTGTCTCTGCGGTCAAGAACCAATTGTCAGATGAGTTTTAGGGTCAAGGATTATGGCAACATTTACAGAGAAAACAATCCTACAAGCCTTCATACCTTCTTGTTTACATTCTGCCAAGTAGATATTCTTGCCTCCTGAATCATAAATCATCTCCGTATCTATATGAAAGGATAAGAAATCAATTTAGTACGAATGGAAAAGTACCCCACACTGTACAGGTACACTATCACACCTGAGTATTAAACACACTGCCTAACTATTGAAGTCACAGAAGTATTCCAAACTATGCAATTTGATAATTGTAGTAACTATAATAAACAAACAGTCAACGGAAATGCAGAAATCCAACATTTTGAATATATTACTTCAAGCACCGTACTGACTCTCCTGTTTCTCAAGATGAGTTGTTTTGGGAAAAAGATTAACCAGACACTAGGTATTTCATTCACTTAACATACCAATAATTAGTGTCTCCTGATGTTTAATCAAAATAAATTCAGAAACGGTGGTGCATTTTCCTTGACTGTTGATGTACCTAACCTCAGAAAGTTGCGTCTGCTTTTCTTGATACTACTATGGTAGGGTCTAATAGCTATTGCCTTGATCATTCCTAAAACAGCCTGCAAACTGATGGGATGTGTTTGGAGAACGGAACATACCATACTGGGTGAAAGTGTTAAAATAGTTCTCCACATCTTGCACCAGATTATCAACCAAGCCCAAAGATTTTCGCTCTGCCATCATAAATGCTGGTGATATTTCAAATTTTGATAAACTAGCACTTCTGACAACAAAATGCAGTACAGGAGCGTGTTCCTATCATGCACAAGTTTATTGAGAAATTAATAATAATAATGAATTATTTTAAAAAAAGCTTTCCATGTCAATGACATCTCAAAGCGCTGTACAGTAAAATGCAAAAATTAAATTAAAATTACAAGGTGGAGCAGGTGTTTCAGAAAATGAATTTTCCCTTAAATGAATTGTTTCTATTGAGTGGACAGGAAATAAAAACTCCTGGTGATGGGGGAAAAAACGACCAACAGGTGGATAACAAACAAAATTGTTGGCAAGAATTCATTCAAAGGGGAGGGGTCCGAGGTATGATGGCAGAATGGTAAATTAAACCAGCAATCTGTCAATGGTGTAGGAAATGTACAGTGCACTCCCTTCTCATAATTGGCCATAAACACATATAAATCACCTTATTCCGATTAATTTTACAGTGAAAGAAAACAGGTGCAAAACTCATTGGCAACTGATATCCACAGCAGTTGAATGACAAAGTGCATTTCCGTGGTATTCAATTTTTCCCGTGCCACTGTTGCTTAGGCATAGTTAAACAGAAAACTTAAAAGATATTAGCTTCCTCCTTTGGAGAGAAGTTTCAAACATAAACTTTAGTCCAAGCTGTTACACTGAAAACATCATCCAGAAAACTCCAAGGCAATTGTATTTGTTCCCCTAAACTTGAGCCTTGTAAGACCAAGAAGTGAGTGGATTTACTGGATCATGCATAGCTTCCGAGATTTTTGAGTACAGATGAAATAGAATGGAACAAACTGAACTTCATGCGACCAACTAGCAAAGCTTATCTTTGAAAACCCTGATCATAATTTCTGTAGCACTGAAAACTTGCAGCAACAAGTATTGGAGATTTCTAACTAGACCATTAACACCAAAAATTATTCAAGTACAGTTTTTTCCGGACTCCAAGGGTTGAATCAGGCCTGGTGAAATTGTATAATGTACTTTAGAAAGTTGGGATTGTAAACAGTACATGATCCCGGATGCAAGGGTCATGCTAAAGTTTCCTGGTAAAATAATGGGCCGCACTGGGGTCGTTTTAAAATAAATAGCCTTGTGCACAGGATCAGATGGGTCATTCATCACCCAGGAGCTGACGAGATGTGATTTTTGTGTCACACTATGTCACTGACAGGCAATGTCAAAAAGGGGTCTAAACAATCTGTAGAGTTGTCAATTACAGTATTAATAGAAATGCAAATAGATACATGTTGGTGTAGACTAAGGATATGGCAAAAGAAAAGAACAGTGTGATAAAATGCATTCATTACTACTGAAAACTACACATATCAAGTTGGCATAAAGGTGACTGAGCCAAAATGATAGAGACAATGCATCAAATCTTGAGTAAAAATTTGTCCATGCCAATTTTTAAAGCCTATCCACAACATACAAAACCAAAAAGAGAAATGAAATTCAAGAAACATTAGAGTTTGGAGAATCCAACCTTCTCCAATCTCTGTTTATTCATAAAAGTAAAAACAAACTTGTATCGTTGCTGTGGGGAAAAAACCAACAAAGCTGACTACTAACCAGGACCAAATTCTTCTTCTAGGTCCGTGTCATACTCCGCATCGTCCACGGGGGGTCCTTCTATCAGCCTCCTGATTGGATCGTCTGATCGCAAGCCCTCAGACTCGGGTAGTTCCTTGTCTAAGTCCTCATCCAATGGCTGGTCATCTAACATAGGAAGAAGTGATTTGATTTAAAGAGACTGCTCATCATTGGCTCGCTATACAAAAACAGATACAGCGAAACTATAAGCTCCATCTTGCTGATGCACAACTTTATCAATTGTCTCCCACATCTCCCTGTGCTGCCCCATCCCATCTGTTTTGGTCCCAGTGAGATCATCTCATTCCTTGGGACTGGGATGTTGGCTCTCTGTGTTAAACGAATCTCTAAGCTGGAAACTCATGGCATAATTTAAAACTGACGTAAAGGTACAACAAGTACAGAGATTTACATCCATGGGCCACTTTTCACTTGCTATCTAAATGCATTCACTAACTACATAGTTAATTGGAACATCAGCACATCACTTTGAAATTTATTTTCATATCCACAAAGTACGACTGGGAAAACAAAATGATAAGTAAATAAAATGATAACTCAAACCAAGAAACTATGGGGAATCAACAAAACATGGTTTTGAGGATTTTGTGAAATTTAAAATTGCAAAATATCCATCGGCACATTTACGTGAGAGATGTATCGCCTTAAACCCGGTTTGAGTACCCTCCCTTAAGGTTAACCTTTTTGATGATAAAACTTACTTTGAACAGTTAATTTATGTTTACCTGTTGGGGTTTGTGCTGACGAGACTGACAACTCATTCTCACTTAGCTCAGGAGTTTCATCATAACCACCAGCGGCCATAGAATCATCATCAGGCAGCTCGGTCACCGACCAGGCTGGAGTAGGCTTGGGCCTCCTATCCTTGGACCCCCTCCTGTTTCCGCCACTATGGCTCCGCCTCCTCTGCAACCCTCCGGCCTTTGATGTCGATGCTCGGGGACTTCGGGACGAAGTTGGCCGCACACTTTGCCGGCTGTCCGGGGCCATTTCCTGCCGAGAGCGGCTGAAATTCGAACTTGTCTTTGGTCGGGCTGAGGGCATTTTGGGTGTCATGCTCACACGGCGGGGTGATTTTGCCGGCGATGGCAAAGACTCGAACCTCCCTGAGGAGTCCATTGGGATGTCCAAGCCGAGGTCCTCAGCCGTGATTAGAATCGTCGGCAGTTCGTCCTCCAAAGAGTTAATTGATTCGTGCTGGGTGGAGCAGGAAGGGGCAGAATTAGGTGCTGTCTTTTGCGTCTTCTTGGAATTACTTGGTTGATATCCCTGACCTGCTGATCCAGGTGTGTGATAACGCATGGTAGGCCTATGTCCTTTGGTCTGTTTTTGCTATTTAAAACAAATGAAAATATAAGAGTATCAAAACTTGCTGCTCAATCAAAAAAAAAAATAAATAAAAGTAGCACAAATCATTGACTACAGGTGTTAATAAAAATCTGTGTTTGAGAAACTGAGCAACAAATCCATAACAATAACATAACAATTAAGCTGAAAAAAAATTCAGGGTAGGGCCTAGGCTTCTTTTTTCTGGAGCAACAATAGGTTTTATTATGCTGTATGAAATGACGAACAAATTAAGCACATCCAATACAACCCCTACCTGCATATCATATCCTCCACCACACCTGTGGATTTTAGCCGTGGCTGGCGCCGATGCCATAATCAGATCACGAGAAGTGTGTCCCGGATCGCGGACTTTGCACGATCGAGTCAACCCAATTAATCAGCGACTGGACATCGCGGGTATTCCTCTCGTGCGCGGCATCGCGCGTGCACGCGGTCCAAACAACCACGGATGTGGGCAATTTCCAAATCTAATATCTTAGATAACTGGAGCCGCAAATTATGCCTAAACTGTGGCAAACGTGATTACAGTCTAACTCTATTCAATCCATCGCAGCTTCATGGTAAAATAACGGCAACACCACCAACAAATTCAGTGTCATATTACTTTCAACAGAACTTCACTTCGGGGAACCGTTGCCAGGAACGCGACCACTTGTCGCATGCATGTACTTTAGTTAAAAGTGTGCAGAAGAAACAGCGCCCTCCTGCGACGTACATGTACGTCTTGAAGCCCATTGGACTTGGTCGTCGCGCCTCCCTTTCCTGTTTTCACAAACTCTTTAAGTGTTGCCAGCAGTAACGAAACGCCCTGTATCTGTATATCACATACTTAGCAAAGCCTTCCAGAGGAAACATCTCTCCAGGGCTAATGTAAATCATGACTTGGTTTGTGCGGGATATTTTGGGCTAACCGCCAAGCAAGAGGGAAATAAAAATGTCTTTAAAGTGGTTTTAGCTTAACTTTTATGGCTCATCTCCCCCTTTTTTCTTTTCATTTCTCAAGTTACTCAAGTCGTAATACAGAGCAATGGAAAGGGCCCAAAGTAAATATTTAAATATGGATACAAAAAAATGTCAAAGTAACGCGGAAATTACATTTGAGTGCTGAATTTGATTTTCAAAATGTACATCGGTCGAAGGCGAGTGAAATGAAGTGTGTCGTGCACGGCTTAATTCACTTATTATCACGGGCTTGAACATTAAGTGTGATTGAGTTTCCAATTATTTTGTCTATGTAGGTGACATCTTCAGTTTGTCCAAGAGTACGGAGAGCGAGTCGAATCGTAACATTTCTATTGATTAATTAAGCCTGATGTAACCAAGGAAACGGGAGATGCCCTTTCGCTTTCTCAACACAAAACGCAGGGGAGCACGCATATGGGTTAACACGTCAACGTAATCGGCCAGGGTAGGTCTATCTACAAACCATGTTGCAGTTTTCACAAATGCAAACTTTTACACGCACGGCTCGGAGCACTCTACGGTTCTCAATTAGCGAGACCGACTTTTGCTGTTTAAATTGGGGAAATCATACATCAGCCTCTGTCTGTACCACGTTCCTAACGTGGACGCACCTGAGGACATCTGCTCCTCCATAATTATACACCTTTGGTCAGGTGCGCGCTCGTAGTCGGTCCCGCCAAATAACCAAGCCCAATGAAATGTGACAAATTAAAAACTGGGGATTTGGCGTTTTAGAGTGAAAATCACTCTGAATAAGCATTGAAATGTACACTTTGAAGAAGAATCACCTCTAAGGGAAAGCGCAGTCAAAATTCAAGGTAGGCCTATGGAGTGAGTAAATTTCGCTCCGACTTCAATTTATTCCTTGTGCTATAGTTGAAGAGAGTGAATTCTCACGCTTTGGAATTTATGAAACATATTATATAAGCCTATGGGAAACTGACTAGTTGCTTATAAATGATTACAAAGATGAACAAAGAAATTGACAGTGAGCGGATTTGAACCTGCGACCCCCAGAATACCGTCCCGGTGCTCTACCGACTGAGCAACTCAGCCCTACGTTGGTGGCTCTTTCCATTTGCCAATATCCTTGTTCAGGAGGGGGCTAGCCAGAAGCCATTAAACCTGAAACACCATATAGCCAGGGATCGGTACGGTATTTTGGAGGCCGCAGGTTCAACCCCGCTTTAGTCAATTTCTTTATTAATCTTTGTAATATTTGCAATTTAGAGAGTGCATGGGTTTCAATCTCATATATGGGGAAAGTGTCCAAAAATCGCTGATCAACGGCAGTGATAAAACACCTTAATATTCTCACGCGTTGTAGTATAGTCTGACTCATTGGTTGGTACACGGTTGCTGGATATAACGTCAGCGCCATTAAGCCAATATACCATCAAGCTGAAGCTGTTTAAATAAGGGGATTGGCAATTATATACCCTACATCTTGGCTTAGGGCGGACAATTTTGTAGGATATCTCTCCCATGGGTGGTGAGAAGTACGGACTGTGGATTTCAGTTTTTTCAACGCATTGGTTGATTTCCAATAGTGTCAAGAAGCACAAGAAAGCAATTAACACGAAGAACAAAATTATACAAAATTAAAAATCAAACATCTACTGCATGTATCAAGATAATTAATGCATAAGCATGCAAGTACATACGCTGTATTTGTAAAAAATTCAAACACCAACCAAGAAACATTTGGCAATATCCAGTATCCGGCCGCACATTTTTGAACCCAGGTCAAACGTCTCACGTCGAAAGAACCCTGCCTTTATCCCCCACGGAAACGCCGATTAGCCAGTGCTTAAAGTGCAAGAACTCCCCGCTGCCAGGATGACGCTCAAAATGGTAAACCCCGAGGAGATGCACTGATCTTGGCGCCCAAACTATATAGGATCAACGTGTTCCGTGGCACCCATGCAGCACACAGCTCTAGGGCATAGGTCTGGGCCGTCTGCAACTATCACGTGTTTCGCTGACCAGCAAAAGTGTACAGCTCTGAATCTATAAAAAGGGACATCCGATTTCTTCATTTTCCTCAAACAGATCAAAAGCAAAGCGAATGACTGCGTCAGTGCAGCAACAGCCCAGCAAATGATTATCGCCAAGAGTTTTCCGTCTGCTGCCGAGGATCCTTTTGTGTATTTGTGAATAAATAATGGCCAGTAACCTTTCCAGTTTCACTGTGGAAAGACGGTAGACCGACGTTTAGACCGGAGGGGGCGCTCGCGGAGCAGCATGAAGCAAACCAGGAAATTCCTGGTGACTATAACCGCACACACCACTCCGTACAAGCCATAGTACGGTACCTCCTTCCTCCACACCAACGCCTGATTGCCTAAGGTTATGTCATAACCTTGATGCAATAGATGCATCCAAGTAAAGTTCTGACCGTACAAGCCTGTTATTTTGGTCAATTTTTCAAGACATGTCATTTGCATATTATGCTCTATAATATAGCACAAGTTCCTCTTGGCGACTTGGGGTTAATTCAGTTTTGCAGTACATTGCACTAATACGTAGTGGACTGGTACAGCGTCACGACCTTTAACTTCCAACGCATGCGATATAACGGATTTTAAATTTCATGGACAAATTTAGTCTGGCTTCGTCTCCAAGCAGGGGACATTAATGGCATTAATGGTCGAGCAAAATGGCCGGACAGTTTCAAATTTTTCAAAGCTTTCAAGGAGTTGAATTTTTAAACAGAAATAAAAGAGCGATTGGGCGGTTGAACACAATGCAATGTAAACAAGTTGTTTACATTGCATTGTGTTCTATGCGGTCCAATATCGCTCTATCACAATTTACGACTAGTGGTGGCGATAATTGATGATAGCGGTGATTTGATGTAGGGACTCGGCGATGGTAGGCCTACTGACTGGAAGGTGCACTGCCACCCCCCCCCAAAAAAAAACAAACAAAACGAGGATCATACCAAAACTCTTCACTGGTGTTAAATTTGTTGTGTTATTTCAACACTGTTGGTGTAACGTCTAACACTCTCCAATGCACTGTAACACTTGTAGGTGTTGTGTGGCCATCAAATTCTGATAACACCAAGAAGTGCTGTTTAAACACCAGAGTTTTTGCAGTGTGCGCTGACTATTATAATAATAACGACGCTGTCTGTACTTAGAATCAGCAGGTCGACAACAACGACAGCACTTGAATTGGAAATTAAGGCGTGGGAAGCCGTCCTCTGTCAAATATCAAGGTGACGTCATGTGTCCTGGGATCCCTTCTGTCCTTGCACTTATCACAGCTAACTGCATGGTTGTGGTGGCGTCTCCAACGCGGGCTGTCCTCTTTCCACTAAATGCTACCATGACACCTTTACGGAACTGCTGGTTTGTCATGGTGTAGATGATCGGGTTGATGCAGGAGTTACATACACCCAAGATGATGCCAAACTGACGGACAGTCGAGGCGATGCTCAAATCAAAACCGAAATTGTACAGCAGGTACATAGACTGGTCCGGAATCCAGCACACAGAGAACGTCACGCCGAAGGCAAGGAGCGTGCGTACCAGGACCTGGGTGGCCCGAAGCTGCCACACTCTGCGACGGTCAGCCGGGTTGAGGTCTGAGGAAATAACACGTAAAGAGACAAAATAATTAGACTGCTTTATGTTTGATTATGAAGTGACTTCACAGTATCTTGCCTAATCCTCTGTTTACCTCATTTTATACTTTACTCACTCACCTACTCTGCCAGACAGTGCCCTAACTTGTCTCCTTAGCGTCTTGATAACTTTCCACTGCATCGCAAGAATGACCAAGAACGGTGCAAACAGCTGGATGGTGAAGTTGTAGACACCGAATGCAGCCTGCAGAGCTGCACTTGGCCAATTTAAAAGGCGGCACCCAAATATTTTATGTTCATCGAAAGAAAATAGTGCGGGAGATTTGGTCAGGATAGCCGTGGCCCAACACAGGGCAAGTAAAAGACCCTTATAGCGTCTCCTGGTGAAGATTTGTTTATACTTCAATGGGTAGACAATGGCTACAAAACGTTCGAGGTGTACGGAAACTAGAACTAAAACAGACACCAACGTGCAGACCCAGAAGAAATACTCCCCCACGAACAGTCGGCACCGGACCTGGCCCCAAAAGTCTGGCTTCGGCGAAAAGGGCTGGATCAGTGGTAAGACTATCTTGAAAGGAATGACCAGAGCGCATACTGCCAGATCGACTAAGGCCAGGTGCACCAGGAAATCGCTGGTATTGGACCGGAGGGATCGAACGCGGAGCAGCACAATGCAGACCAAAAGGTTCCCGGCCACTCCTACCGCGCAGATCACACCGTACACGGCCAAAACAAAGGGTCTCTTTTCAATGTAAATCAAATCGTCTGGTGTCGATTCACTCAAACCCAAGTATCTGGAGGTTGTGTCCACTCGATCCATTTCGGCAATGTTGATCTTTCCAATGGTATAGGAAAACAGCCAAGTCATATATTCATGTCTAAGCTCAGACAACAGTCCTGGAAAAAAACATGTACCGTTATTCTGTTACATGAACATTAACGCAGTGACTGAGAACTTCAATTCAAATGTGGCCGCCGGAAGACTGCATAACATGCAACGTTTATATAGCAGACGGGCAATTGATCAAAGTGACAAGGAACAAACTCTGTCGTGCGAGCACTCATACAGGCCCTTCTGTTAACGGTTAAACGCTACAGGCTGTTGAATCAATTACTTCAATTAATTCAACACTTCATGTCCCAAACTGGATTACCAAAATATGCCCAGAACCTGGTTGCTTGTTGTAAAAGAGAAATTTCAATCTTAACGGATGAATGAGATGAAAACGAATCATTTAGCGGTGCTAACGAGCTAATATAATTAAATCATGCCAATTTAACCGATGACGGCTGAAGCATTAAATAGTCAGTTTTCCCTCAAGAAACATTGAGGCGAATTCCCGCACTGCGTGGTCGTTTCCATGCGAACTGGCCTTAAAGACGCACACGCCTGATAATTAGTGGAACGAATTGAAGAGGTTGAACAGTACGTGCTCCGTAGTTCGCCAGGCTAAGAACAGGTATCCACAATCAGCGACTTGTAGATCAACCACGCTTTTCCAAATTTACAGAAGATTAATTTTAAAACTCATCACATTTCTTGATCAATAAGTCCGTCTTTGTGAAGTCTGAGAAATAAACCATGAATTACTTTTTTTTACAATAACTTTCTCGATTTTTTCTCTCTGATTATATATTTCGAATATAATTATTTATGTACACGCCAATCATCCTCTACAAATTTTATGTACTGTACAAATTTAAGTGTCAAGTTCGTGAATTAAAGTGAAACGTTCCTTATTCCGCAGTTTTAACATGCAAAACCCTATATTTATATAAACAAGTCTTTTGACTTACAGAAACCAAAATATATAAAGTCGGCACTTTGACACCTATTAACTGTAATCATAGCTCGATCATGTCCTTAAACTCTCGGTTAGCACCGGACACTGTTGTTTTTTATTACACAACTTCACCTGAAATTTTGTGAGGCAGACAAATATTTATAGGGATGACGTCCGAGGTACATCTGTGTCAGTTCTTCAGCAATTTCCTGATGATTTGCTTACTTCACCAAGGTTACTATCTTTGAGGTTTTGGTCTTCCCCTCGCCCACTCGGGCTGAATTTCTCATACAGAATGGCGCCCCGATACCTTTCTGGAACTGCTGGTTCGTCGTCGTGTAGATGATCGGATTGACGCACGAGTTGCACACGGTCAGAAATGCCGCAGAAATGGTAGACGGGCGCGGCGAAGCTCAGACTGGACGCCAAGGTTGCACAGCAGGAACATGAATTGGTAGGTAGCCCAGCACGCGGCGAATGCCAGACCAAAAGCCAGGAGGGTACCGGTACGCACCAGGATCTGGGTGGCCCGAAGCACCCACATTTAACGACGGTCAGTCGGATTGATGTCTGAGGATGAAACCTAACGGGCAAAGTGTAAAAAAAGCTTGACTCTGCAGTGAATTCACGGCATCATGCTTAATTTTCTATTTTCATGTGTAATGTACCGTATCCAATACACTCACCCACCATGCCGGTAGAGCCCTAACCTACTTCGCGTCTGGATAATCTTCAAATGCAGCGTCATAAAAATGAGAACGTTAATTGCACACAGTGAGATGGTCAAAGCATCTAGAAACCGTACCTGCTGAGCTTTGTTCCGCCAATTTAATTGGCAGCACCCAGCAATTTTATCTTCGTCAAAAACAGTGGACGATTTAGCTTAAAGGCTGTGATTCAACACAGTGCAAGAATAGGAACTTTGTAAAGTCCTCTGGTGAAGATCTGTTTTTACATCAGTAGGTAGATAAACGGTAGCCAGAGCAAAGATGGACGGCTGGGCGCAGACCCAAGAGAGAGGCTTCCACTTCAACACGAACAGTCGGTATCGGAGCTGGCCCCCAAAGTCTGGCTTTGTTGACGAGAGCAAGATTAGTGGCAAGTTAATCCTGAGGGGGATGACAAGCACGTACACCACGAGATCGACTTGGGCAAGGTGCACCAGGAAATCACCGATGTTGGACCGGAGGGATTGCACTCGGACCAGGACGATGCAGACCAGGTGAGTCGGACTGCGGAGATGACACCATTTGTGACGACAACGATCAGTGTACTCTCGCACGTAACATCAAATTCCGACAGGATGAAACTGTTATATCGGTCGATTTTCTCGCAGATGAGCCGCAAGTTACAATCCACAGATAGTTCAGATAACCGAGTGCAGTGCTGAATAGTACAGAGTGGTGACTGGTCTCCAAAGGGCATGTGCGTTTACAGTCCATAGGATTGGAAGCGCCCACTCATGATTGACACCTCCATGTAAGCCCTTATCGAGTTAAGAGATAGCGAGGTCTGTGCGTTTCTGTTCAGTTGCCAAGAAACTGGGTCCCTAAATGCTATCCAGGAAAACTGTTTCAACTGTCAGGGTTGTTTTAAATAGCTATTATTAATCAAGACATATCGGAAAGAGTCGAATACATATCCGTTGGTATACTGCAGTCGGATACGACGATTGCTGATGAGAATGATGGTGGTAGTTGTGCTCGAACTCTTTGTGATGATAATGGTGACAACAGTCAGCCTAGAAAAAACAAGAAGTGAGGACGATACTCAGTGGAGATGAAAGTGCGGAGAAAATGATAGACAGCGACTGCGACGGCGACTAAGACCAAATAAAACAAAGACTACGACAATTAGAAGAATAAAAAGCTATCCTGTCTTGATATCAACATTACATCAGTTACTGCTGAGGCGTGAATTCCGTCCTTGCATTTAAGTTTATCACAGCTAACTGTATGGTTATGGTGTTGTTCCCCACGCGGGCTGTCCTCTTCCCTCTCAATGCCGCCATGACACCTTTACGGAACTGCTGGTTTGTCATGGTGTAGATGATCGGGTTGATGCAGGAGTTACATACACCCAAGATGATGCCAAACTGACGGACAGTCGAAGCGATGTTCAAATCGAAACCGAAATTGTACAGCAGGTACATAGACTGGTCCGGAATCCAGCACACAGAGAACGTCACGCCGAAGGCAAGGAGCGTGCGTACCAGAACCTGGGTGGCCCGAAGCTGCCACACTCTGCGACGGTCAGTC